GATATTCGACGGATTGTTCCTGGTTTCGAGAGAGCAAGTTTAGATGGCGTCTGTACAGGATGGCTGCCAGGCTCCGCCCCCGTTCTACATGTATTTTGATATCAATATATATATATTAATTTTAAAATACAGTTAGAATGAAATTACACATGTATATATATTTTTTATTTATTTTAATCTTATTTTTTATCGTATTTACATATTTAATTTTTATTATAAATATATATATATATATATAATGAAAAGTATATATATATATTTAATCAATATCATTGTATGTGTATTTTGATAATAATATATATAATTATGTATATATTAATATTAAAATGCACTTAGACAGTGTATGTGTGTGTGTGTATATGTGTGTATATATACTTAGATCATATATATTTTAAATCTATAATGAATGCGGCTGCGAGGCTTATTTTCCTGTCCGGTCGCACCTCCCACGCCTCCACGCTCTGTCAGTCCCTGCATTGGCTTCCAGTTAGATATAGGGCCCAATTCAAAATTCTGGCGCTTGCTTACAAATCCCTACATAATGCTGCTCCAACATACCTATCCTCCCTCATACACAAGTATGTCCCGTCGAGACCCCTGCGCTCAGCCCAAGACCTACGCCTATCCTCTGCCCGGATCCCCACCTCTGATGCTCGCCTTCAAGACTTCTCCAGGGCTGCACCTATTCTGTGGAACTCCCTTCCCTCCTCAATCAGACTTTCACCCAGCCTCCACTCCTTCAAAAAATCTTTGAAAACTCACTTCTTCATTAAAGCGTATCAATTAAACTGTCAGCAGGTTTCTCATCCCCCACCCCATGACTCCGTTCCTGCACCTGCACCTGTCAAAAATGACCTACCAAGCACTCAATAAACCCTTCTGTAACAAACTATTTAATTCCCCTACTTTAACCCTTTGTGTCATTATACCCCACTCCCTCTAGCATGTAAGCTCATCGAGCAGGGTCCTCAACCCCCTCTGTTCCTGTACGTCAGTGGTCTGATCTCAATTATGTGTCTGTTAGTCCACCCATTGTACAGCGCTACGGAATTTGTTGGCGCTATATAAATAATAAAATAATAATAATAATATAAATTGGTACATTTATATCCCTACATGGCAAGACCACTTACTATTATCTCACATATATATTATTATTCTTATTGAGCAATTTGGAGCAATTTGTTTTTAATTGCTCTTCTCTGCCCTTGCTGTAGAGTGAGTGAACCACACTCCAACCTTACTACAGTTACTCCAGCCACTACAAACACACAACAGTTACTCAAGCCACTCCACCCAGTTACTCTGCCCACTCCAGTTGTAGACTACTGGTGGAGGCAAGAACACTTCACACAATTTCCCCAGAAATTGTAGCTTTTCTAGTTAATTCTACAATGCTTAAATTATTCATTCAAGATTCATTTTCCAAAGGTCCAGATGCTAGTGAGTTAGTTGTTGGTCAAACTGTTCTTGTGCAATATGCACATATCTAGATGTACACACAATCCATTATAACTATAGATGATGGCTAAGATTCTAAAATGAAACATCATCATTTGTTAAGGGATCACTCCAAACACTAAAGCTCATTGTAGTGGTTATGGTGCATAGAGACTCCTGGCTCATTTCATGGTAATTTATCAAAGAGTTTTTAGCATGGCTTGACAATTTGCCTGCAGGAGAAATTTGATGTCTCTGTACAAGACGACACAGTCAATGCTAAACCATACGAATTGGCAGAGACTCAGCCAATAAGTGCAGTCCTACTGGAGAAGATCGAATGCAATTGCTGTGTCCTTGAATGCATGTGGGACTTGCTGGTTGACAAAACAGGTCCTAGTGGTCATGGAGATTGGAATGCTCTTTCAAATATAGAACATTTTCTGCCAGTAGGTGGCTTTCCGGTTTGTAGAAAGAAGGCATTTTACTGTTAGTTGTCCTAGAGTAAAATGTTCATGCCAGTGTCAAAACTGGTGTCTGTCATAAATGTTTCCTCTTTTATACCATTGAACCGAGTTCCAAAACAATGTTTCTATTCTCGTCATTTGTATTGTGCTCCCTGGCTGTATCGGGGCTGAATTAAGTCGTGATGTCACTCTCCACTGCAAACTGTTGCTTTAAATATTGGCATTATCCAGATTATTTGATATGATGATGGAGGGAATAATATACAACCAGGATGAGAATGCTTAAAGAGGGGAATCTACTATAAGAATGTCTCAACAGAAAAGGCTTAATCCTTTCCAGCATCCATCCCTCTCTTGCCTATTTAAATCCAGGTTTCCTATTAATAAATGCTTGTTTAAATCTCAAGCATGCAAGTTCTGCTTGTGTACACACTTGTTTCTTTGCAGCTTTAGCCCCTGCTCTTGCTAAGTAACCTGTTCACTGAACCGAAGGCCTTGCTCCTTGAACCCTGTTCATGGTAAACGGACAATGCTTGCGCTTATGCCCCACAGTCCTAGTACTACGCTGATCACCTGGCGTTGAAACCCTGATCACTAATCGGACAACCACAGACATGAGCAGCACATTTCATTATTGTATGCACCCAATATTTTTTAAATGTTATACATGGGGAATATATCTATTTTTATTTTTATTAAAAAAACACGGCATTCACCATAACTACATCAGCTAAGTATAGTGCTTATGGTGTCAGGAATGCCCTAGTATCCTCCCAGTGTAAGTAGTTTGACAACTTTCCTGGGTCCCTGTAAGAACCTTCTGTTCCTCCAGGCTTGCCATGCAGGACCAGCCCATTGGCTGGGAGCTTGGATCTGCACATCCAGACTCAGCTCAGTTGTAAGAATTCTGGTCGCATGGGAGGTGGTGGTGGGCTCCCAATGGAGCATAAGTTGCCAATCTGTTATGAGGCTTTTTACTCTGGGAGGAAGTTAGAACATTCCTTGCACCAAAGTTCCTACTGTTTGCTACAGTGGTTATGGTGCTTACAGTGTACCTTTAAAAGACAGTGTGTGTGTGACTGTGTTGTTTAGGTGTAGAGTGGCTGTTTGTTGGTAGCGATGGGTACTTATGTTTGCTGCTGTGTATGGATAGCTGTGAGTAATGGGTGTTGCTGCGTATGGGTAGTGCGTGTTGCTGTGTATGGGTATCAGTGACAATTATTTATGCTAAATGTCTAAAACGTGCACATAACTTAGAGTGTATGTTTACCTTTCTCCTCATACCAGTGGCAGAACTACCACACCGGGGCCAGTCGGCTCAGGGTCACAGTTAGGCGCTGTGGCTCTTTAACAGAACAACCAGGCACTTTGGTCTGTGAAAAACCTGGTGCAGGGAGGAGTACAGGTCACTTCCTCCCTGATTACCAAGGAGCCGTGCGGGAGAGAGGACCAGAGAGGTGGGAGTCTATAAGTCAGGATCAGAGGACGGAAAGCCTGGCCCAGACTCGCACGCTGGTCACTGGGAGATTGTGCACCCCCTTGGTGACTGGCACCTTGGGGGGGGGTCACCTGCCCCCTTCCCCGGGTTAGTTCGCCACTCATTCTACTTATATGTACAGCAATTACCATTTACACCAATCATTTTCCATTTGGTTATATTGCAAGTCCATGTGATACAGTCCATTGCATGGGCTAATTTGTTAATAATTCAATTGCTTCTAAAGTAAAAAAAACTTTCATTTATCTTTAAATTTATTGTGTCCTTCCATTATTGCAAATTACAATGGTAAAACCCCTAACAGACATGGCCGCACCATTACAATACTATGACCCCAGAAAACTCATCTATATAAACTCTTAATTCTCTATACTGTGCATTTGCAATTCTACATATCTGCAATAAGAAAACACAGCCAGCAGGCACAGCACCATCTAAGTACAGTGAATGGGAAGCAATTAGGCAAAATTCCAACACATAACAAGTGGAGTATGGAATAAATGGAAATAAAACTGAGCATTTACATTCTGGCTGTTTCAGGCCCATTTCAAAGCATCTATCTGCAATTGCTTCTCCAATGGCTTCTATGTTAATCCAGCTAGACTTGTGCACAGTTAACACATTTGTTTCTGGATAGCAGAAATTTGTGCATGTGATGTTTTGGCTAGTCTGAATTTCATCCCTCAAAAAAAAAAAAAAAAAGATTTGGGAAAACTAATCAAACGAACCAAAATGGTGAAAAATGGGCCAATCCGTGTACTGCAAAATATATACATAATATAAACATCAGGTTTACTTTGCAATACACAGATAGGCACATATTCCCACCATTCGGTTTACAGATCATATTAAAAAAAAAAAAGTCACCAAAAGAGGGAAGAAGAGCAGTTAAAAAAAAAACAACAAAAATCTATATTTTCTGCTTCTACTTTTTCCCCCTTTATTGGTCACTTCTCACTTAATCTGAATAAATTCAACATTTAGCGGCTGTCACCTAGCTATCAATCATCTTTTTTCTCCCATAAATCAGGTTGGTTTTTTTTGTGTTTGAATGCACCATGGGTGGAACTCTGAATCACGAATTAAACAAGCCTTTCCATTGCACAAATCATTTGTTTTGTGATAAGTCTATGTGGCGGCTTGGAAATCAAGAATTCGGACTAATCGCACTTTGTAACAAAATGAATCTCCAAGTCTAAATCTGACCCTGCTTGACTTGAATCCTAAATGACTTAAGGAAAATTGAAATACTATTATGATACAGGATGCATCAACTTTATCAAAATCCGTTTTGTGCACAGCGAACAAAACGTTACCAACACAGTTTTGAAAATATATCTCATCCACGGACGTTCGTGTTGTGCCTGCTCATTTTTTTATATTTTGTTATACAAAGCAATGAAGAATTAGTTGAGGCAAATCATGTTTGTAAGTAGTTAGTAGTACATATAGAAAACATTTGATATTAGCAGTCTATGGAAATGGTCTGGGCGTTACGTGTTAGGTGTATATTGCAGTTAGAAGTTTGATCTAGTAGCACTCAGCATTTTGAGCTTGCACTTCACACCATACACTCATCTGAAACACAACTACTCACAATTAGAGGGTTTGGTCATAGTCTTCTTGTTGCTCTTAGGTGGGCGTGTTTTGGCTGAGAGGATACGAATGAGGTAAGTGGTACAATATAGGTAACTTTTAGGCAATGCCAATTGTAACCAAGCAAATAAAGCAGCTAGTTATCTCTTAATGTAAAACATTATATGTACGGTGTAAGGTGTAATTGTGAACTCAACGTTCCTTAGACTTTAAAGAAACACTAGAGGGTCAGCAACACAAACATGTATTCCTGACACTATAGTGTTAACAACACTAATTAGGCCCCTCTTGCCCCCTTTAATAAAGTAAAAAAAACCTACCTTATTTCCAGTGTTGCACAGGTCCAGCGGCGCTGGCTCCACCATTGCCCCGCCTCCTCGGTTGATATCAGAATTGATGATCTTAGCGAATTACAATGCTTGCCCATAGGAACCAAGGAGATGGGGCGTGGGTGGAGCGAAACACCCTGGCCAATCAGCATCTCCTCATCGCAATGTAGACACCAGAACAACTACAATAAGCTGTAGTTGTTCTGGTGACCAGAGTGCCCCTTCAAGCTATGCAGGAAAGGGTATTCAACATGTGTAATATAATATAAGCCATTGACATAGAACATTCAGAATGCAGCTGTTGTGCACTGTAAATAATGTAATTTCCAGTATAGAATCGTACTTTACTTTACTTTTAACATAGATTAACACTGCACAGGAATTCTGGATTCCTGTTCTGAGCAGTTTTAATGAGATGGTCATATGCCACATCAAAGTCATGAATGAATATTTTTCCTCTCTCGTATAATCAAATGCGATTTCACATGTATGTTCAAAATTGTAAACCAGGCTAATGAATATGCAATTTTCCCCCAACCCTCCCCACCTTTTTTCTGTACCCTAAACGCAATAAAAATTGTCAAATTTAAAAAAATATATATATTTTTCCTCTCTGATCATATGACAAGTCAGAATGCCAAATGGCGTCAGTCTCTTTTTACTAGATAACCTGATAAATGAACATATTTATCCACGATTATCATTGTATTTTCTTTGCAGTTTTCATTTCCTGGTTTTAGCACTTGAGATTTAACTACCGCCAGGCTGGAAAGACTGTATTTTGATTAAATCTGGGTCATTTGCCAAACCAGCAGAGTCCATTATCCTCCTATTGCTTTTAAACACCCCATCTGAAAACATTAAGTGTGTAGCAATACTAGCAGCGAGTGAGGGGAAATGGATCTTATTGGAATCGCTGTGCGATGTAGGGTTTTCGGTGTCTGTTTTTTAAACTAGGACTTTGTTTAAAGTCCAAAGACATGCCACAAGGCACTTGAACAAGACAAATAGGGCTCTCATCTTTCTAAGAAAGCAAAATAGTAGCTGTAAGAAGCCTTCTGGCACGGATTCCTGGCTCCAGTGTGTGCTGTTATTTGTCGTGATTATTAAATGGACATTTTAATATATTATCTTAATGAGTGCACATTTTAACCCACACTGGCAGTGTATGCTGCAATGATCATAGGTTTTACGTTATTCTGGCAACACAGCCGCAGCGCATAATCCCAGTGTTATATGTAAATATGTATATATAATTTTTTAATGTATTTTTCTAAATAGTTTCTAAAGTATGCATGTTAATGTTCCAGGCTAATGATTAATTCAGCTTCAGCTGCAGACAGTTCACATTAACCACCTGTTTCTGTATCTCTCCTGCCTTTTAAGTCCCATAGCACATGTGCAGGACGGCTGGAGGTGTTTCAGTGTGTTCCTAGATGTACTGCCTACAATTAGCTGAATTTAGAAAACACAAGGCCAAATTAGTCAACTTGAATAGAAATCCGATTTCTAGAATTCTTCCAAATTAGTCTCTTGATAAGTGTTCTAGATCTGAAATATTTACCCCCCCCCCCCAATTTATTCTTTAATATGTTCCAGAAATGAAAGTACTACTACAAGTCAGATTTACCTGATAACGTCATCGATGTATTGTAGGAAAGGCCATTATGCTGCAGTCTGTCCGTACACTCCAGAGTTGACATTATGGATTTTGATTGGAGTTCCCGGCGAGGGCGACTAGATGCGGTATTAATTCTGTAGGTAGAAAACAGTACTGTGAGCTAGTCTGGCCAATGCAGGTTCTTTGTAAAATCATTAGAGGTGAATTTCTGTACAATCACCTGTTGTGCAACCTGCTGTGGAGGTCTTCCAGGATGTGAGTGCACTGTCTGTGATAGTCTAACGCAGCTTCTATTAGAACAGCCAGCTGGCTTACTTGTTCTATCTGTAGGGAAAGAAAAATAGTAAACATGTGTCCAGTGCCTTCAATGAAGATTGCTTTATAATATAAGGTCTCAGTCTTGAAGTTATTTCATTATTGCTTTATTTTAGCCCTCTAACTCAAGGGTGCCCAAAAGGTAGATTCCTAGATGTTGTAAAACTACAACTCCTATGATGCTTTGTTTGTCAGTGTACCTTTAGAATGACAATGCATCATGGAAGTTGTAGTTTTAAAACATTTAGGGATCTACCTTTTGGGCACCACTGCTCTAACTTGTCATTTGTTTAAAAAGAAAAAATAAACTTTTGTGTGTCTCATGTGCTCTTAAGAGAGTCATAAGGACCCCATCGCCCAGCCCAGTACTTTAATGTATTCTGTGACAGTAATCTTATCTCCAAAGCATAGTGGCACAGGACATAAGAGGAATATAAGAGGACTATGAGGGAAAGTTGCAAGCAATTAAAAGTAATGGGTCTCCTGCAGTAAACCATTAAATAATTGTCTTTGCTGTATTCCTAACAGTTTTGGATTAAACCCTCTGCCTTTTTAATAACTAGAATAGGTGGTGTACTGGTATATAATTTAAAAAAAATAAACATCTATGGCCAGAATATTGGGGATTTATAATCAGTTTAGAACACTATCAAGGAAGATTGTATAGGAACTGGGGATTGTACACTCTCTACCTGTTACCTGATTGTGCGACTTTGTGGGCTGTTGTTCTCCATTACTAGAATTTACCCTCAATGACACAACTAACACAGAAAGAATGGAGAGATCAGAAACATTATCTCTTCTACCAGATGTGAGTGGCAACCCTTAGTTTAATATGGCACGGTTTGCCCTTTCAAACAGTGACTCTCTTTGGCCTCCCCTCGCATTACCACAATGACAACGTGCCTGTGCCTCTTGTTTTTCCTCACTCACTGTGATATTATAACAGAGTCCATGCGGTAAAGTGACACAACAGAGTATTACTTTGTTATTGAAAATAACATTTCAATTGTAAGGCCCACCTTGAACATAAATATAATGGAAATGATGCAGACTACAACATTTAAAAAAAAGTAAAGGAAGACTTTAAAAACTGCCTCTGTTTACTTTTTTAAAAAAAGTGCCTCAGAGCAGATATGATAACACACTATACTGGGCCTGTACAAGCCCGTCTCTCGTCATTTTCTCATTAACAGTCCTGTACAGAGGACAAGAGGTCATCATCTTAGAAGGTTGAAAATGATAATGTGAAATTAAGGGTATCTTTTATCTGCTTTTGGATTCTTTATTTCTATTTTTAGAAAAATCAGAATGTGTGAGGATAACTGCTAAATAGCGTAAGGAGTCAGAGTTGTAGGTGGAGGATAGTCTTTAAAAGTTCTGTCTGTCTCTCTGTCACCCCCTGTCCAGTGAGGGGGAAGAGGCATTGACCAATTTTTGAACTGCTGCACTGTGTATAGGGAAAAAAAACTAATTTAAAAGGGAGACTTACAATCAGAACTACTACTTAAACTTAAAGGTACACTATAGGCATCCAGACATCTATAGTTCATTGAACTAATCTTGGTGCAATGTCCCTCTCCCCCTTAGTCCTGCAATGTACATCATTTTAGAGAAACTACAATGATTACCTTGCAGGACTAAGACTGCCTCTAGTGTCTGTCAATCAGATGGCCACTAGAGGCATGTCCTGGCTTATAGCCTACTTTAGGTCACCTGACGCTGGACATCCTCATTGAGTCAGTGCTTTCCTATTGGGAGGGCCTAATACAGTCGTGGCGCTCGCAGCCAGATGACGTTGGATGAGACAGAGCGCCGAGAGACATCGGTGCTGGGATCAGGTAAGTGTTAAAAGAGTTATTTAACCCTTGCAATACTCAGGGGGTTGGGGCAGAGGGTACTATAGAGTAAAGAATAAAGCTTTGTATTCCATTCACTATAGAATCCCTTTAGTGTAGTGGTTCTGGTACAAATAGACTATCCATGCAGTCTCAGCTTTATGTTGCAGGACCGATATTCAGCGTGTTCCCTATAGGGAAGCACTGGATTGGCTGAGATTATTATCATCGATCTAAGCTGGGAGTAAAGTGGTGGCTACACGAAGACAGGTGCGCCTTAGGCCTAACAGCAAGATAATCTACTTTATTTAACTTTTTCAGGAAGCAGCAATAATCCAAATTGGAAGAGAAACAATCTTACATTGGAAGTGCAAAAAATGTAGTGTTCCTTTAACTGATTTCCAATTATGCCATAGAAAGTGAAAATTTCCTGATTTTAAAATCACTAGTCCGATATCTTCTTGTATCAACAAGTTGTTCCACCACATATTACCTATTTTTGTATGCTACGGAAAATGTTTTTTTCAGTGAATAAAAAAATGGTTTGTCATCTTCTTTTGGACCAACAGCAAGATGGGCATGAGTCTTTTCAACCTAGATTCTCTAACGATCCATCAAAACAGCTGCCCGACTATGTAAAATTATATGTTGCCAGGGCAAAATGAATTAACTAATTAAGGAGAGAATCCCTGGTGTTCTCAATCTAAAGTTGTGAGTTCTACAAACTCCACTACAGTCATTTTTCATGCAAAAAACGATGTTCAGAAATTCACGGTTTATAAGCAAACGTTTTCTTTCTAAAACACCATCTGACCGATCAAACAGCAGAGAATGCTTGCTCTTAGTTAAATAAACGATTTAATTGTGCCTGATTATGTAGCCTTGCCAAGATTTCTGTTTCACATTATTTGAATAAATGAGTATAGACCTGAATGCAAGTTATATTTGTCTTTCTCTCTTTTATATTCCTTTGCCCATCTAGTAAAACAGGATTATAGGGTGATGTATTATAGTAAATTTATTTATCAACTCATCTTTTTATGTCTAAATTCCTTGGGGTGAACTACAAAATTAAAAAAAAACTAAAATCATTCTCGAGTTCAAATGAGTCACCTGTAAATTTCGCAGTTTGGATGCCAACTATTAAATACCTATACCATTATTAACTAAAGTAACTGGTGAATTGCAAAAGATTTTTTTTTTGTAAATGAACTGTTTTTTGTTTTTTTTATGTGGGACTTTTTGTTTGTTTTGAACATGTATGCATCAGTCCTTTTATAGAAAACAAAGAAGGGTAATTCACAACTGATGATCTCAACTAGCGTAATTCCAGGAGAAAAAAAACAAAAAAACAACTTTTAATTAAACGCAAAAAAAAAAAAAAAAAGTTGGAGTTATTCAGTAAAACCCAAATCATAGTAAAATGAACAGTTGGTAAAAGTTAATTATTTGAAAGTATTCTCCAAGTCCATTGTAATCACAGCTTGGCTACATGTTTCCCGATTCGGTTTTCAATTCACTGCAATTTAGTTTAAACTGCTAGTGAAATATTAAAAGACCAGGCGATTTATTTAGTAAACCGTGAGCGGTGGAGAACTGACATCCATTTGGAAGAAAAAAACAAAACAAAAAAACATATAAACATCAAAAAGCCATTAATAGACACACTCCCCAAAATTTTTTTAAGCATATAGAATTTGTATTGCATTAAAAAAACACATGTATCTAAATTAATTGTATTAACATTGTATTTGCATTATGACATTTCAAGTACGGTACACTTTGATTCGTAAAAAAAAAAAAAAAAAGTATTAACATTATGTATAAGGATCTGAAACCCTTTTTTAAATGTTTACATGGTGGTATTTGTATCTTCTTTCTTATATGTATTTAATATCTGTAAAAATGTAAGAATAAAGATAAAGAAACAAAAAGTGGCCAAACAGTTTACTATAGTACAAGGACAGGCTTATTCAAAATGTGTGAATTGTTGGGAATTCAAACTGGATTCTAGTCCAAAATAGCTGAACTGGAAGCTGCAATTCAAGAATACTATGTTTAGTATTTCAACTACTGTGTCCTAAAGATTTTAATTCACTTTGTATTCACCTTGACTTTATAACATTTCATATGTTACTGAATAATCCAAACTCTGTTAGATTTATTACACATTAGTAATGTCCTGAACTGCATTAGAACTGCAATTAACCAATATTTTCTCTAGAGGGCAGCAAAACAAGTTTAATCTGGCATTTAAAGAGTAATAGTTCCCAAGGACAAGAAAGATAATTCCTTGTGTGTGTGTGTGTGAGTGTGTGTGTAGATTTACCAAGATTCCTGTGTTTGTGTAATGGCAAGGAATCTGATGTCACCTAGGAATGCATTAACAAGCTGTCATTTCTCAATATCACAGCGTCTTTATTAATTTCTTGACAGTGCTCTTGGGATGAATTGACAGATGGTGTACTGAGTAAATCTTTATTTTAAGAAACACTTAATCTGCGTGCCTGGATATTAAAGCCCTACTCAATTTTACCTGGATTTGTGTTTTCTACTACTAAGCCCTGGAATGAACAAAGGTAATCATTATACCTTTCCTTTTCAATATTGAGTATTAGAATCCCTTTATTGGCAGAAAATCCTTTTTTTATTATTATTTTAAAAAAGTTATTAAAGGGACACTCAGGGCACCAACACAACTTTCAAAAATCAGCATTGACCTGTGTCTATTTGGAAAATCTTTCCCTGCTAACCCCTATAATTACTTTGGGTTGGACAACTGACTTGAGCACAAACCGTTTTCAAAACAGTTTTCAGCTGCTACAAATGTATCAAATTCCTTATAAACTACATCCAAACTAATAATTCCTGTGAATTGAATATTCAATGAATAAGACTCCCCAGGTAAATCGCAAAAGGATCGATTAATTTGGGTATAGATTAAAAGTAATTAAGTCATTTTTGGGTATAGATGAAAAGAACTTGTGCACACGTTTAGTGGACAATGAGGAAATTAAACCTATTCGTTATCATGTCCACAGCAGAGGGGTGGATTCTAGGTGCCAAGAAGACTGCTTGACGTAAACTACTTACACCATAACCAAAATTATAGTGATCGTGCTTGGAGTGCCCCTTTAAAGGGACACTATAGGCACCCAGACCACTTCATTTCAATGAAGTGGTCTGGGCGGCATGTCCCCACGTTTTAACTCTGCATATGAAAATATTGCAGTTCTGCAGGACGATTGATGATCTCATCCAAGGATTCGGAGACAATCGCGGGGAGAGCAGCGGAGCATAGGACAAAAAGGTAAGTAATAACTTTTTAACAACTATATGGCGGGTAACGTAAACAACAACTCGGACTCTATATCATTAGGAATACACATATGTATTCCTAACATGAAAGTGTTTATTTAAGCATACTCCCTGCAGACTTGTATTGAAAAGTATCCACCCAATGTAGAAAGTAAATAACATAAAACAACCAACCTCCTGTCAGACTCTTAACTAATGACTCCTTAAGGTGAACACGTCTGACCACCAGGCAGTGTACTCTATTTCATACTTACATCATTTTCTAAAAAATTGAACATACTCCTTTCTGCAAGTTCCTTGGACTCTTCAAATTTTTCGACAGCTTGTCTGACTTCTTCATCGGGGATCTTTCCATGACGCTTCTTTTTGTAATCATAATCCAAGCGGCGCCCTTCAAGTTTTTTCAAATGGTACTGTAAGAAGAAAACAAAGAAGAAACAAAATGAAAAAATTATTTTGGACTGGCTGAAAAGGTATTGGGGTCCTACTGGGTGGATATGCAGAGATGCCATATTAGTAGCACTAGATATGAATAAATGTGGTTATCAGTAACATGTAAACCTCACCCCGATTCCATTTAGCCTTGTTTATGAAAACTAGAATTAAAATCATATCAGTCAGTGACTAATGGCAAACTTTTTTTACAAAAGCATATAACATATATATATATTTACATTCTTAAACTGTTCTCCATTTTATAAAAGAACGTTTAACTTATGGCTTCCAATGTGTCCCTTCTCCAACAACAAGTTGCAGACTTAGACTGTCCGAAGAGAACTGAATTACTGCAAGAGGTGAGCCTGAATTTTTGAGAAAATTCAGAGGGCTACAGAATTAGCCCTCTTACATACCTCTTGCCTGGCTCACTAACCAGCCTACCCTTATATTCTCCTTCTCTATCCTTGGTATGCTCTCTATCAGTTCCATGTGTCATGTTATAAATGCCACATTTCAAATGAGAAGCTAGATCTTTCCCCAATTGGCACCATTGCCTGGAGAAACACAACAACACATTTTCTACACCCAGCTCTGTCAGTGTTCTGCAGTTGGCTGCTGATCGTCGGAATGACATAAGACCAAAGATTTGACCATTTTTAAAAATATCAACCTGCTTCAGTCTGTGTAAGTGAATCTTGAGCTGCAATAGTGTTATCATAGACTGCAGAATGAAGATGTGCTTTTAATGACATAATAGGTTTGTTATGTTACTTTCTTCGTACATACATGTGGTGGTAAGAATGTAGAAAAGTTCTGATATGAGGGGCAGTGTAGACCGAGTTTGTATGATGAGATTTTATTATATTGTTTAATAATGGTACACCTAGTTCAAAAACCAAAGCCTGATCAATAACTAAAAGGTTAAAAAATCACTGACATGAACAGTCAGTCACCATCTTATTGTTTTTTATCTTCATAATTTTTTACTAAAAAAAAAGACCCACCCTATGTGGCTAAAAGAAATGTTTCCTCCATGTCACTACTCAAGTGTTCAAGGAAGAATGCGGAGGTGACAGTAAATGCCCAGATGATATGACACAGAGTAGTCGTCAGAGTCAAAGTAGGTAGTGAGGGAATAAAGAAATACCCCATATGCCTGGGCTGGCTCAGTGCCACTTCAATAGCAATCAGCAGTCTCTTGCCTAACTAAAATCTCAGTATTCATGTTTCTTGTTATGCCTGTGACATCTGTCAGCTGCTATAAACCAAGCATATATCATCTGGGTAATGAGGGAGTTGTGAAATGAATATATTGGAGTGTGGCTAAGTGACACATCTAATTTGGCAGGTAGAATACTCAAACATTAGTTAGTGTATCCTAGAGCAAGAAGGTATGCCTTAATAGAAAGAGGTATCCTTCTTCACATCAAATATCTTTTTATAGGACCCCTATAATATATAATGTCTTGACTATACCATATCATAACCAACTAAATATATATACTTATATTTAATGATCATCCACTATTTATTACATGTTCTAAATGTATTTTCTCTCTGTATTAAGAATACACATTGGAAGCTGTCATAGCTTGGCAATCGTGGCACTGGCTGTACACTGAGACCTAGTGAGTCCATTAGCTCTACCCCCTCACCAATATCCCTTTGATAGTCCTGGATCAAGACACAGATGTCCTTTACTACCTACTCCCTTATCAGACATGGTTTCTGATTGAAATTGCATCACTTCTAGCAACTTTACATGTTACTCTGCAGGTCAACACAATAGATAAAGGTGTGAGAGAGCAATCTGCTCCATTAAAGGACAACTGTCATCAAAATGTTTACTTACCAAAATTTCTTTTAAGTCCTTGTCTTGTAAACACTGTAGAGGATCAATAAAGTTTTGCTTGATATTGATGTCTAGAGAATCTTTCACCTCTGCCATTTGTTTCATACATTCACCAACATCCAGCAAGGCTCCTCCTAAGAAAGGGAGAAAATTAACCCGTTAAGGACTGAGACTCTGTTAAGTTGTGATTTGTGACCAAGCCCTTTTTTCACTTTTAATATGTGTTCATTCTTGAACACTTTCACCCTTTCTGTTTAACTGCACCCATACATATTATATATCATTGTTTAAAAGGGAACTATGGCTTTATTTTAGTACCCCATATTTCTCCAAAGCACAGCAGTAAATATGAAAAAAAAACAAAATTCTCAATGTTACATTTAATTGCATTTCTACACAAGTGCAAATAACACCATATCATTACAATATTATTATATAGTACATGTCTGTACACAATGAAACACACAGAACACCTTATGTCATTGTGATGGCCCTGACATTCATCTGTAAAAACATGCTTCATATGTTAGCACTGGCTATCTCTTCTGTGCACATGTATCTATCTGGCTCTATACACTTCCACAGTAAAACAAAAGGTCGGAAAACATTCACAACAGGACAGTTCATGCAGGGGAATTTAAAGAGACAGTACAGGATTTATTTGTTCATGCAAGTGAAACTTAGAAAAAAGTATGGTATGACTCAACAATCTGGAGCCACCTTAAAACTTAGATGTTAAAGACCACTGTCGGCACCATACCAACTTCATTGCAATTAAATTGTTAGGGTGCAATGATGTCATGGGCTACGCCTTACCTTAAAGGGCTACAATAGGCATCAAAACAACTTTATCTTAATTAAACAGTTTTGGTGTATAAATCATGCCCACTTTTGCTTCTGTCCATGCAGGCCTAGCCATACCTCCCCTGACTGACTGACAGCCTGCATGAACAAAATGGTTTCATTTTCAATTAGATGTAACTTGATTTAGACATTTTCATCTCCTGCTCGGTAAACTGAATTTTAAATCACACACAAGTGGCTCCTGCAGGGTCTAGCAAGCTGTTAACAGTGCATGAGATAAGGGATTCTAAGTAAAACAGAATGTGCAATAAAGGAAGTTTAAACATTAGATCATTCTTTACAGGATGTGTTTAGGTGTTTTAGTGTCACATGCAGGGAAGTGTATCTAGACCTGATTTCACTCCTAAATGACAGAGAATTGAGAATGCAGGGGCATGACCTACACACTGAGTGGCGGAACTACTGCGGTTGCCGTGGGACCACATTGAAGGGGCCCATCGGGTGGCCGATGCTATGTATTTCCAGGGGGCGATTTAACAGCGTGACCGGGCCACCTCCGATAAGGTCACTTCCTCCCAGCAACGACCGGGAGCCACGCAGGAGGAAGGAGAGGAGGGAGTCAGAGTGAGAACTCTGACTCCCATCAGGCTGAGCCACTGGACCCCAGGTATGTGTGTCTGTATGTATGTATGTATGTATGTGTGTGTGTGTGTGTGTGTGTATGTATGTATATCTGTGTGTATGTATGTATCTATGTATGTGTGTGTGTGTGTGTGTGTGTCTGTCTGTCTATGTGTCTGTCTGTCTGTGTGTGTATGTCTGCCTGTGTGTCTGTATGTATGTGTATCTGTGTGTCTGTATGTATGTGTGAAAGTCTGTCTGTGTCTGTGTGTGTTTGTAGGTATGTGTCTGTATGTATGTATGTATGTGTCTGTATGTATGTGTGTGTGTGTGTGTATGTCTGTGTTTCAGCATGTTTATCTGTTTGCATGTGTAAGGGGGAGGGGGAATAACTGATTAAATATAGCTTTTCCCTATGAGAACAATAAATCAGATGAAAATGTAATATATATGTTGAAAATGATAGCACTCCAGGGACTTTGTAGTGGTGAAAAAATAAAACGTAACTTTTATTCTGGTTGTTTGCCAAGTAAAACCGATTGACAATTCAGTTCAATACATGAACTTTCATCAGGATGACATGAAGCATGTGCATATAACATTTAAATAATAACACAGTGGGGGGCGTGGCCTGAACGCCGTCGGAGATGGCGGCTAGTTAGAGGAGCTCCGTCCCACATAGCTACCGACAGCGTGCACACGGAGCAAAATCCTACCCGATGGGTCGCACAAGGAGGTCTGAATCCCAGCACAACAAAGGGGCGCAAGTACCACCGCAAACCGGCCCGCTGGACGGGTTCCTCTGCACACCCGGCGGACAAACGCGTGCAAGGCCGGGCGCCAAAATGGCCGACGATCAGGCCATAACACCACCTCCTGACATACAGGAACCCTCCCTAGCAGATATTAGGGCCGACATCAGAGCCCTCTCTGGGAGTATGGTCACAAAAACAGACCTCCAGGCACTCTCTGCCACACTGCATGAGGTTATAAGGTCTGAAGTAGCTACAATCTAGAGGGACCTTACAGCACAAGATGGGCGCTTGAAACAATTGGAAACCACAACAGCAGGCAGACTGGAGGCCACTGATGCAGCAGTGACCAGACAGGGCAATATGCTCCTGCAACTAAGAAGACAGACTGAGGACCTAGACAACAGGGGTCGCAGATCGAACATCAGAATACGCAATCTACCAGAAGCAATGGCTGGGGAAGAAGATGTACCGACCTTACTAACCGCCCTGTTCAGGGACATACTAGGTCCAGAATCACCACAGCGCATAGAATTTGATAGAGCGCATAGAGCCCTGAGGCCACGTGCTGCAGACAACGCACCCAGAGATATCATATGCTGTCTCCATGAATACAAAGTCAAGGAGCTGATAATGAACAAAGCAAGATCGAGACCAACCTGGCGGTTTCAAGGCGCAGAGGTAGCCCTGTACCAAGACCTCTCCCCACTTACGCTAGAGGCCCGCAGAGCGCTGAGACCGGTGACTCAGATACTACGAAACGGTAACATACCATATAAGTGGGGATTCCCCTTCTGCCTTTTGGCCAGACACAACAATGAATGGAAATCGCTCCGCTGGCCCAACGAAGTACCGGCCTTTTTACAAAGCATGGGATTGCCGCATACGGAGGTCACGGACTGGATCCTGAATCCGTCGGAGCTGAGACCCAACCAACCAGCACCCAGGGCACAGAGACGGCGCAGAGATGACTCGCCACAGAGAAGACCGGCACGCAGACCACAAAACCCAGCACACCATCCTGCACAACCGGGAGTCTAACACCTCCACAACTGGCGGCCATGGCGGCGAACATTCCGAGGGGCAAAAAGGAACTGCGGACGCACACACCATCTACACGGGACAACCAGATAAGTGCAAATGACATTCAGACACTGACAAGATGACAAACACAGACTTTTGTAGCTATGCATGAGCATCAAGGCGAGGGGCAAGGGGGACAACATCCTGAGAGGGCCCGCAACTATGGACGCATCACCTTTGGGTCGATTCTACTTTGGGAGGGAGGATTATGGAGGGCAGGGGCGGGGGATACGTATGCTACTGCAATCTCATAGGCTAACTACTGAGACTGGGAGTACGAATACTTTGAAAACTGGGGGGAGGGGGGAGGAGGGGGGGGAAGGGGGAAAAAAAATAAAAATAAAAAAAAAACTTGAAGCGAACTGCAAAAGGGTCTTACTAATGAGGATACGTAAGTGAGGTGGTGGAGAGAGGAAGAAGCTGACGCCGCTGCCGGGAGTCGGCCGGAACAGGGAGGGGGGCGCTTCGGCGTCGGTAGGGGAAACTAGGGAACTAGGGAGATGGGAAGCACATCCCAAGGGAAGAGAGAGTCTAGGGACGTAAGAGGGGGGGTAGGCTGGGAAGCTCTCACAAAATGCAGTTAGCGGGGGGGGAGGGAGGGGACAGGGGTGGATGATACTAATTTTACCTCATATTTAAAAAAAAAAAAAAAATTCAACGTGGCACAACCCCCCGATCCCGCAAGGCCTATGACAATACCCTAGACAACTCCACGGAACCGCTCACAGGAAGAGGTAGTGGGAGTGGGGATAGTTGAGAGACGCAAGGGGAAGGAAAGCTAGCTGCCCACAAGCCACGGCGATGGAGGTTATTGTAGGGGCTGAAACAGAGGGCTACATCATGATCGGCCTCACCCTAGAATGGACAGGGAACCCACCCCATTAATAGACAGGTAGACGAACATGTACTAAAGACACACGGAGCTAACCCAAAACATAGCTAACGTTCGGATACGGGACACCCCCCCCCTGCCCAGGAGCCTACCACACAGAATGACCTTGACAGACAGGACATACACGCAGAACACTGCTACCATAACAGAGACTACAACTAGAATTGCACCCTCATTACGTACACCACACGCAAGCACCCCACCTCAGACCTGGCAACGGAACGTCTGGGTTGCGCTCCAACCCCCGCAGACTCAAACGCACCTTGCCCGGGACGACTCTCTGGGGATGAGCAAGCCACCAGACACGGGAGAAGTACAACACGACCTAACTATCAGACCCATTGACAAGGATTCACATGAGCTAACTATAACCTAGACTAATGCACACCTTAGCTGAGATCAACATAGTGGGAACGCTGACTCTGCTACCACATTCGATCGAGCCACACACCCAACATCTAGTCACTGCGATTGCAACAGAGACCAACAGGATCAGGCCACTTCCTGACCACATATCCGTGTAGACGGACCCACTGGGGGAGCCAAGGTCGAAGCCTTGCCGGGACACAAACCGGTGGTACGGCATTGGTTGCCCACCAGGGTACACGGAGTCACCCCAAATTGGGGTAACGGTTACTTTACCCCACGCCCTGACACGCTACACACAACCCAACTAAGGCCACACACGGCGACGACGAATAATCGCCAAACTAGCTGGAAGAAATAGTCACACACCGCATACACGAACCTCACTGAGCTGTAGTCGCTACCGCTGTTCATTTTTTCCACTACTGTTCAATTTCTCCTCCCTTCACTCTCTCTCCTACTTCCCCCCTTTTTTTTTTTCTCCCTCCCTTCCTTCTCTCCTCCCGACCCACAACGAGAGGCCTCTCTCTGGGACGCACCTGGACCCACATCACCAAAGAGACCAGAACTGAATAGACGGACGAAGGAGCTATACGAGAACCCAGAACCACCAAATAGCCTACACAGGACCACAGATGGCGTACATCCCGGCTGAACTGGTCGTAAGGTCGCAGAACTGCAGGGGTCTAAATACACCCGAAAAGAGATCTCACCTTCTAAGAAATCTCAAGAGACAACATGTCTCCATTGCCCTCCTACAGGAAACCCACCTCAGATCGGACTCAAACACGCTACTTAAGGACAAACACTACCCTGTAAACTACTATAGCAATCACCAGACCTCTCGCAAAGGGGGAACCGCGATCCTACTGGCCGCACACCTGCAATTTACCCTCACTGACCAAAAGATAGATGAAGGGGGAAGATATCTCTTCATCAAAGGGGAGATAGCGAACAAAACGTACACGATCGCCACGATATATACACCCAACGCTGGACAAGCGAGCTTCCTGAGGCGCACACTGTTGAAGCTGTCAAGATTCACGGAAGGAATACTCATCTTTGGCGGTGATCTCAATACGCCCCTAGACCCCCTCACTGACACGTCAACAGGGCGAAGCAGCATGCCCTACTCGGCGCGCAAAACTATACAAAAAGCTTTACGGGATCTAAGACTGGTGGACACATGGAGAGCAAGACATCCAGACGACCGGGACTATACGTACTATTCCACGCTCCACAACAGGTACTCAAGAATCGATTACATATTCATACAACAGGAGGGTCTCACACACCTACAGAGGGCGGACATCCTTGCCACGCCGTGGTCGGATCATAGCGCGGCGCAGGTGACTATGTCATCTCCCCTATATAGGCCAGCAAGAACCTCTTGGAGACTGAACGACTCCCTCTTGATGGACCTGGCACTCAGAACCCAACTCACTGATCATTTGAACCAATACTTTACGGAAAACAGCAATGGAGAGGTTTCGGACATGACGATTTGGGAAGCACACAAAAGCGTTATCAGAGGCCACCTAATCCGCATGGCCTCCCGGAAGAAAAAGGAAATGGGAAAACAAATTGTGGAACTGACGAAGAAGATATCAGATCTGGAAATGACCCACAAACGCACCCTACAAGACCAGACCTACAGGGATCTCACAACAAACAGAAGACTGCTCTCTCAACTGCTTGAGCAGAGACATGCCAGGAACCTCCAACGAAACCACGCATTTTTCTATAGATACGCCAACAAGGGGGGTAAGCTACTAGCACGCATGCTGAGAGGAGTACAGGGTAGAGCGCAGGTACATGCCCTACGCACCACACGAGGAACAATAACCCAATTTCCGGAAGAGATAGCGACCGAATTCCAACGGTACTACGAACAACTATACAGTATTCGAAGGGACGAGGACGAACTGACCCGCAATACGAGGAAGCTGGCCACGACGGAATACCTGGGAGCCTACAGACCGGACGCCCTAACGCAAGAGGAAGCAGAAGCACTAGACGCACCGATCTCAGAAGAGGAGATCAAGAGAGCACTGAAAATGGCAAAAACCGGAAAAGCACCGGGACCAGACGGCTTCCCAATAGAATACCTCAAAAAATTCGGAAACATTCTTGTGCCCCATTTAACGAAGGCGATCAACAGCATAAGAGAAGGACACTCCTTTAGTAGGGAATCGCTGACGGCAACCATTACGGTTATCCCTAAGCCTGGTAAAAATACAGAGCAGGTGGGAAACTACCGCCCTATATCGCTCCTCAACGCAGACATAAAATTATTTTCTAAGGTGATAGCGATGAGGCTTCAAACATTTCTTACAAGACTGATACACCCAGACCAGACCGGTTTCATTCCGGGAAGGGAAGCCAGAGACTGTACTCTGAGGCTATTCGCGATCCAACACCTAGCCAAACAAACGAAGACAAAACTAATCCTATTGTCAACGGACGCGGAGAAAGCCTTCGACAGGGTCGACTGGAACTTCATGATGGAGACACTACGCACGTCGGGCATGGGACAGGAGATACTCACCTGGATTTCAGCACTGTACAGCTGCCCGTCCGCCAGAATACGGGTCAACGGGGCCCTTACGAATAGCCTCGACATTCAGAACGGCACGAGGCAGGGATGTCCGCTCTCTCCGATCATATTCGCACTAACATTGGAACCACTCTTAGACCGTATCCGAAAAAATGAGAGAATAAGGGGACTATGCTATAAAACCCACGAACATAAAGTTGCTGCATATGCAGATGACATGCTCTTTTTTCTCAGGAACCCAACAGACTCCATATCTCCGCTCCTGACTGAATTCGAAAACTACGGACGCCTCTCGGGATTAAAACTCAACCTGACGAAATGTGAAATCTTAAACGTTACTGTATCTGAAAGGGAAAGCGCACAACTGAAAAGCAACTACCCATTCCAATGGTGCCAAGGATGGATGAAATATCTGGGGCTATGGATCACACAGGAATCGAAAGACATCTATACACACAACCACACACCCCTTCTGACTACCATACTCAGAGACCTCGAGCGGTGGAACCATACCCACATCTCCTGGCTGGGGAGGATAGCAGTGATCAAGATGAATATCCTCCCCAGAATTTTATACCTATTTCATACAGCGCCACACACAATTCCACGCACTTTTTTCGCAAGATTGAAAACAGCATTCATTCAATACATATGGAAGGGAGACAGGGCGCGAATTAGCTTCGACAAACTCAGCCTCCCGAGAGGTTGGGGAGGACTAGCACTTCCGGATATCAAACGTTACCACCAAGCAACGGTCATGCAAAGGATAAGAGAAATACACATGGCCTCAACACAGAAACGGTGGGTGACACTTTGGAAAGATACCACCGACAACCGATTACACTCGCTGATATGGCACAAAGAAACGGAAGCGCATTCAACCTTGGGTGAGGAATCCCCGGTTACACAAATGTTAAAACAGTGGTCCATAATGAGGAACGAACAACAGATCTCACCCAAGCCAAGCCCGTTAATCCCCATAACTCATAATCCACAACTGGGGGACGGACTTGCAACATCTGCATGGCCAATCGATGCTCAAGACGGGTACATACCCATACATATGGTTCTCCACAATACGGGAGTGAAACCGCTTGGGGAGCTGGCAGACGGAAACTCGCTCACGATCCTGCACCGGTTCCATTACGCGCAGCTGCAACACTACTACCATAACCTGCCGAACAGAACTAAAATACACAGGGACCTCACATGGTATGAAACACTATGCTCACAAGCACCGGAAGCGGACGGGAGGGTATCGGCGATATACCGAACCTTAATCACAGGTAATAGAACGAACAACAACCTGTACAAACGACAATGGGAGGAATGGACGGACAATACGTTTTCAGATGACCAATGGGTCAAAATCCTGATATTACAACACAAGAGCTCCTCCAGCTCTCACTACCAGGAGGTAAACTTCAAACTACTGACACACTGGTATCGCACACCCTCTGTCCTCAGTCGATATATTCCGTCTATAACGAACACCTGCTGGAGATGCAATGCGGGCCCCGGAACGCTTCGACACATCTGGTGGGACTGTACAATCATTGAGCCATACTGGAGGAAAATCGAAAGCGAACTCCGGAACATTTTAGACGACCCTCCAACCCTGACTATGGCAGCCGCCCTTATACACCACACGGAACAACCACTTGGCTCTTACAAGAAGTCAATTCTGAGACACCTGCTGAACGCTGCTAAATCGCTGATCCCGCTACACTGGAAGAAACAAGAACCACCCACGACAGAACAGTGGAAAAGTAAGGTGGAAGACATACGAATGGCGGAAGCCAAAATAGCAGAGATACTGGGGAGAGAAGAACGACATACGGAGACATGGAGACCTTGGATGGCATATGTAACATAGAAGGTTACCCCATGCGTCAAACAGGCGGACGCTTTCCACACCTTCCCCTCCCCACCCTTTTTTTTTTTTGTTCTCTCCTCCTCTCTTTTCTTCTTCTTTTCTTCTCTAACTCTCCTAACCTATAACATAACACAAGGATCACGGAAACACAACAACCTGGTGGGTGCCACACCACACAATAGTAAAAATACAGCTAAAGGAACAGCTACATGCCAATACACACTGGGCACACAAAAGCAAACTCAGAATGAACCATTAAACAAACACACCTAGCTACAGTTCTAGTGCTGACTGGAACGCACGGAGACAACCACGAGCACTCTAAGACATGGTCACCCACGAAAGCGGTATATACTGCCTGGTGGTCGGCCATCTCAGAAAGCAACCCCAAACGGAGGTAAAGACAAACATGCATTAGCTGAAGTAGTGACCAAGGGAAGGGAGACCCAGGACCGTAAGACAAGCCCAACACAATGTACAGAACAATAAAGATGCACAAACGAACCACAGTATAACACACAACGCTCAAGAATAAAATGCAAGAGGTAAAGGTACATAGGACACTAGTATAACCGCCCACACCGGACATCCGGCCGAAATCCGACACAGATAGAAGTCCAGAAAATAGGGGGCTACCAATGTCCAGAGAATGTGCCAATGCCCGGATAGAACGAAACGGACCATGAGATAGGGATCCCCATAGCGGAAGGAAATAAACCTAACCTCTATAGTTAAAAGAGCGCCCCATGATTCCAGAGAACGCAAAAACGAAGGGGAACAGGGAAAAGGTGGAGGAGGAGGAGATGGGGAGGGGAGGTAGAGAGGGGAGAGGGACAGAGAAGGAAAGGGTACAGGAGAAGAAGGATGAGAAGAGGGGAACTACAGGATGGAGGGGAAGGGGGGGAAGGAAAGGAGAGAGGAAGGGAAAGGGAACGAAGGAGATAGGGAACCTATAGACACATGAGGTTAATAAAGCCTATAAGCATCTAAGAATACTGGGTAAATGTTAAATACTTAACTAATTGTCACTGTAAGTGAGACCTGCGTGTCTACCGATCCACTATTGCATGTTTGATTGTATATGCTACAGCAAATCTATACAAATAAACTTATATTTACAAAAAAAAAAAAAAATAATAACACAGTGATTAACAAATATCTGATATATGGGTACTCACCACCTCTGACCCCGAGATTGCTGCCCGCAGCTGTTATATATATCTATATATACTTATATAGATATAGATATATATATGTAATACATATAAAATGTATTTTGAAATAGCTACTGATCATTAAATCTCATAATTTTCTATTACTTACAGAAATGCAATGTGATAGCATTCTTACTAATGGAATTTTACTAACAAAGATAAGTGATGAAAACCGACATTGAAGAAGCAAGAATATCCCATTCATATAGCTGCAAATGGAATATCTCAAAGGTTCAGTAACATAGGCTCAATTCAACCTTTCAGCCTTTCCAGGTCGATACAATAAGCACCATAAAATTAGGTAAAAATGGCAAAATATCTAGAACCCAGAACACACTTGGAAACCAGCAAAAATATAGATGAACATTTCTTGGTTAAATAATTTGATACTGTTGTGATTATTAAGAAGATACAGGTTTACGCAAAATATTTTTAAATAAAACTAAACACAACTTTACAATTAGAATTTTCTTTTTTCACTATGGTAGTGAAAGGGTTGACTTCTTTTCACTCACCAAATTCAGAATCATCCCCCAACTCTCTCCCGTGGCGCAGCATGCAGTCTCCGAGCAGACCTTCTGTCTGAGGATATCCTGTGTTTTTAACTTGTCCTCTGATTTTTGACATTGTGTTCAACATTCCAAGCCTTGCCCTGTATGCTGGAAATGATAAGATATATTCACAATATTTTTCTGTATAGGTAAGTGTATGCATGTTTACATGTATATGCAGTATAATGGGGATATTTATCAGAGTGTTCTGAGAAGTGATGGTTACATTCACTCATTGTTTTGGTAGAATTTATTAAAGTGATCAAAAAAGTGATTTTTTTTTTTTTTTATAGTGAATCACGCCAGTTTAGCAAAAATAGACCCTTTAAATTTACAGATGTGGGAAAAATCCTGCTACTTTTCTGATGGATAAATTCATAAATCCACTGTATCGCCAAAAATGGTTTATATACTAAAAAGTACGGTTAGGGCACAAAAAACCCACAATAAATAAGAAATTTGACAGAAATTTGTGTTTGAGTTTGCAGTTTACACTGTGAGAATTCTTATACAGGTTTCACGTCTGATTTTAAAGAATTGTGAGTTCATCCATTAAACAGTAAATGGTGGAGACATGACAAGTGAATCTGAAACAGAAGGTCAAAATAAAGCAGTTGGAAAGTTCTGCTAATCACATTGGCCTCAATGTTGCTTTTATAGCTCAATAATAATAAACATATAAACAAATCGTTTTTTTGTGGGGGGTGGACTTGAATGCTCAGTAAAAGTACCTAGATCACTCCATCTCAATGAAGTGGTCTGGGTGCAGTGCCCCTGCCATTGTAACCCTTTGAAGGAACGGCACTAGACGCACTTCCGTGGGAGACCCGAGTCAGACTAGGTTCTCAATCAAATTCTGCTCAAAGAGAGCGTTTGATTGGCGCAGCATAGTGATTTGCCACGCATGCACACTTTTCCTCTGGGGAAGAATTGGATTAGCTGAAATTGGAGACGGGGCAACCATTGTGGGATATAAGATAGGTAATTATTTTTTTAACTCTTGTAGGGGAACAAATAATCCTACTAGTGAGGAGAAAACTATAGCGTTAAGAATACATGTTTGTATTCCTAACACCATGCCTGGACTGGCCATCGGGCAAACTGGGCAAATGCCCAGTGTGCCGCATTGGCCATGGGCTAAGGCCAGCAGGGGAGATCACAGGATCTCATATGCCAGCCCCTGCAGGGCCAGTGCTATCCGAGCGCCGGCCCTGCGGTGTGCCTTCATGGTCCCACAGGTACTTTACTGGGCAGCCAGGAGGTAGGAGGAAGGAGAGAGAGAGGAGAGAGCTCTATCTAGCAGCTCCACCAGGTCCTTCCTCTTGCAAGGTCGAAGCGAGAGTAAACTCACCACCGGACCACCAGGGTTTCTCCACAGGACCACCAAGGTTGCAATCTCCCACCTCCCTGGGAAAAGGTAAGAAGGGAGGGTGGAATATAACTAAAAAAAAAGGTTAAATACATAGCTACTTATGCTCATTTTAAATACATGGTTTATTTATTAAAAAAAGTTTTTATATATTTGCCTATATCTGCACCCCTCACACATGCTGCACCACAGACACACACTGCACCCTTCACATACATACACATACACACACACACACACTGTGCATCCTTCACACACACACACACTACACCACACACACAGTGCACCCTTCACACACACACTCACACTGAACCCTTCACACACACACACACACACTACACCACAGACACAGTGCACCCTTCACACATACACACACACCACACACACAGTGCACCCTTCACACATACACACACACCACACACACAGTGCACCCTTCACACACACCACACCCACAGTGCACCCTTCACATACACACACACACAATACACCCCACACACAGTGCACCCTTCACACACACTGCACCCCTCTCTCTCACACACACACAAATACAGTGCATTCTACACACACACTGCACCACACACAAACACAGTGCAACATTCAAACATACTGCACCCCTCACACACACACACATTGCACCACACACAAACACAGTAGTGCATCCTTCACACACACACACTGCACCGGCCAATTTACACAAAACACCACACCACACCACAATCAGCTCACTCTACACACATGCAATTCCACAAGCAGCCATCAAACACATGCACAATACACTTTCCTTGCCATTTTGTCCTCTGGTATCCCACCTATAGAGACACCAGAGACAGAACAAACACAGGGCCTTTTTCTCATGCTAGAGCTCTTCATGGGCTGCCCTGGAAGAGCATTAAACCAACATGCTCACTTTAAGAGGGGGTGTGTTTATCATTGGTGATGACAAAACGCTACCTCTCTAGCCCCGCCCCCTCTGTCTGGGCCACTGTGATTCAATAATGCCCGGGCTGAATTTTTTTTTACCACTCCGGGCTTGCCTAACACTATAGTGTTCCTTTCAATATCTATTATTAATAGTTTTTTTGGGGAGAACACACTCCATTTGTAGAACAGGAGGAAATTAATTGTTAGTAGTTGGTGAAACTTCCCTCATTACATTCTACATAATTCTCATTCCATTATTAACCCTTAAGGACAGCCGGCATTCTATGCTGTCCTTGTGGACCTGGCTCTAAAAGTCGGTGGGCGGCATAGCATGTCCACACCGTCCTTCCCACTTACCTGCTTGCCGGCGATCCCACACCGGTGATCGCGATTGGGGGGGGGGACTTACCCGACATCCCAGGGAGTCCCCCTGCTGCCGATCTGGCCCTCCTGGGCCATGTGATCCCGAGGTCCTTGCGAGGTCCTCTGCTTCTGTACACACTCTGCTGAGCACTTTTCTGCACTTCATTACAAATTATTCCTGTCCTAATTTCTTGTCCACCTTCTAGAGATACTTCCACTCATTAATGAATACTTTTGGATTATTGTATATCTACTACTTTATATCTTTAGTTCTCTCCTTTATCTCTCCATTCACTATTCTATCACCCTCCATGGTTTCTTCTATCATTCATCATTACACGCAGGACATGTCATTTCCAAAGTCCGTCAGGTACTGAGATTTCAACAAATAAGTTGTCCATGCTCCCAGTATTCCACTGTGCAATGAATAAGGTCAACCAAAGATATGTATGATAGGCTGTGTGACATTGAAGCTTACCATTACCTGAGTGTTTGTAGATCGGTGGGATTTAGTCCCTGGGAGAGCCCTGTTAATTGTCAAAATGTTTGTAAATGGTCTGATATGATACTGGGACTCATTGCACCAATTGTAAGACTTATTTTACCATAGCCACTGAAAAGAGCAGTAGTGATTATGGTGTTTAGAGTTTCCCTTTAATAAAAGCCTGCAGAGCAGATTTAGAAAAAAATCAACACAGAATATTGGCAGTTTTCTAAGCGCTGTTAGACATTTTCTGATAGAGTCACTTTAATGTGTTCACAGCATAACACACTGTCACTTTACCTGGGTTTGGCTGTAGGTATTCTGTTGTCTTGGATAGTAGTTCTGCAACAACCTTATTAGTGATGTCAATTTTCTAAAAATACAAACAGAATTTTTTTTTTTTTAAATAGTTTTTCAGATTTCAATTAAACCATGTCTATGTAACCCTCACATATGTTCAGGCTATAAATGTGTTTTGTCAATTCTACCTACAAGAAAAAAAAATCACCTAGCTGAATTTCAAAAAAAATATTTGAGTAGAAAATATTAAAGGTCTAGTCCAGTATCATCTTTAAAATTCTTTATCTGCAGATTTTTTTCGATAACCAAATATCGTCGTTTTAAATATCAATCATGTCTAGTCAGGGCCGGACTGGCTCGGGATACTGGGAAATTTCCCGGTGGGACGGCATACTAGCGGGCCGGTGCGCGGCCGCCTAGTCCGCACCGGCCTGCGTGCTGCACGGCACAATTACAGGGTGACCGGCAAGAGGGGATACACTCCCCTCCTGCCGGTCACAGAATGTAGCGGGGCCGAGCAGGCAGACCGCGGGTAGAGGAGCTTCTGTTCCCCTATCCGGTCTGACAGGAAGTGCTCACAGAGAGCACATGACTGCTTCCTGTCAGACCGGGTACAGTGAGCAGGGACACACACAGCCCTGCTCGGCCTCCCTACAGCTAGGTACAGGGAGAGTTGGGAAGGGGGGACCAATGGGACACAGGGAGAGCATGGGGGAACTAATGGAACACAGGGAGAGCTGGGGAGGGAACTAATGGGAAACAGGGAGAGCTGGGGAGGGAACTAATGGGACCCAGGGAGGGAGAGCTGGGGCAGGAACTAATGGGACACATGGAGAGCTGGGTGGAACTAATGGGACACATGGAGAGCTGGGAGGAACTAATGGGACACATGGAGAGCTGGGGGGAACTAATGGGACACATGGCAAGCTGGGGGGAACTAATGGGACCCAGGAGAGAGCTGGGGGGAACTAATGGGACACTGGGGGAACTAATGGGACACAGGGAGAGCATGGGAAGGAACTAATGGGATACAGGGAGAGCTGGGGGGAACTAATGGGATACAGGGAGAGCGGAGGGCTAATGGGATACATGGAGAGCTTGGGGGGGACTAATGGGACACAGGGAGAGCTGGGGGATTCAATGGGACACATCAAGAGCTGGGGGTGGGCTAAAGGGACACATTGAGGGCTGGGAGGGGGATATAAGAACACATGGAGGGATGGGAGGGGGATATAAGAACACATGGAGGGCTGGGAAGAGGATATAAGAACACATGGAGGGCTGGGAGGAGGGTATAGGGACACATGGAGGGCTGGGAGGAGGGTATAGGGACACATGGAGGCATTGGCAGATCTAGGGGGGGCAACGGGGCAATTGCCCCCTCCCCCGAGAAAATAGTGCTGGCCGAGGGTCTCCCCTGCCAGCCCATGCAGGGCTGGCACTATCCAAGCACCAGCCCTGCTGTTTGCCATCACGGACCGGAGGGGACATCAGTGATCTCCCTCCACGGCCCACACAGGCACATTACTGGCAGCAGGCAGGGGAGGGAGTGAGAGAGAGAACCCGGGGGAGCTCTTACATGTAGCTCCGCCAGGTTCTCTTCTCGCGATCACGGAGTGGTGCCGCGGTTACCATGGCAATGCTCCATTCTCGCGAGAGTGAACTCTAGCCTGAGCTGCAGGTTAGAGTTCACTCCCCCACTAGAACCACCAGGGATGAAAAGAAAGCAATGTCTCCCCCTCCCTCAGCAAAGGTAAGAAGGGAGGGGGGACATTAGCTATATTTATTTAGTTATTTAATAATTAAAAAAACAAATATATTTAATCTGCCCCCCTATCCCCTCACACACTGCACCACACACAGCTCCCCTACACACACAGCACCCCTATCCCCTCACACAAACTATAACCCCCTACACACTGCACCACACACAGCCCCCCTTACACACCCAGCCCTCTTTACATATACACACACAGCCCTCCTTACACACACAACCCCCTTACATACACAGCCATCCTTACACACACACAGCCCCCATACACAGCCCCCCACACACACACACACACAGCCCCCTACATACACACAGCCCCCTACACACACACAGCCCTCCTTACACACACAGCCTCCCACACAAAACCCCTTACATACACACAGCCCCCCTTTACACACACAGCCCCTACACACACAACCTTTACATACACAGCCATCCCACACACAACACACAACAGCCCCCTACACACACACACACAGCCCCCTACACACACACACAGCCCTCCCACACACACAGCCTCCTACACACACACACAACCCCCACATACACAGCCATCCTACACACACACACACAGCCCCTACACAAAGCCCCCCTACACACACACACAGCCCCCACACACAGCCCCCCACACACACACAGCCCTCCACACACACAGCCCTCCCACACAAACCCCCCACACACACAGCCCCTTTACACACACACAGCCCCCACACACACAGCCCCCCACACAAGCCCCATACACACACAGCCCTCCCCCATACACACACAGCCCCATACACACACAACCCTCCCCCACATACACAGCCCTCCTACACACACACAAAGCCCCCCACACACAGCCCCCCATACACACAATAGGCCCCCGATACACACACAGCCCCCATACACACATAGCCCTCCTTACACACACAACCTCCCCTTACACACACAGCCCCCCTATCCCCTCACAAACTATAAGCCCCTACACACTGCACCACACACAAATATACAGACCCCTTACACACACAGCCCCCCTTCACACACACAGCTTCCCCTTACACACACAGCCCCCCCTTACACACACTGCCTCCCCACACACACAGCCCCCCCTTACACACATAGCCCCCAATACACACACTGCCCCCTTATACACACAGCCCCCAATACACACACACAGCGCCACTCACACACAAACACACTGCACCCATTACACACAAACACACTGCTCCCAATATACAAATTGCTACCCCATAGATACACTACACCACTCACACACACACACACAACAGCCCCTATCCTAGCAGACACTGGGTAAGTTATCTTTTTTTAAACTGTCTGACTTCTTACTCTGGGATGGCACCACAGCAAATCCTGGCACCAAAACCACTACAGAGAGCTTTAGTGGTTATTGCACCTGGATTGTTTCTTAAAATGGTCTGCCAGTGCCCCTCCCGAGATTAGCGTCTGGATCCGCCACTGCATGGAGGGCTGGGAGGAGATATAGGGACACATGGAGTGCTGGGAGGGGGCTAATGGGACAGATGGGGGCTGGGAGGGATAGCTAGTGGGACACATGGGGGCTGGGAGGGGGCCTATTGGGACACATGGGGGCTGGGAGGGGCCTATTGGGACACATTGAGGGCCGGGAGGGGGCTATAGTGACACATGAAGGGCTGAGGGGCTCATGGGACACATGGGGTGCTAATTGGGACACATGGGAGGGCTAAGGAGACACATGGGAAGGCTAATGAGACACATTCAGGACTTGGAGGGGGTATAAGGACTCATGGAGAGTTTGGAGTCGGCATAGGAAGACATGGAGGACAGGGAGGGCGCTATAGGAACACATGGATGGCTTGGAGGGAGGGTTAGTGGGACACATGGAGGGCTGGGAGAGAGAGCTAGTGGGACACATGGAGGGCTGGGGGGCTATATGGACATAGGGAGGGCTAATAGGACACATGGAAGGCTGAGGGCTAATGGGACACGTGGGGGCTACTGAGACACATGGAAGACTGGAGAGGGTGGAATGAGACACACAGAGGGTTGTGGGGTAATGAGACACATGGAGGGGCTGGCGAGTAAAAAAAGACACACAGAGGTGTGTGGGGAGAAAGAGACAGGGGTTGGGAAAGGGGAACAGGAGGCACACATAGAGGAGCTGAGTAAGACAAACAAGAGACACACAGAGGGGCTGGGAAAGGGGAGAATGAGACACACAGAGGAGCTGTGGGAAAAGATACACATAGAGGTGTTGGGGCCTGGGAAAGAGACTCACAGAAGGGCTGGGGAAAGGGAGGCAGAGACAAGGGGGTTGGGGCTAAGAGACACATGAAAGGGGCTTTTGGGAGAAAGACACAAACAAAATGCATCTTCACTTGTGTTTCCTGCTCTCCCTGTAACTCAGAGTCAACCGGTGAGAGAAAGAAGTCGTATTAAAGGGAAACTACAGTCACCAGAACTACTACAGTTTAATGTAGTGGTTCTGGTGTCTATAGTCTGTCCCTGTATTCTGAGCACTGTAAATGCTACCTTTTCAGACAAAAGGCAGTGTCTACATTGCTGCCTAGGAACATCTTTAGTGACAGTCACTCAGACGGCCACTAGAGATGCTTCCTAGTCCAGTGCTGCACACTCTGCATGGAGGCGCTGATCGCTCCCCATAGAGATGCATTGATGCAAAGAATCTCTATGAGGAGATGCTGAATGGTGTGGTGAAGCGCAGCATATTGCCAAACATGCGCAATAGCCCCCCCAATGCTTTCCTATGGGAATTGAATTGGCATTGACTGAAACTTATCCAGTTGTAAGCCAAAGTGAAGAGCACACTCTTATTACTTCAAAATAAAACAAGATAAAATTATTATTTTTACTGCTGTGCAATAGCATATATTCACAATTTCAGTCCAAATTACCAAACTTTTCTTAATATATCAAGAAAATGGACTGAAACATTGATTATATGCAAATGCACGTCTGCTTATAATAAATCTGCTCTTTTGTTTATTTTGAAGCCCTATGAGTGCGTTCTTTCACGTTTGAGTGCTAGTTTTCAGTTTTACGTTTGTTTTTCCCGCTTTGATATCTGCACACTATGCTGGCGCGATGCATTATGGGGCTGGTATAGAATTTGTTTCCAGGGCTGCTTTTCATTCCCAGTCCGGCCCTGTGTCTAGTCCAGGGATAGGCAACCTTTTAGCAGCACTGTGCCGAAATAAGATTGGGATGTCTCGCAGCGTGTCGGTCCTGTTTTTTAAAATTGAGGTGTGTATGTTGCCATATTCCGCTTGTGTTATTTGTACTGCAGTTGCTTTGTATCATTGTATTTGTGTGTATATGAGCTAATATATTGTATATGTTCACAAGTAGCTTGTTGTGTTGTGTATGATACCTATGAATGTAGGTTGTGTATGGGAGCTGCTTGTGGAATTGTGCGTGGATGGATATGTCACATTGTGTGTTTGGTAGTGTGTGTATGTTTAGGGTATTGCATGTGAGAGGCTGCATGTGGGGTCGTGTGCATGTATGTGGATTGTTAGTGGTGTTGAGTTTGTGAGGATTGTGTGTATGTTTGTGTGTGGGTTGGCTGTTCGTGTTATAAGGGAGGGTTATTTTGCATTTCTGTGTATATCTAGCAGTGTGGATGGCTTCTCTTGGTTCCAGTGGGGACCGTGCTGGCCAGGTGCAGGTCAAGGACAGGAGCTCCAAGAGCAGCTGCGGGCGGCTCTACTCCAGTGTGGATTCCCATTCACAAGTGCTGGGAGGAAGTGGTCTCAGATCACTTCCTCTATGTGCTGCAATGCATACATTGAGGATTGTCCTTCACCACCTCTTCGTATTAGCAGATATCTGAAGTTTCACTGGGACTCCTGATAGGCCACAGTGTGTTTGGCTCTAGCAGCCTTGAGTGCCGTGGAAAAACACCTTGAGTGCCGTGCATGGCACTAGTGCCGTAGGTTGCCTACTCTAGTCAATAAACGATAAAGTATGAAGACAAACAATACAGCATCAAATGGTTTGACGGCACATGTCTTCGGTGCAGAGAAATTTATTTGGAAGAACCGTAGAAAAAGGAAGAAAAAGGAAGAAAAAGAAAAAACATTAGAGAAAGGTTCACCGGGGGACCATGGTCCCAGCCTATGACAGAAGAGGATGCTCCAGCCATTATCACATGTATTGGTCCAATATCACTTTTAATGCAAAACTGAACAAGAAACGGTTTGCTGTATTTTCATTCAATGTTCTATAGTACCTTGTTTTGATAAAAATCATTATTACATTTAGGTGGATTCCTCAACTTGAGTGAGTCAAGTCCTTCGACTTGTGTGTATATATTCGCTGACCCTCCTAATGTAATATCCTGACCAGAGGCGGCTCTCTAATTAGGCGGTTTAGGCGGCCGCCTAAGGCCTCGCGCTGTGTGGGGCCTCGCGGCCGCCTAAACCGCCATAGGGCAGACTGACATGTCGGGTCCTCGAGGACCCAACACAGGAGGGGACCCGGCGGCTTGCCCTGTATGCCGCCGGGTGCGAGGCCCCTCCTGTCAGTCTGCCCGGGAGAGCCAGCCTTCAGTCTGCAGCTCCGCCGGGTGTGAGCTGCAGACTGAAGTGTCTCGCGATCTCCAGCCAATTAGAGCGTTGCCGCGGGTTACCACGGCAACGCTCTGACTGGAGATCGCGAGACATTCACCATGTGGTCTGCAGCTCTGCATCCGGCAGAGCTGCAGACCGGAGAGCCCACTGGACCACCAGGTAGTCTGTCACCACTGGACCACCAGGGAAAAAGGTACCTGCCACCCCATCTGTCACCCCCCTCACCCTGTCACCCCATCTGTCACCCTGCCACCCCATTTGTCACCCCCCACACCCTGCCACCCAACATGTCACCCTGTCACCCTGCCACCCCACCTGTCACCCTGCAACCCTGCCACCCCACCTGTCACCCTGCAACCCTGACACCCCATCTGTCACCCTGCCACCCCACATGTCACCCCGTCTGTCACTCTGTCTGTCACCCTGCCACCCCACCTGTCACCCTGCAACCCTGACACCCCATCTGTCACCCTGCCACCCCACATGTCACCCCGTCTGTCACTCTGTCTGTCACCCTGCCACCCCACCTGTCACCCTGCCACCCCAACTGCCACCCCACCTGTCACCCTGCAACTCTGACACCCCATCTGTCACCCTGCCACCCCACATGTCACCCTGTCTGTCACCCTGCCACCCCACCTGTCACCCCATTTGTCACCCTGCCACCCCACATGTCACCCTGTCTGTAGCCCTGCCACCCCACCTGTCACCCCATCTGTCACCCTGCCACCCCATCTGTCACCCTGTCACCCCATCTGTCACCCTGCCACCCCACCTATCACCCCACCTGTCACCCTGCCACCCCAACTGTCATCCTGCCACCCCATCTGCCACCTCACTCTGTCGCTCCCCACACACTAGGTCACCCCACCTCACACTTTCACCCCCTCACACTATGTCACCCCCTCTTAGTCTGTCACCTTCCCTCTCACTCTGTCACCCCATCACACTATGTCACCCACCCTCTTACTCTGACACTCCCCTCTTACTCTGTTACCCACCTTCACTATGTCACCCTTCCTCTCACTCTATCACACCCCTTACACTAATGTAACCCTCACACTCTGTCACCACCCCTCACACTCTGTCACCACCCCTCACACTTTGTCACCCCCCACACACTCTGTCACCCCTCTCGGCACACACTGACACCCCTTCATACACATTGTCACCCCCCTCCATACACACTGTCACTCCCCTCCATACACACTGTCTCTCCCTCCAAACACACAGGCACCACTCTCCACACACACAGGCACCTCCCTCCATTCTCATTGTCAGCCCTCAACACTCTGGTACCCACCTCCAAACACTCTGGTACCCTCCTCTTTTACACTCACCCTGCCACCCCCTGAAGGCAATAATTATACACACTGTCATAAAACATAGCTTCGCCATAAACTCAGTGCCAAAGGCCACAGGCCACAGGCAGTACACAAACATACACATGCTCAGAGAAACATACATACATATACAAGGATCCTCACTGCCAGACACACACAGGTAGACAATGCAACGATGTATACAAAGACTAGCTCACTATATCCAGTGCTGCAAGCCCCCCCTTCAGTATATCTACAGCTTCTTTTACACACATAAATCAACTGCTATTTTTTTTCAATAATGGTGTTAGTGGGGGCCTCATGTAGGAGTTTCGCCTAAGGCCTCGCCAAGTCTAGAGCCGCCACTGCTCTGGAATGCCCTGTATGTATGCAGGAGGGTCGGTGTGGCCGTGTGACCAGATGGTGTACTCAGAATGTGGTATGCTAGGGCAGTATATAATCCCAGGCAGCAGGATGGGTTACATATGCCGTGCCAAAGTGAAAGGGCTCAAAGTAGGGTGTAGCGGTAAGCGTCCTGATGGCCATACGAAGAGTGTGTTGTGAAGGCCTAGGGAGGGCTGCAACTTAACTATGCAATCAAAAAGGCTAAGCCCATAGTAAAACTTGGATGGCAAGGTGGCCACATGAAGGTAGTATGTGACTTAGTGGGTGTCTTAATGAAAATATGTGGGTACAATGTCAGCCGTTCAGATGTGTGGCGCTGGCCACTTGTGCATACCCTTGAATGCAGAATGGTGATTTGAACGCGACACCCGAAGGTGGGGCCGAAGTGGCCGTAGTATAATACCAATTGAGGGTCTAAGTATTATGTGAGCATGACTACTAAATGATCAAATATTAGGGGAAATATGAGTCGAGAAATTGCAGTGTAACCCTATAATTATTCAGTAAGCACCTAGTGTAGGAACCAGTGAACATGAGAATGTATGTATTAATGTGGAACTGTATATGATACATTCCTACTTGCGACCAGAGTTTAACTTCTTAATGCTTTGTAACACGACCTCTCCCCTCCGCCCCCAAGTATTTGGGCCACCTATGCACGCCTGAGGTGAAGTATGGCGCCTCCTGTATAGGAGTGTAGTGCTGATGTGTGGTCCCTTTAAATGACAACGTATGGAAATCCGGACCGGTTGGAAGTTGTGGGGTGTCAGAGTTCACAAGGTGCGAGATCTGATTGCTGGGGTCTAGGACAACTAGGTAGAAACTAGCCACGTTCCGTATATTGCCGGACCTAACCAGGAATATATATGTAGAGTTAATATTCCCAGTCAACGGTAAAGCGGTAAGACTGCTTAACCAAGACCCTACATGCCACTATGCCTTTGGCCACATTTGCCTGCGAGGAGTGAACTGGAAATTGTGGATACATTTTTGTCATGAGGGTGTGTGGCTCCCCCCTTTTTGACATGGTAACCTGGTAAATTCCTATCTGTTGTATGATAGTAACAGTCTGTGGTCTTGATGTCGAGTCTCATGGCTCGTACTGACAATTTAATCAGGGGAGGCCCGAATCTCCCTTCCTATGTTACCCCTTATTTTTAAATCTCGACTGTGTCCCGTGGCCTTGGGAGGTTGGTAAGCTTGAGAGTTTGATGATTGTTTTGTCTCTGTTATGGGAAAATTCCCTTTGCACCATTAGCACATGTAGAGTTAGTTCATATGTTGCTATGACAACAGGGGAACATGCTGAGCCTGACCTGTTACGTGATATGAATTTGTTAGTATGCCGGTGTGGTTCGTGATGGCCATTGGAGTGGGTTGCATGACAAATGCAAATGTTAGCTAGTAAGGCTGCCTTGCATGGATAGTGCGAAGTTTGTGGCTGTCATGGAGAATAGGTAGTCACGTTACCGCATGTCCCACAGCCTGGATGTGAAGCCGTAAAATGGCAGCCGGAGCGTAATTCCGGCAGGTACATTTGAGGCATGCTGGCCGGATCGCTGGTGGGGTTGATAGGTCACCGTGGGCCTGGGATGTGTGGTAGCTGTGCGTGGTGAGTGCAAGGTTCATGGCTGTCATGGAGGAAAAGGTACTCACGTTACCGAAGTGGTCCGGATGTGAAGCCATAAAGCGGCGGCCTGAGCGGAATACAGCCAGTAAGTTTGTGGCAGGCTGGCCAGATCGCCGGTGGGGTTTGCGGGTCCACCGTGAACCTGTGATGTGCAGTAGCCATGCGAGGTGAGTGCGAGGTGAGTGCGAGGTGAGTGGCTGTCATGGGGGAGAAAGTACTCACATTACCTACGTGTCCCGCGGCCTGTGTGACTGTGTCTCTGTATCTGCATGTGTGGCTGTGCATCCGTAAGTGTGTATCTTTATATGTGTCTGTGTCTGTGTGTGTATCTGTGTCTGTGTATCAATATGTGTGTATATCTGTGCGTATGTGTGTAGCTGTGTTTCTGTGTAGCTGTGTGTGTCTGTGTATCTGTCTGTCAGTGTGCATATGTGTGTCTATGTATCTGAATGTGTGTCAATATGTGTGTATGTGTATATGTGCATACATCTCAGTATCTTGCCAACACTACACACAAATACACCCCCTGCATTCAAACGCCAACACTACATACAAACACACCTCTGTATTCAAAAATCACACGACACACGAAATGTCAACACTACATAAAAACACTCTCCTACAGTCACTCACACATACTCCATAACATGCTTACATTCAAACACACAAAGCTAAGTGCTAAATACATTAATAAATACAGAAATACTGCTAAGTGCTAAATACATTAGAATATTTTGTGTTTTGCTTTTTTTTTAGTAGAGTGTCGGGGGGGGATGCCAAAGGCATACCAATGTTTCAGCAAAGGTTAATAAGAGCTAATGGGTCACTTTAGAACCTGCAGACAGATCCTATTCCAGGTCTGTCTTTAGGTTCACCCATGAGGTAAATGCAGAAAAAGAATGAAATAAAAGCTAAAAGTAGAAAAGGGAAAATGAGCACACAGATTGTATATGAATAATGACAGACAATTTAGTGGTAAAGGGAAAACATAAATCACATAGAAGTGCCTAACAGGTATCCAGGAATCTGGTATTTCCATATAATCGTATTTTTGCAGACCATGTTTTTAATTCCCTCGTCTCGTTGCACTCCTTGTAAAATGTGAAACCTGTTTCCCTATTTAGTGGACAATGTACCATTCAGTATTCTGTTGCACTTTCTCTACCTCACTTTGAATTCCCTCTTCCTTTTATGAACACGCTCCATCTCTCACCTCTCAGTTTTCTTCTCATCCACGGGAAAACTGGATTTGCCACCTAATCCTATTACCCCCTGTGATTTCAGAGAGTATCATTAAATGCGCTCAGCACATCAGGGGAGAGCAGGGGCCAAATCTGTCACAGGATTTACAGGAATGAAAAAACTAGAGAGGAGGTAGGGGCAAAGCAATTAATGGAGATGGGCAATAGTAGAGGGGGGGGGTCCAAACGTATGCTCAGTTTATCTGTAAGATGCATTTAAGTAGTTACTGGCCCTGAAAGAATAAGGTAAATAATAAAGGCGAGGGAGGGAGAGAGTGAATAATGTGGAGACAATTGAGATACATGCATACACAGGAAGATGTGTAAAGTGTAGGGGGCTCCTGTTCATTAGTATCCATCACACGGTCTTGCTCTAAGGCCTTGACTGTTACAGCTAGTGAGCTGCTTCCCCTTGGGGGGCTATTAATGGTAGGATGTAATTTCTACATAGCAAACAGGGTAAAGAATGCCCATCACATCAACCTTTCAGCCAGGGGCAGATTCTCAGCTGCATATCAGCTGCAGACTGTGCCGTGCTGGGAGGGAGACAACACAAAATGTATGTGTGATGGGGAGAGGAGAAGTGATACATGAAGCACAGAAAAAGCAAGGATGTGTGAGAGAGACAGAACGAAAGTGAGAAGCAGAAATTAAAATAATGCTGTTAGCTCCTTACTGTGCGTTATGAATGCATTTAGTTACAATGCTAACAATGTAAAATAAATAGCCATCAGTCCCCTCTTCCCCTAACTTAACCCACATGCCCAATCATAGTTTCTAATTTGCTAAAAGCACATTTAAAAAAAAATTTACTCTGCAGAGGTCTGACATGGCGAATACCCCCCCTTCTACAAGGGATCAGGAAAATTTGCCTTTTAGTCAGTGTTGATGGGGGGGGGGGGACACAAGAGAAGAGGACAGATGGCACTGCGATTATATAATGTCACTTGTTACTCTGTATTTGCACGGGTATTTGTGCAAATCTGTCAGATACCCATGGCCCCTGTCAATGCAGTCAGCTCAGTGTCAAGGTTTTACTGCAGGTCACATACATTATGTTTGTATAGGAGCAACGTATAGATGTTTAAAGAGTTACAGCAGTAAAGGTTTAAGATGTACAGGATTTAAAGTTTATAGACAGATGACCCAGGGACCTGATATTAAAACAATCTTGTATACAGCAGAGTATAGCAGTAAAAGACAAAGTTATTTGTTATATTGAAGACAGAGTTATGAGTCTTCAGCGGTCATGGTGACGGAGTTAGCTCCCGAATGATTATTAACAGCTTAGCTTGTATTGAGGTCCATTTGGGTTGGTGCAGAGGTTACAAAGAAAAACAACAAATTAAGAAAAACAACAAATTCATTTCATCCACAATAGCTGATATTATAATCCAGAAAATAAATATTCTGCAGGAAAGGTGCAAAATGGAGTCAGGAAAAATCACTGTGTGTGTGGGTGCAAAAAAAAAACAAATATGGGGACTTGGTTACACCATAGGGCCATATGGTGTTAAGCTCACTACTATATCACAGTACCCCAATTCGGGTGGGTTCTATGATAATATTAACATATGAGATAAACATACTGCAACACACACTGCCGATGGGGAGGAAGGACGACACCTTCAGCTCCCTGGGACTCACACTGTCACTGGGGAGGAAAGACGACACCTTCAGCTTCCTCGGACTTACACTGTTGCTGCTGGGGAGGAAGGACGGCACCTTCGGCTCCCTGTAACTCAATTGTAACGGACCGTTTTGCACACAAGAGGTCAAAAAACGTTTAGGCGATATTCCCCTTTCAGATGCACAGCAGCTTGCAGCTTGCAGCTACTGCAAGCACCAATCTCCCGAACTGCAAACTACACAAATCCTCTAACTCCTGAACAGGAAACACACGAACACTGGAAACAGCCGAACAGGAAAAGCATACAATCAGCTTACACTCGTGGCAATCAGCATACAATCCAATTCCCACAATAACGAGATGACACTTCGTTTTGAGGGTCAAGCAGAATCTGGTTTACTGGGGCTACCTGCCCGGCTTTTATGCAGGTCTCCCACCTGGTGGACACTCCCGTAGGGGGCCAGATGGAAGACTGGGACACAAAGGGTAAAAGGACCAATCACAGACTTACACATTTCAACAATCCCATAATGCATCACAATCCCTCCTCTCTGGCCTGGAGATAATTGGGAAGTAATCCAATTATCTCCAAGGACTGAGGCAAAACTCCATTACACACATTTTCAGTAAAAAGACATAAAATTACATACGGTTACCTTTATCACATAAAACATACACATTCTACATATTCCCAGATAGCTTAGATCTAAGCGCACATTATTACCGAATGGCGCTCAGATCACATACATACAGTTCAATTGCCATGGAGCCAAAGTCTTTTCCATAGTCTTTTGTTACACGCATAGGCTCCATGGCATAGCTATCTGGGGTGATGCTGTTCATATGGTTAAACTACCGAATGAACAGTCATTTGGTTCCACTACCGAATGCAGAGGTAAGGAGGCTGGCGGCTCAGCGGTGTACGCGCAAATAAGTGTCCGTTTCCAGTTCCATAGTTTGGGCGCTGAACACCGCTGGCAGTTTGGGACTTAAAATGGCAAACGAACCAGCGTTCGTCAATTAAGCTGCGGTTAACTGCAGCTTCTGGGTGGTCAATTGACGGCACACTCCAGTTCCCAGGTGGTCGATCGTTCGGTACTTTGTTCGGTAGATTGAATCTACCGAACACCCCGGCGGAAAGGCACGAATATGCCTTTCTGCAGAGAAAATAAAAGGTTTTAAATGCCGGGCCATAGTCTAAAGGGAGCAGGCGAGCAACCAGGCTTCTCCAGTGGACAGTGGCGAGGCTGGTTCCGCCACACATACTAACTGCAATATTTACAGCTTAAACAGCTTCCAGAGACTCTCCTCAAATGTATGCTCTCCTGTGATCACCTACAAAGGGCCACCTAGAGTGGAGTTGGGTTTCTGGACCCAAATAGGAATCTAGTCTTGCTTCTAAATATACAAAGAAAAACATGCATTTCTCGCACTGGTGCTATTGTAAAAAGTTAAATATATACGAAATATGGATTAAGGAAGAGCGCACCCAAAAAAATACAGTTTTATGTTTTACAAGACTACCTATCACGTATCCTAGCAAACACTTATTTGGAATTGGCTACACCATATGGCCATAAATATGTTTCTTATTTGTTATATTTGTTCTTTTTTTATGTGTGCCGCAGCTATATTTGTAGATATGGCATATATTTGACTCCAATCTATATGATTTTATATTTTAAGATTTACGTTTGTATCATGAAGCTTATTTAATATAGGCTAGCTAAAATGTATGACAAACCTATATGCAATTAATTCTATTCTACTGGGGTAAATTATAACGATATATTTAAAATGCATTATATGTTTTGATCAAAATCATTTTGCTATTTATTATATAACAGTTAATCCAGGATTGAGCTCATCTCCCATATGTTAAAATCAGTTAAACTCATTGCCAAACCAATCTTATATCATTGAATGTCAGTATTGGTTTCAGTCAAGAAAAGATATAAAGGAAACTTCTGCACAATCTAATACATTTCAGGTGTGGATTATTTTCGTTTTCGCTTTTCATGTGTATTAAAGAAACACTATAGTTTTAGGCATGCAAAACTGTATTCCTAACACTATAGTGTCCCTCTGCCAGCCCTCCTTGCACTCTTTCCCGCATCATTCCCAGCAGCAAATAAAAGGTTAAATACCCATTTTACCCTTACCTGATTCATTGGTACTAGGTTAGGCTCCGACAACAATGTCAGCCAATAGGGGGAATCTAATGCACATGCGCGCCTTAGGTCTTTCCCATAGGAAACCATTGACTCCTCTGGGGGATTTAAAGATGCTGGACATCCTCATGCATAGCGTGAGAACGCCCAGCGTTGTTTCACAGAGTCAAACTCCGTGAGAGAGCAGGAAGTACCTCTAGTGGCCATCTGGTTGACAGCCACCAGATGCAGTCTTAACCCTGCAATGTATTTATTGCAGTTTCTTAGACACTGCATTGTTTTACATTGCAGGGTTATGGGAACAGTGCCACTGCACCCAGATCACTTTAATAAGGTGAAGTGGTCTGGGTGCCTACAGAGTCCCTTTAAGTTTATTTTGCAAGTGAGTGATAGTTGAAGATGGAGATGGGCTTATATCTGTACAAGTTTTGACAATTGCTCCAGTTACAAACCATGAAGGGGACAGGGGCTAATGAACTTTTTACATCACAATACAGGTTAGGATAATTGGTAATGATGGGTCCCTTTAAATCAAGCAATTTATTTTAACCCCTTAAGGACCAAACTTCTGGAATAAAAGGGAATCATGACATGTCACACATGTCGTGTGTCCTTAAGGGGTTAAATCGCAAAACACACTACACCCTTCCTTTTAAAGGAAATGGAATACCTATATTAGAGACTACTGCACTAGATATTCATGGTTCTGAAGATCTTACCTGGAGGAATGAAATGTGTTGGTTGATTTGCATCATTGCCTTAGAGCACTGCTGTTCCTGAGTAAAGCTATGATGACTTTACAGAATTAAAAGTGTGAGTTAATTCATTCATGCCAAACCACCTAATGGCCACTGTACCAAATAGCTCCAGTAGCCAATTTTCTGAGTTGAGCTCTCATCGTTAAAATAGTTTGGCTCATGACAATTTTTCACTTCCCTATCTTTTTTTTTATAAACATTTCCTGTTTGAACAACTGAAAATAAAACTTGTATGAGTTCCTGGTAACCCATCTTACTTCATGATGTGTTTTCTGTTCCTGCTCTACTATTCAACCATGTTGGTCATTGACTCATTATACAATATTATACAGACACTTCTAGTCAAAAGTCAGAACCCACCAAAACCCCGTAAGACACCTAATATAAAGTTAGCCTCATTTTTATCTAACTTCAGGTCTCTTCCATGATTAGTTTAAAATGTTGTTCTAGATTTTAACTCATCTTGTAAACTTTAGATGATTATGACTGGATATTTGTTTGTTACTGCAGCTGGAGTGACTTGATGATTTTGTCTATACTGTCATCAAATTGTCTTTAAATGAATACAGTGGGAAAAGAAAATATATGGCAAGACATTTGTGTGCCCCCCTTCTAGGGCAAAGGTGGCTAAAAAGGTAAATCCTCAACTGTCATACAACTCCAACAATGTTATGCAAGCTGGGAATCTACTATTTTCTGGCAGGGTTGTATTTGCGATCAGTGCATGCATGTTTTTTGAATAAAGGCATATTGAATGGAGTATGTTTGTGTGAATGCAGTAGTGTGTTTGTGTAGTATTGGTATTTGAATGCAGATGTGTGTTCCTGTGTTGTGTGTGTTTGAATATAGAGGTGTGTTTGTTTGCAGTGTTTTTGTTTGAATGCTGGAATGTATGTACTGACACACAGATATATATGTACTGACAAATACACACTGAGATAGACACAGAATTATGTATTTTTAGTCACTCTCCCGTATTCTTACCTTTTGGGTGCAAGAGGGTGTCTTACTTAGTGTCAAGTGGGAACTGGCTGCAGGATGTGAGAGCAAGCTGGCTATGCTAGATGGATGTGGGAGCAGGCTGGCTGCAGGGGAACTGATTATATGGTGGGTCCTGACATGGCCCCTGATAAGCGATATCTGGCTGGCCCTTTGTGTTAGAGTCACCTGATGGGTAGCTGTTGCTGCTTGGCCCCATGTGACTAGCAGATCACCCGAGGTATGATCTCACTCGTGATCTTTGTGTTCTGCCACCACAACACAGTTTGTTTATTTTAGACCAGTGATCAGTTAGAAGAAACTATTAAGATTGTACTCTTATGTGGAAATGGAAAGTGTGGTAAGTTAACCATTTCCACTCTTGCACTCAAGTTTAGAGGACCAAAACTCGATTTTATGACATTATTAAAAAAAAAAAAAAAGATTGGGATCCAGGGGTGCAGGGGCAAACTCATTTAACTCTGAATGTCAGAGTAGTGTGTTCTATATACCACAATCAAAGTAATGTTCAAAATATTATTATGTTATCTTGATGTGACAAGTCATAGTAATGCATATCTAATAATACTTTTTAAAACTTTTAAAAATCACAATTATGATCTTTGATTTCATAAGAAATTTTATTGCAAATATAGAAATAGATTTTTTTTTCCATCCACTATTCTTTTTTTTTTCTTCTTCTTTTTTTTTTTTTTTCATGAACAATTGCGTGCCATTAAAACAAAATATGGAAAGACAGCAAACCAGAGATCTTCCCAGTTCCTCGTTGTCCTCTCATGGAGGACACAACTGCTTGGGCTGGTATCTGAAGGACAAGAAATGAAGGCAAAATGCTAGGGTATGATGTGAAATGTATGTGCGTACTCATATGTCTCCACATGACCAATAAGTGCTCTGCTTTCTGTGAGGTCATATTCACCATGTTGTGAAGGGACGTTAAATGTAAATGAGTATGTTTCAGAATACTATCTTAATAGCAGTGATACATGCATTTTAATGGGGATATTTCGGTTTCTTTATTGTACTCTATTATTACAAGATCACAGTGTTTGCATTGCAGTCAGTGATTATAGCTAATCAGCTCAAACCACATATAATCTTTACTTCCATCTATTTGAACAAACAATCTTTATTCTTCTGCATAACCCAGCTTAAGTTATTTTAGACAAATCAAATGAGTGCCCTTTAACATTCAGTCCCCCACATCCATGATGACCTGATAATCGAACCATTGATAGTGTCCATAATACAGAGGCACGCAATAGCATTGCCAACACACTTACTGAGTCACTAACATATAAATAGCATTTCCCTTGCTTTGCTTCAGAGGTCAGGGTTAGCATAACAGAAGATCTGATGTCAGTGATATGTTCCCTAACGTTTCAGTGAATTCATAGTGAAGCCAATGAACATCATGCTTATACTATGCCCTTATGTCAGTCATTACCACGTAATGGCTGTCTGGTGACATGGTGGTCTAAACCGGTAAGATCCTTTTAATATCCCTTCTTTGCAATTTCAAAGCTGTAGATAAAGCAAGGTACAACGTCTATCTACTGCTTGGAAACCAAACTGGTCTTTTTGTGTTTGTTTATCAAAAGTCTAAACATGAGAGATCGGCCTGGAGTATTCAAATGCACAATACGTGGATTTCTAACAAATAATAATTATACAGTAGTTTATATTCTTGTTTCCGTCCTGTTTAAATTGAGCAATGGATATACCTGTTGGCTGGAGATAACATAAGCCAGCTAATTAGAAGCCCAGATTCCTATTATGTATTTTTAGCCTCAGGCTGTCTCCTATCAGGGTTGCATTGATAGTCTTTGTGATAGGTTAGTTCACATTTCCTTTTTTCTATATACAGAAAAATACAAAGTGTGCCTAAGGTTATGTTTGCCCAATTAGTTGATTGGGGTCCTTGCTTATTATTTGGTCATACATTATAAAGCTTAGTACTTAAAAAGAGATTAGAGTGTATTATTTTTAATGTAACCAAATCACCAAGTTGGTTCTCAGTATCAGACTGGTTGTTTCTATTGCATCCTCCAGACATACACATTCTGCAAACATAATCATTCTAAAGCAACTTTAACTTCTGTGTTATTAAGGCAACTTTGCTCGCTTCAAAAATAATACATTAAAGCGGCACTGTTACACCACCCCCTGTTAAAAATTAGTATTTCACAAACATAAAATCTTTATGAAATACTCATTTTGACTGTGTTAGAATTTCATTGAAATTCAAACCAGTCAAGAGTTATACTGAGACAAATTATGGACTACTTAGTCTCTGTATTTCTCCTCCACCTGACTTTCTTAGACTGAAGGAAATTGGCAGTGTCTATGGGGCATCCCCATAGCACAGCAATGATGTCGGCTCCTGACACTGAAAAAGAGCAGACCAAACAAAACGGAGCTTGCAAGTGACAGCTTCAGGTAAGTAAATCTCACCTTTATCTAATCCTTCATCCACCAAACCCCAGCAGCGATGCCACCATCAGGGGTCTTTGCTAATTTCCCAGATAGTGAAAGTGCTGCTTTAAGCTTTCAATAGTTTTCTGGATCTAGATGTTTTCATTACGTAACTCAATGGTGCTAATTTTTACATATTAGGGAGGATGTTAATTTCAGTGAATAGTTATAGTGAATAGTTCGCTATGTTGCAAAAAGTATTTCAAGTTATGTGTGAATATTTTGCTAACTGTAACCTTGCTTTTTCAATTTTTGTGTAACTATAAACTCACTTTAAACAGAGCACACAAAAATATGTATTGATTGATGATATTAAAATGTAAGGATATCTAAAGCATATAATTATCAATTTAACTTTGTTCTACATTGCATTGCATCAGATATCACCTCCAAAATGTGTTATCCCATACAATTAAAATCTGAATTTGAACAGAAAGAACTGTGATGTTATTACACTGTGACCTTCTTTTGCACTTCCACTGAGTTGTATATGGATGTTTTATGAAGCAATATGAAGGGGTTATATAAAAATGTAGGATGGGTAATATAAGAAACAACGTTAATGATTAAACAGATTCCCAAACCTGTCATTCCGACCCTTCAGATACCAGGAAATTCACAGCAGGCAATCCATATTGAACAGCTGCATTTCTTTAAATTGTGAACACAGCTGAGTGTTTTTTCATCTTTTGTGTTTTTTCTTTTTTTTTTTTTTACACTAACGCATGCAAAAAAATACAGTTCCGATTTCCTCTTTTGAAAATCATTGGCCAAAAATCTTGAGTACATCTCCCAACACACCGCATACCTTTCTCCCAACCCTCCCATATCCCCGCAAAAAGTGCCCAAAAACAGAATGTCACAGAAACAAAATAAAAATGCAAACCAGCGTCCAAATTAGATTTTAACACAATAAATTGCCATAGGGTGGCTTGCCTCTGCAGAGTCCCTATTGCTCTGAAGTAGTCAAAACACGTGAAAACCGGGTTAAACCCATGCAAATATAAATTATGAAAAAGAATGTCGCAAGCTGACTTCATGTGTCGCATCAATCTAGTACAAAGTGTTTAATGGAGAAGACTACATAGTTACTCTATTTCTGCTTCTTTTAGAATTAGAGCAGTGTTTTGGCATTCTTCTCAGAAAAGATAACTATTTTAGTTTGAAACTGTCTCACCAGGAATCCAAGTTGACAAGCTCACTGTTGAAATTTCCATGGCTTAACCTACATTACATTCATGAGCCAAGTGGCTGGGACAAGTACATTGTTACTCAAACATCAACCTTTTTTACTATGTGTATAGTCTCTTTTATTACCATTTTATAACGCTAGTGTAAAGGACCATACATTGATGAGTTGTAACAGATTCTAGATCATGTTATCAAGGGAACATTTTCTATGGTTATTGTTGGTTAGTAAAATTGACCGGGCCATTTTCTGATGAAGAAAGGTTAGCCAAATGAAAATGAAGACTTTCAAGTTTCAAACTCAGTGCAGGAGAAAAGTAGAAGTTCACAGTGAGGTTTGTAGATCTAAACAAAAAAAGCAAAATTATTCTGCAGTCTCAGATCAATTTATCTTTCAGTTATGAGCCAGAATATGGTGTTAAACAATGTTGCAGAATTATTTGATTCAGAAAATAACATGTAATGTATCCATTAATTTTATTTGTATTTGTATATGTGACTGTAGTTTAAGAGATAATACATATGTTCCCTTAATTCTTACAATATGTATTTTTATGACTTTAACACTGTCCTGTAATTGGTGTTCTAACTACATTAAGCTGTAGTAGTTTATTTGTTACAGCTTGTTCTAGAAAGACATGGGAATAACGTATATGTTTGTTGGGTTTATCGGCTGCAAGAAGATTAAATGGAGACTAATACTTATGAAGGAAAGCTACTACATGCAAATTCACACTTAATGTAATTAAGATAACAACAGCCATGTGTGCAAAATATTTGTAACATATATAATACTCTACTTTTGTTCAATGGTAGCCTTGCATTTGTCGTAGACTTTTAAACTGTTTATATTCTTGAATCCGCAGTCACCCGCGGGAGTTAGTGTATAACCTCTGTTCTACTTTCAAATTTCATTATCCAGAAGCAAAACTCGAACATGGAAATTAAATCAAAGGAGACCATCACTTTTCTGGGAACTGAATAAATGAATTACATTGAAACATGTTGTAAATTACCTATAACTTGTGTTAGCCTTTTTCATGTGATCCTCTGTTTTTTTTTTGTATTGTGTTTTTATATGTTACATAGGCTGAAAAGAGACACGTGTCTATTAAGTTCAGCCTTTCTCACATCTGTTATTTGCCGTTCCAAAAGAAGGCAAAAAAACTAGTTTGAAGCACTTCTAATTGGGAAAAAATCCTTCTTGACTCAAGAATGGCAGTCAGATTTATCCTTGGATCAAGAAGCTATATATATATTGAAGATTTAGCAACTGACCTAGGGCACACATATTCGGTTTTGAGGAGCACAAAGAGAACCATATTTCTGTTTTCTTTGTCGTTCTACGCTCTTCCTATGCTGACTAACAGATGCAAAGGGTAATGTAAAGGATCAGGGCAGAGCTTATAGAAAGGTCCTACAGGGAGCAGAGATTCCTAAAAAGTAATAGATTCCCTTTAAATTATGACCAATAACAGATGAAATCAATATCTTAACTTTGAATTGAATTAAAAAAGGAATTCAAACATTTGACAAATGAGTTGGAAGAGTAATAAAATAAGATACTTTTGTCACTTACCTATGGTTGCCTAAATGGCATTAGTCAGCTTTCATTTCACCACAATCATCTGCTTTCTAAATAAACCTCAGCAACTGTGTAGAATACTTACTAAAAAGTAAAAATGTAAAAGCCAAGCGCAAAGTTAGGGTCAATCTTAAAGTCTAGTATTGTTTTATTAAAACAGCTACTTACTTTTAAGTCATGTTAACTCTTATATATATATTATAGCTCTATAAATAAATATATTTCTGCACAAATATATAGCAATCTATATCATCTATTTAATGATTACTTGTTGTAGTATATAGAATATAATCTCTAGATAGCTGCTGTCTTACCTTGTATTGGGGAAGACAATGGTCATTGACCTAATGGATATTTTGTAAGATTCAGGAAGACTTGTTATGTTGACATACTTATCAGGGATTAAGTGCAAAACAGTATTTCTGATAAAGTCAACAATGTGCAGATTATTTTGGGCTGTGTTTCTGGTCATTAGCTATTTTATTCTTATGCTGATATTTAAAGCAAATGAAAAAACACCAAAACAGTCACCTTATCACTCCACAAGCCACAGAATTTACAGAACCAGTGGAAAATTAAAACCATACTCTATTACAATGGGATCCTTTAGGCTTACTTAATTTCAAGTTTTACGTTATACGTTAATTACAGTTCTAATTATAATTCGCTATACAACGTTGATCTGAACTTCTAACCTAGTGTATCTTTATTGAATGTAGACCTTGTTATTCTTGGGAGATTTTGGAATGCATCTTTTTGTTCCGAGCTTCACAGTTTTAAAAGCAGACAAAAAGACAAAATATTTAAGATTTCCTTTTTTACAAAAAAACAAATGTCACTTTTAAATGCTTGATTGATATTTGTGCTTGTTTCTATAGGCAAACCAAAACTGCATCTGTCATTTCCTAATATTTTTAAATATTAAGAATATATTTCATGTAACTCCTTGACTGTGGAGTGATTCAAAACACATTCAGGGTTATTTACTATAATGAGAATTCAAATTAAATTCAAAGTGAATTTCAAGTTTAAGGCCATAATAGCAAATTGGAAACTTCTATTTGACAGCTACATTTACTCTGTCCTTTTCAACTTTGAATTCACTTTCAATTTTCACTTTAGTAAATCACAGCGCTTTGTGCACTAGTGCACAAGAAGTAGGAATTTTTGTTTCATCTCTCTCTATATATGCTACTTTATATCTAACCTAAAATCTAATCTAGACCTTTCATATATTATACAGTTTAGACAAGTTAGACGGAACGTCTAGTTGTGAAAATATACCTTTTAAATGCCTTACTGCTGCATGAACTCAGCTTGCGACATAGAGCATATCATTTTTTTTTAGTAAAATAAAAAACAAAAACCTTAAATCAAAATATATAAATGGAGAAAAGCCACCGGTACAGAGTGTGGAGAGGAGGGGGGTTGTAAAGAGGGGAGGTCTGTGCCAGAAAAAACTTCGTCCAGGCTCACAATAATTCGTCTCCCCTCCGTTATGAGATTCCACCCCTCCCCACCTCAAATGTAAACTTTAATTGCAAACCGAGGTGCTTCAGCGCCACAATTCTCAACAGGAACCTGTCCACAGCCCTGGTTGGCCTTTTACACCCTATCAATCACAGTTTTTGTTGTGCAGACACCCCCTTCCAATAATCCAAGATATCATGCAAGTCCTCCCCCTTGGCAAACTGGACCTTTTTGCGTAGAGCATGTCCAGCAGCTATGTAGACCTCTTCCCGGGTGTGTTTTTTATAGGGGCGGAAACGCTCCCAGATCTTGTGGGTATTTTCAGTGGAGTACTCTGGACTGGAGGAATACCCAGAAAAATGTTGTCTTGGGGAGAGTTGAGAGTAGCTTGAGTCTCTCTTGGAGCGGGAAAGTGGTTTTAGGAAACTGACTCTCTGGCTCAGTGTATCTGCACTTTCCTCATAATAGAGAGCAGGAAAGGAGTGACGGTGTTCACTACAGTGGTATGAAGGTTTGACGTCTAAATGATGAACTCCAGCAGAGGAAACTAGAGGAAGGCGGTCGAGGGGACTGTTGAGGGGGCTGCTCTTTTCAATGTATTTGGAGTCACATTTTAGAGGCTGATCAGGTACATCGAGACTGAAGACACGTGCACTCTTGATAGAACCACTAGACGAAATGCTGCATCGTTTCTTGGCTACTGTGGCAGCATCGGCACTCAGCTGACGCTGAAGAGGGTGCACACCATCCTTGTATGGAGGAGAGAGGAAGCTCAACCTTTCCAGGTGACCCAAGGAGCTGGCTGGAATTGACTGGCAGTCGTAGCCCAGCTCTGGGTCCCCCCCGCCTAAAAAAGAAGCAGTGTCTAGCTTAAGGGCATCAATACAGTTATTAATGATCTGATTTACTTTGTCCACCTCTTTAGCAATAGTGGATATTTCAGCTGCTGAACCTTCACCATTGTCCAGTTCCCGGAAGTCCTCTTCATCTTCATCTGCTCCTGACATCCCCCTCTGGTTTCTATCATGTCCTTCCCCACTGCGTACTTCCATATAGTTTGTGCCCTTTGGACCTTTTGGTGTGCCCATCTGAGAATTCATTTGTTTGGAACTCATGCCTTTTTCCCCTCCACTACCAAGTCCAGCTACTGAAGTTGGCAATGAAGATATACGAGATATGGGTATGGGGTGTTCTGATAACTTTTGTGAGGAATGAGATGCTAGACAAGGATCAACATCTGAGCCATAACGCATCTCAAGAATGGTTTTCTTAACATTAAGAGATTTCTTTTTCTCCTCTTGCATTCTCTTCTTCCTAAGGCAATAATATACCACTCCTAGTATTATGACCATGCCAAATAGACAGCCCAATATAGTCATGATATAATGAGTTGTTGTAGAAGTGTTAGGAGTGAACTCTTCCTTATCCCTGGTACGTGTGGCTAGGAAAAGGCATGTGTGATTATAACGTTTTGTGTTGCGAATAGAAGCTACACAAAAAGTGTAGTTTGCATGAGGCTTTAGTTTGTCTAAGGTAATATATTCCTTCTTGTGCTTCAAAGTGGTTACATCATATATAAAACTATTATTATACTGCACCAGTATGTACATCCTATTGTAAGGATTTGGAATAGTGACAATTAGAGTGGCAGAGTTTCCTGTTACATGGTGAATATCAATGGAGGGACTTGCAGAAGAGTTGGTGGTAGAGGGCGTTGTGGGTTCTGACGAAAAGAAGTCCCCAGGGCTGAAGCCAGAGTTCTCATCAGGATCACGTATGGAATCTGGAATGAGTGGGGTTGGCCTTTCTCTTGGTATAGAGAGGTAACCACCATTCCTACAGCGAGCCTGAAGTACTGTAATAGCATTTCGACTGTGGTGTGGCCTTGGACTGAGCAGTGGATATCCAGCAAACTCTCGTGGACTTTCACACTGAAGGCGGTCATAGTTGCGGGTGACATTATTGAACATGACTAACCAGTCAAGAAAGCCATAGAGTTCACAGCCACAGTGGAAGGGATTCCCTGCTAACTCACACACCATTAATGCCTGGAGACCAACAAAGGTGGAACTATCTAGTTTTGTCAGTCTGTTGGAGGACAAATCAATGCTTATAAGACTTAGACACTCAGAAAAGGCATTTGGTGTCACTACCTCAATTAGGTTGTGCTGCACAAAGAGGAACTGAAGCCTTGGCATCCCTCTAAGCATTCCTTCTGACAGGTTTGTCAACTTATTATAGCCCAGCTGAAGAATGAGCAGATTAGACTGGCCAAGGAAGGCTCCTTCTTCAATATAAGAAATCTCATTCTTAGTCAGATTTAAGTCTGTTAAGTTTCCAAAGCGTGACAGAGAAGCATAACCAATTATCTTTAGTTTATTTTCATTAAGCCGTAGATCGTGAACAGTGCTGTTGATATGTTGAGGGATGGTCTCGTAGGGGGGTTGATTTTGACTGCAGATGGCCAGCCAGACATAACCCTTGTCACCCTCAATCAGCCAGCAATCACTTTGTGCCCCTGGTGGGAAGTACCAGAAACAAAAGACTATTTTCACTAATAGCCACCAGCATAACATTGTGCTGTCAACAGGGATGGAGGAGCGAAGAAAGAGATTGTCGGGACTCAGTAATTTTAAGGGGTCAACTTAGCGAAGCCCATGTGTCACAGTCCTGCACAGAATTCTACACATCATGTTCTGTGGCACGGGATATTAGGAGAAAGGTCACACAAATGATAAGATGTGGTCAGCAAGTTGCACCTCGTTTACAGCCAGCAGCTGCTCATTTGTATTTTCAACTCTTCCGCAATCAAATCAGGGTAACCGAGGATGGAAGGAATGAGCGAGGGGAGGGCAGAGCAGAGTAATTATGTGTGTATGTGCCAGCCGCCTCTGTGCCCCTGGGATGAAGATTTCAAGAGATGAATCCGTCTCTGTTTCTGTCCGACTCCAGCTGCCACCACAATCTGAAAGAGAAGGGAGACAAAGATACGTCAGCACATGATGGAAAGGGAGGTGGAGGAAGAAGCGTGTACTGTGATCCATAGAGGGGAAGAAAGGCAGATGCTTAGAGGCAAAAAAGATGTGGATACAGAAGAGAGAAGAAAGACAGACTATGAAAGAGATAAAAGAGAGCAGAGAGGCAGAATTTAACTAAGATCAAGAAGCAGAAGGAATGATAACGAGAGAGTTAGGCAAGTAAAAGAAGTAGGTGATAAATATGCAAATGACCAACACAGATAGAAGGGGGGAGAGACAGGGAGCTAGATTAAGGGGAAATATTCCAGTAATCAAAGGCAGCAGGCTGAGAGATAAATACAGAAAAAGCATGAGAATAAAAAATGGAGGCATGGATGAGAATACAGACAGCTGCCAACACAAACCCAATCTATTTTGCAGCATGGAGGGGCAGTTATACTGTACCCATCATTTTATAATAGTTTCTTTCACGCACATGTTAATAAGATAAACCCATTCTAGTGCGATGATTTAAATCCTGCATTTTAAAGACTTCATCTGCCTTTATGTACTAAAGCAGCAATGACCAAAAGTTGTAAGATTATAAAGAAAAGACACTCTTGGTTCCATTAGGAGCAAACACAAAACTAAATACAGGGCATTGCAATGCTTTAAATGTGTCTTTCTTCTGTTTTGATGAGATGACATTTACTAATGAATACAATGATTTTGCAATATTTCAAGTATATAACCTCAGTTTAAAGGCTATATGTTTATATATATTTGGGATTTGACATAGAGATAAAAAGAAAACAACAAAAAAACAAGTAAAATCCGTTTGCACAGAAGTGTTAGATTGGTGAAAAGCTTCTTGCCAATGATCTCATCGTGGTTTGCTCACAAAACTAGTAATAGTGGGGAAATGCCAGGGCAATTGCATATGCTAGCTCAAAATAGCTTGATGTGACCTTTAGTATTCTTCAAAATCATTTTGATGTGTATGTACAATTCATTGTCAATTATTAGTTTAGTGAATAAAACCCATTGTATCATTTAATTGTCAATTCTAAAGGCTTTCACTTATTTCACATATTATAAACGAGCCTGTGACTATCAATATGTCCCATTTTGCTATCATATGCCTGCTTTTGTTTTTATGGTTTCCAGATAATCTTCAGGCAGGGTGAGCTCCTGATTGCAGATTATTGGTTTAGGCTCAGACAGTGGTATGTTTATGGTATATCGGATGTAGTTAGCCCCTGACTGAAGATTATCAGGACAGATTCAGACAGTCCTGGGTTTCCAGTTAAAGAGAAAGGATCATCATTTTCTTCAAAAATTAACAGATTATACAGATTTATACAAGGATCAGTCCCTGGCTGCAGATTACCAGTGCAGTGCTCTAATTTCTGTCTGCTGTAGAATGATTTTTTAGTTACAGATTACCAGAGTAAGCTCAGCGAATGCTGCAAGGTATATGATAAAGAGGAAGCATCACAAATGAAAACTGGCAATTCAGATGAAATTCAGCATGCTTACGATCACATGAACAGCAGGAACTAAAATAAGTAATGAATCAAACTAGAACTGGATGCATGATCTAAAAAGTGTGGCCAAATATCTCAGGAATTGTGCCAAATAATTCATGAATTGCTTCCCAAATTAGCCTCAGAATGAACATGCTTGCTAAACTTTTTAAGCATTTAAAACCAAAGAAAGGGGATGCATGGCTTATCATTCTCTAACAGTCACGCTTGTGTGTAAGAGTTTAAGAAATATGAGTTAATTTCTGCAAAGTCAGAGGAATGTCCCATTTATGATAGTCTCCCCATCCAATCTACATTTTATAAAGTAAAAATATACAGGAGTCCCCAGTAACCCCTTTGTCCTGGAAGGGACATTCAGAGTGGTCCCTCATTTCTTCATACCATGGGAATAGTTAATCATGTAAGAGTTAATTATCCAGCTGTTAATGCAATCCTTCTCCCATCCAATGCAGTGGAGTGGCAATGTTACCTAAGGAATGGTGGAGCTCTTAGAACCCCCTCCCCCCACAAACAAGCCTTAGGCTCACTGCTATTCCACACCTAAGGTGAAAAGTTAATAATAATTAGGAAAGATCTTCAGGGCTTAGTAAGAAGTAGAATATATTTCTTCTCACCCCATGTGCACAGTTATTTATAGGCAACTGTGGTCCCCAAGTCCCACAACAAACAGGGAAGAAGTATTGCTTGCTCTTCCCTTGTTTCTCCTTAGGAGTTAATATTAATAATGAAGGTGAATAGGGAGCTTACTTTATCATCCCCTTAAATCTACAGTTCGAAGATTTCCAGTTCCATGATGCTAAGGTTTCTGACTCCCCTAAAGTAGTGTGCCAGAGTCCCACTAGTGTCCACAATACTAGCCACATCACCAAAAGTAGCCTGGCCCACCTAACAAGAGTGATTTAGAAAGGAACTATTAGGTCACGTGCTTAATGTCATTAAATAAATTACCATGGGATAATGAGTCTTCCCCTTTATTAAAACAAAAAAATTAACTTTTCCAAAAAATAAATAAACACATGGTTATGTCTCATAAACCTTTTGTATTCATAAAATACTGATCAAATGAGAATAGGAGGTCCATACCTGAACTGATGGAAGGGCATTGCATATTATTTGCGCAATTGTAAATGAGACACCATAGGGCCACCTGCAAGTTATTAACAACTCCTCTTGTCTTATTATTACCAACAGCCCCTTATAAACCACTGCCTGTGATATAAAGGGAATGGATGGGCCATATAGTATACCATGAGGATCCTCGAATAAGTGTCTTTACTCATTATCTGCCCATTGGGTATATATTAAGCAGTTCTTGAAACCTTATCTCTTCCACCTTCCCCCCACCGCCCCCACCCCCTCTAAAATTTGTATTTATCTTTAATAATTCCAGCAAGCATTTAATGTATTATTATTTAGGAATTCAGTTCAGAGACTCACAGATGACAAACTGTAATTGCTAAATGTTAGACTTCTCAAATGATATTTTCCCCTTTTGCAGCCAATAGAAAACCAACAATACATTTTGAGTTTAGTTAACATCATAAAACATGTTTGTACTAACAAAACTGTGAAATGCTATAAAAAGGATTTGAATCGACACTAAGGTGCTTCTCCATGGCAGGAGCTAGCGCGTTATACTTGGGTTAGGAGGCAAGGCTAATATATTTGTTTTCTCTATCAACCTATCGATCTGACCCTAGAGCAATTGAAAATAAAATGCTTTTTTTATTGCATTGATGATATATTATGAGTCAATACTATTCTAAAACAGTCATCAATATATCACTCCCAAGCCAGGAAACTAATTGTTTGTTTTATGTATTTATTAGAGGAGCAAAAGCATTGCAACCAGATTAACTAAACCAGGTCTCTTGGGACCTGCTGCATTCAATAGTTAACATTTGGCACATGGTGATGTTAGCTATCCCAATTTAGTTAATGATATTTAAGCCAATGGAGACTCTAATCGGCAAAGATGTAAGAGACTTGCAAAACCATTAGCAATAAGAGTTGTAGTTCGGCTATCATTTTAGTGATCCAAATTGCAAAATAAAACCCACTCAGTTCATACAAGCATTTCCTATCGAAACTCAACTTGGATTTCAAGAGAGCAAGAATACAGTCCTTTTCCCCTCATGCATCTATTTGTATATTTATGCTATAATTGATGTAATGTTTCACAGTATGTCATCTTGTTCATAACCTTGTTCCACTGTACAGTGTGGTGGAGAATGTTGGCGCATGAAGTTGTTACATAACACATAAAAATATATGGTGTTTGGAACATGAAACATAATGCATAATGAATATATGGTATGCATGCTGGAGGAAATAGCAAAGTTAGATCAGTGTAGATGACAAAGAAGTAAGATCAATCTGCATATCAGCACATGCATTCTGTGGCACAGACGTACATTCGCTAAGCACCGAGATGAAAATTAATTCAAAACTGAATTGCAAAATTTAGGCTAAAATAGCCAAAGTACAACTATATGCAGGTCGGAGAATTATTTCCTAGTTAGTTACGTTATCCTACATTTTTCACATCACTACAATTCAGTGTTTAGCAAATATATACCTATGAGTTAAAACATTTCTGGAGACAGGTATGTCTAGATGTCCATCAAACAAGTTAGTGCCATAAATAATTTATGCTTAATAATCTGATTTGTATTACTGACTGATAAATCCCACCATAACGCGGGAAGATCTATTTAGCTCAAGAGGAGACAAGACATCACGGTTTCTTCCCCATAATGACCAGCTTATGCTCAATCATCAGTCGAAGGTGGTATTGTTGATATAGCAGTTATCTCTCTGATGAACCAACATTTAAGAAGGAATTCCATATTCTTAAATGTCTTATCGGCTCTGTTCATCCTTATGAAATTTGGTTTAAACTACTGTAATAAATAAGGTTCTATTTCATGACATGGCACTGTGACTATGCTAAGAATCCCATGGCACTGTGTTACTCTGATAAGATTGCTGGCATACATAATATGAGCAAGTGGTAAGACCTGTTCTCTTAGATAATGAAGATCTCTTTTTCTTCCTGTTAAGACCCTATTGGTCTGCCACATAGTGATGGAAGACACTAGGGTTGTGTTAGGAAGCAGCAGAGAAAGACTTATGATATAGGAGACACAGGGCTGTTTTAAAATTTATCTGGTGCCTATAGGCATTCTCAAGCTCCCCTAAAACATCAGCTTTGTGTTTTATTGTGTTTTTATTACGACATATGCAAATCGATCTTTAGCCTAACAGCTAGACACCTCTGACTCGCCTGTTACTACTACTTACCTTTTATAAAAAATGTGCAACGTTTATACATGCCATGCTTTATATTACTATGTATGTCATTAAATGACTTGTCTATGCTATCGTGGCATGGCAAGTGCTTATGTTCCTGCTTTGACGCATTGAAAAACAAAAGAGTTGACATTACTATCGGTAGCTGGAAGTCCAGAAAATGGCTGGGCATTACCTATAATGTACTACTTCCCAATAATTAGGAGGGGACCAAAGTGTGATCACATACCTCTCTAACTACATCTGTTCATGGGAGCAGTAGATTTTGGATAATGTGGAAGGTTACTTGTTTGCTAATCCTGTTTAAAAAAATGTCAATTAAATAAATTCAAATGTAGTAGCATATTTAGATATATTATTTTGCCAATAAAACAACAGAAGAGCATGTCTGCGCATAATAAAGAGAATGGAGGTGGACATTTATAACACTGTGTTTATTGCATAACATTAATATGGATAGTTTTCCCTTCAAAATAAAAATGGGACACTTCTCATTCTCTAGGCCAACCTGGCACCATGCCTAGACTAAAAATTCTCTTGATAGTAACGTTCAACGCTGTTAGGATAAATCACCACCATCACTTGCTTGACTCTTGTGAGTCCAAATTCTGACACACTAAGCAGTCTCTTTTAAAGTTTAAGAAGGAGAAATAATTTATTGAAAAAATTAGCTTGTCTGGAGCACTGGGGTGATAGGTAATGTAGGGTGAACTCCTGGCTGCAAATTATCAGGACAGGCTCAGACAGTGCTGGGTTTCCATGTATTATACGCCCTGCTCCTGGCTGCAGATTATCAGGTTGGGTTTATATGTAATGTAGGGTAAACTCCTGGCTGGAGATTATCAGGACAGGCTCAGACAGTGCTGGGTTTATATGTATTATACGCCCTGCTCCTGGCTGCAGATTATCAGGTTGGGTTTATAGGTAATGTAGGGTAAACTCCTGGATGGAGATTATCAGGACAGGCTCAGACAGTGCTGGGTTTATATGTAATGTAAGGTGGGCTACAGATTATCAGGAGAGGCTCAGGCAGCACTGGATTTATATGTAATGTAATTTGAGACCCTGGCCAGGCCCGGACTGGCCATCGGGCACACCGGGCAAATGCCCGGTGGGCCGCGATGGCCTTGGGGCCGAGGCCGGCAGGGAGATCCCAGGATCTCCCCGGCCGGTCCCTGCAGGGCCAGCGCTATCCGAGCGCCGGCCCTGCTGTGTGCCTCCGTGTGCCAGTGGGGAGATCAAAGATCTCCCTCACCAGCCCAGAGGCATGCAGATGCGGCCGCCGGCGCGGGAGTGAGGGAGGGAGGAGAGAGGACCGGCGGAGCTCTAGCCAGCAGCTCCGCCGGGTCCTCTCGCCACGGCAACGCTCAGAATCTCGCGAGAGTGAACTCTAACCTGCAGGTTAGAGTTCACTCTCACCACTCGACCACCAGGGAAGGATGGCCTCATGGCACCCCACCCCCCAGGCAGAACGGATCTCCTCCCCCCCTCCCAGGATAAAGGTAAGAAGGGAGGGGGGGGGGGACATAACTTTTTTTTTAAAATTATTAATAATAAAAAAAATAATATATATTTAAAATAAATTCCCAAACAGCACCCCCAGATACAAACACAGCACCACCAGATACACATGCAGCACCCCCAGATACACACGCAGCACCCCCAGATACACACACAGCACCTCCAAACACACACAGCACACCCAGATACACACACAGCATACCCAGACACACACACAGCACACCCAGACACACAAACAGCACCCCCAGACACACAAACAGCACCCCCAGACACACACAGCACACCCAGACACACACACAGCACACCCAGACACACAAACAGCACCCCCAGACACACAAACAGCACCCCCAGACACACAATGAGCACCCCCAGACACACACAGCACACCCAGAGACACACTCACACTGCACCACTACACACATTACGCTCCAGATACACGCTAGATCCCTTACCCTATATGCACTCTTAATCCTCTACACACATACACACACACACACACACACACACAATCTTCTATACACACTGTGGGTCCTTTACACACTAGATTTCTTACACACACACACACACACTGCACCACCTACACACACACTACATTCCTTGAAAGGAAACACATACAACATTCTCTAAACACACCCTCTCTACAACCCCTACACACACTACGTCACCTATACACACACACTACTGCCTGTATGCACACACTCGCTACATCCCCTATAACACTATGCCCCTATACACGCACTCTCTACAGCCCCTAGCCACACATATTACACCTATTTACACAATACCACACCACACTCTACACACAGGCAATCCCACAAGCAGGCGCCAAACACATGCACCATACACTTTCCTGGCCGTTTTGTCCTCTGGTATCCCACTTGTGGAGACACCAGAGACAATTTAAAAGCAAACACAGTGCAAGCATGTTATTACATTTGCTTGCGCTGCGCAGAACAAATACAGGGCCTTTTTCTAATGCCTGAGCTCTTCAGCGGGGCTCTGCGCATTGAACCAACATGCTCACTTTGAGAGGGGGCTGCTTGTCATTAGTGATGACAAGACACACCCTCTCTGGCCCCGCCCCCTTCTTGGGGGGCCGCTCTAATTGAAAAATGCCCGGGCCTAATTTTTTTCCCAGTCCGGCCCTGACCCTGGCTATATATTATAAGGACAGGCTCAGATAGTGCTTGGTTTATATGTAATCTAGGGTGTGCTCCTGGCTGCATATTATCAGGACAGGCTCTGATAGCACTGGGTTTGTATGTAATGTAAGCTTCTGGCTGCAGATTCTCAGGACAGGCATCAGAGAGTGCTGGGTTTATATGTAAGGTGATCTCTTGACTGCAGGTCTTATATGTACTATATAGTCAGATCATCACATCCTTACATTCAGAGCTAATCACTTTCCAGTCATTGTTTCTGTGTCCGTCCCTCATTTTGTGCCACTGTCCCGCCCTCCTTCCCTATTCATTATGTCCTAAGTTACATCATGCCTCTGCCCCCATGAGGTTTTTGACTCTCTCTGCCAAATCATCATGTCCCTTTCTCCCCAAATCATTATGTTCCTGTGTTCCTGTACTTTCCCAGTCATTATGTTCCTGTGTCCATGTCCCTCCTCAATCATATCCCAGTGTCCCTGTTCCTCCTCAATCATGTTTTTTGTATCACTCTCCAGTCATTACATCCCTGTGTCCCTCTCACCTTATTCATTATGTTCCTATGTCCCTGCCTTCCCAGTAATTTGTTTCTCTTTCTCTCTCTTCCTAGTCATTATGTCTTTGTGTCTGTCTCTCTTCAGTCATTATGTACCTGTATCCCACTCTTACATTGTGCCCTTTCTCTCCCTCCGCCCTCAGTCAGTATGTTCTTGTGTTTCTCCCTCTATAGCCATTATGTTCTTGTGTGCATCCTTCACATCATGTCATGGTCCCTCCCCAGTCATTAGGTTCCTCTGCCCCATCTTCACATCATGCTCACCCCCCAGCCCCCCGTAATTATGTTATTTTCTGTCTGTTGCTGCCTATTCATTATGTTCTTGTGTCTCTGCCTTCCAAAACATTATCAATCTCTGTGTCCCTTCACTTTACTCTTATTTTTAAATATATTTTTAATAAAATGTATTTTTATTATTTCCACAGCAGTTGGAGTGCAACATTGTTTAATGCATGTTACCAGATCAGAACTTACTGTGTGTTGTGAAGGATAATATGCCTGAGGCGTATGCTAATTTTACACTTCCATTATGTGCTTTCTATAAACACAGATTTCCATTGTAAATTAAAAAATTACCCAAAATTAGGACTGAAAACTTTTCATGAAGTAAACATGGAATTTTGTTTCTACAAGTCCTGTCTATTTTGTGTTTCCAACCTATCCAACCAGCACCTGTGCATTATTGATTATATGAGAGGAGAGTGCAACCTCCTTCTCATTTCCTATTTTTTTTAAATCTAGATATCATTAGGATTTCCTTAACAACCTGTCTGCTTCTAGTGTTGCACCAACACTGGCCTCTAGCACATTGCACCATTTCTCAAAGATCACATCTGACAGGGGATAGAAGGCGAGAGCTGCCATGCATAGGTCCCAGCTGAGAAGCAGTAGTGCATGATATTACTGTGCTAAGTGGCTTCCATTAGGAATTCATGTTTAACTCCCTAAATTCTAAGAGCTGTATCTTCAGATGAATGGAGTCCTGATACATAATGACGGCTGAGTGCCATTGTGAGCATTTTGAGTGCTTGGGGGTGCTTGGTGCAGTGCAAACAACACTACGCTGGTACTTAAAGGGTGCCCATTAGCTACAGTATCTGATGTGTCATTAAAAGGTATTTTTTACTCTTTTCACCTCTCTTTCAGTCGTTGCACCAAGCACAAAAAAAATATTATTTTTGAATATTTTTTCATGTTTGTTAACGTCAGCTTCCCAGCTTCCTTGCAAAAAAAAAAGATAAAAATTAATAAACCCAGTGTCTCGCTGTGTTACATACTTTTAATGTCCAAACAACCGGGCTTCTAAATTAGGTTAAATTAAGCTGATATTCATCAAATTTTAACTGTCAACATATCACATCAAAACTGGGTCAAATTCAACAGCCAAGACTGTTAGTGAATTACCTGTTGTCATCAAATCTCAAAATAGATGAGTCATCTTGGGCAGTACATACACCCTTGCTTGGTCTCAGTTTATCTCAGTTTTTTTCAGACAGATCCATAAATTGACAGACTGTGTATTTCTATGGAGATATTAGAATTCAATGTGCATAGATTGTGCATAGATTGTCTCGGCTGAGTAAGAGGAAAAAGATCCAGGAATGCCACTTTGCCGTTTTGTAGACTGCAGTGTTCGAGCAATATGATTGGTAAGCCCAAAGATGGCTTTTAGCATGAAGACCAACAAGCCATATCTAGAAATGATCGGACTACTGTCAGAAAAAACAAAATGCAAGTCATATAAATATATTAGATGGCTTCTCACCATAATGCTATCAACTCTCACCAATTCCTGCTACTAAATCAAAGCAACAGGTTGTGTAAAGCAGGGGTGTCAAAAGACACCCAGCTGTTTTAAAACTACAACTCCCATGATCCTTTTCAACCCTAAAACGGGAGTCTACCTTTTTTCCACCTTTGGTATAAAGCATTTTATTTCCATTTCAGATCATGCATTTCTTATAAACATCTTTCAGCAAGGCCTTTTTTAACAGTCAGCCACGCCTGGAGACATTGTGAATAGCAGCTCATTTACATCATTATATAATTCTATAAATAAGTGAACGCTTTTAATTGCAAATGTTTTCGCTGGGGAAAATGTTGCTTGTTCACAGTGACACACTACTGTTCATAACTTTACATTATTTTACATTTTTGTTTTTGTTGAAGCAGCTGCATTATTGTCAATTCTGACACGTGTTATAATTAACGAAAGGATATAAATTCATTGTATTCTTAATTGATAAAGCAAACAGGATTGTATAACAACAAGACAAAAAAATAAGGCTCCTTTAATTGACTGCCAGTAAATATTTCAGAACTGGCTGGATAACCATGAAAAATAAGAATAGTTATCCAGAATAATTTCAATACTAACTTCCTTTAGTAGTTATGGCCACTTTAGTATCCCTACCACCAGCTGCATTTATAGATATATAGACAGCTGTTGTAGAACTTTAACTACCATAATGGTTCACAACCTAAGGGTTTGCAAACCATCATGGGACAGGTAGAGCTGCAAAGGCTGGAGCTCCATATGTTGCCTATAGGTGATACATGAGTGTACTTTACTCACTTAACACATGATTGCACCAATATCACCTCTGTTGCTTACAGCAGAATTCAGACTCCACCATATCATAGTTCAGGTGATAAGTCAGGTCGATTTGTATACGTAGACTTAGTTTGCAGCAGTATATGTGGGCAAAATCACCTTGTTAATGAGAGAAGTAAGAGGAAAATGACCCTATCAATTCAAGCTGACAATAACAGAAATAAGAACACGTTACGATAGTGCTATGCAGAAGGACTTTTCTGAATGCACAGAACTTTGAACTAGACTTGCGCACGGCGTAAAAACATTTGTTTCAGCCAAATTCCTTCTGCCGAAAAAATAAATCATATGGGACAGACACATGGCAGCTGGCTTAGTAGAATTTCATTAGGAAAATGAATAAGACAACCCAAAAGAAATGAAAATGTAAAGATGTACTGAAAAATATATACATAATATAAATATTTGCATATTTTGCTATTTGCATTTGGCTTACAGGTCAAGGGAGAAAAAGTAACCAATTGAAGGAAAAAAAGGAAGAGTAGTATAAAAAAAGCTATATTTATAAATTAAATATTATTAAACCTATAATGTGTAAATATAGAGTTTTACTGCTTTTCATTTTTTTCCCTGTACAGGTCACTTCTCACTTGATCTGTGAATAAAATGAACATTTAGTGACTGTCATCCAGCCACCAATTACAATTTTTCCCATCAACCATCTCTTTTTTTTTGCGTCAAGGGTGGAATTCTGAATCACGAATCAAAATTAACATGCTCATCTATTGCATGTTTTGTTTGGTTGGTGATTTGGTTTCATTTCGGCTCAGAGTTTGGGGATTCGACCTATCATCCAATCTCATCCAATCGGCCCAAATTCAGACAAATTGCTGCTCGTAACAAAGCAAATCTCCATGTCTAATTTGAACCATAAATTGCATGGGTTGAATCAGTAGACCAGGTTCCACTTCTGTCATCTAAGAAATTAAACTGAAACTATAGAGGGAAAATGTGTAATAAAACTGGACAGTTGAAGAATGGAAACCCATCACCTGACCTGACAAAAATTTAAAAATCATAGGGTCAAAATTGTATGTAAACAACACAAATCATTTGATACATTCTGCTTTATATCAATAATCCAGACTGCTGACAGAGATATAATGGTGTAAGGGGGTAGGCACACTTTGGCACTCCTTATGTTATAGACTTCATCAACCCTGATGACTTGCCAACATAATGGCTGTAAGAACAATATGGAAGATGTAGTCCACAAAATCTGAGTTCTGAAGGTTGCCTACCCCTGATGTAGGGAATATTTTCTTGGCAAACCTTAGGCCCATTCATTTATTTTAAAGAAGCATTGCTTAAATGCCACAGTTTCCATAGCAACCTAGGTGACTATATGATGCATTTATAGCTGCAGTCTATCCATCTTAGAATGTCTACTTGCAGCATGATAATGTGGCATGTTAATAAAGAACATGCCACCTCAAGATAACTACAGTAGCATGACAATGAGGTCACTGAACTTTAATGGCATCCACAGTCAACAGATGTCAACCCAATAGAGCATATTCGTAATGTGGAGGGTTTTGCACACAACAAAGCTGCAGCAAGTACATAACGCTATCATATCAACATATCTAAGGCATAATTCCAGCACCTTGTTGAAGCTATACCATCAAGAACTTTAGGAGCAAAGGCTGGTCCTATAACAACCGAGAATATATTGCAATATAAAGACAAGCTACCTATACTGCAATTACAATTATTTATTTTGCTCCAACATATTCTGCAGCGCTGTGCAATAGGTAAACAAGACAACATTTAATTCTAACAAAACATGTATGACATATGGGATCAGGGTAAAAGAGCTGTGCCCAAATGAGCTTACAATGCTGCACTGGGGTTAAAGGAGCATTATATTATTAGGAATACCACAATGTATACCTAATAGATTAGTGCTGGAGTTGCTGTTTTGGTGACAGACTCCACTCTCTGTAAAGAAAAAATGTATTTTACCCATCTTGTCTCCCTCATCGCAGCAGGCCCACCTCCATGGCTGGAATTGTCAATCTTGATTATCTCAATCAATACAATGCTTTCTAATAGGCTGTAGTTAAGCTGTAGTGGTTCTGGTGACCATAGTGTCCCTTTAACATTTAACATATATTCTAAACTGCTCAAATACAAGGACTTTCCATATATGCTGCTCTATGTAGAATTACATAAATAACAGCTATGCACATATTAATAAAACCAATGCTCCACATGGTTATAAAGACTGACCACATATAATGCACTGTGTTGATTTAAATACTAATAAAATACAGTGTCCCCCATTAATAATACCCCACCTGCAAAACGTCTTCCCAGCTACTCTAATGCCCACCTCCAATACCTTCTCCTCTACTGCTCTAATACCCACCTCCCATAACTCCTCCACAGCTGCTGTAATACACACCTCCAATACCTCCTCCAAAACTGCTCTTATACCCACCTGTAATAACTCCTCCACAACTCCTCTAATACCCACCTCCAATACCTTCTCCTCTACTGCTCTAGTACCCACCTCCCATAACTCCTCCACAGCTGCTGTAATACACACCTCCAATACCTCCTCCAAAACTGCTCTAATACCCACCTGTAATAATTCCTCCACCACTGCTGTAATACACACCTCCAATACCTCCTCCACAACTGCTCTAATACCCACCTGTAATAACTCCTCCACAACTGCTGTAATACCCACCTGTAATAACTCCTCTACCAGTAATACACACCTCCAATACCTCCTCCACAACTGCTCTAATACCCACCTGTAATTACTCCTCCACAACTGCTCTAATACCCACCTGTAATAACTCTTCCACAACTGCTCTAATACCCATCTGTAATAACTCCTCTACCAGTAATACACACCTCCAATACCTCCTCCACAACTGCTCTAATACCCACCTGTAATAACTCCTCCACAACTGCTGTAATACCCACCTGTAATAACTCCTCTACCAGTAATACACACCTCCAATACCTCCTCCACAACTGCTCTAATACCCACCTGTAATAACTCCTCCACAACTGCTGTAATACCCAACTGTAATAACTCCTCCACAACTGCTGTAATACCCACCTGTAATAACTCCTCCACAACTGCTCTAATACCCACCTGTAATTACTCCTCCACAACTGCTGTAATACACACCTCCGATACCTCCTCCACAACTGCTCTAATAACCAACTGCAATAACACCTCTTCAACCAATGTGATAACCACTTACAATAACTCTTTCTCTACCGCTCTTATGACCAACTGAAAATAACGTGTTGACTGCTGTAATAATGAACTGCAATAACTCCTCTCCAACATCTCAGAAAACCACCGACAGAAAATTCCTTCTCAACTGCTCTAATAGCTACCTGTAATAACTCCTCTTCAACCACTCTAACAGCCACCTGCAATAACTCCCAAACTGTTCTACTAACCACCTGCCATAACCCTCTCTCCTGTCTGCTTACTTAAGCACTTGCAATAAGTCATCCTCTATTGGCTTTAACAATTACCAGCAATAAGTCCTCTGTGATCTGCTCCTACCACCTCCACTAAGGGCTTCTGTCAGTCTCCATATGTCCACTGTAAACTTCAATATATTCATACAAAAAGCTCAGTTGCCAAAAAATGCAACCATATAGTTTATCACAAACCTAAACAATCATAAATTATTTCTATTATTAGTATTCACCATAATAAAAATGCCTTGGATGTTCTAAATATAAGGGAAAGCATGGGAGACATCCTCCAGCAATATTTTATTTGTGCATGAGTTGTGTAAGTCACCAAACTCCAAATATCAAATGTGATTAATATATCTCTTCGCTATGATGCATTGGGATGTTGGAGCTGGGGGCTGTGGTCTGCAAAATGACAAGTCTCTGCAAATCCTTCCTCTTCACTCTCTTTTCATGTGACATTTAAAGCTGCTTTAACACAGCTGTGAGAGAACAAGAGACTGCAGCTATTAGCATAGCTACGCTCATATTAAAGGTGGCAATAATTTAACATAATGTATTATTAATCTACTTCAAAATTTCCAATAGAATATTAAACATATTTGGGTTAATCGTTGCAATGGCTGGCAAAAAAAAAAAAAAAGGAAAATAGCGTCTGTTTCTGTTATCTGTCTATTTTAATTTTCACTGCAATGGCTCCTGAAGCTGTTGATAAAACCCAGATAGTCTATTTTCTAAAGTGGGAATTAACCTGGAAATTCAAGGTTCAAAGTGAATTTCTAATTTAATGCCAAAATAGCTGAACTGGAAGCACAGCTGAATATATTTATATCTTAAATTAAAAATTTAGCTTGAATTCACTTTGAATCTCTGACAATTCTCTCTAGTAAATAACCCTCAAAGAGTGGTATTTAAACTGACAGGCATCTAACTGTGAGTCACTTTTCAGCTATATTTTCCCATAAAGCTTTTCTAAAAGAGAGGATATAAGTACCAATTTATAGGCAACAATGCTATCTTATTTGGCAAAAGAAAATCTGATGTTCTCCATTCTATAGAAGGAGATTTAGTGTAAGCTTTTGTACGAATAATTAGAACTCTCTGTTTGGGACCATGCATTAGAGAATATGTCCTCGAGAACAGAGCTTCACTACAGAAGACTGGTATTTAATTACCCACAGTGTACATATGTGCTTTTTCCATATTAGGGCAAGAATTTATATGAGGGATCCTGCCATAAGTACTTGGCACAATGTTGCTACTGTTGTATGTTTTTCCCATTGCTGTGGCACAGAGTGGCAATGAATGGCATCTCTTACGCTCCCTTTCATTCCTCTAGTTCACTCACACAATGCCGATTTAATTAGCCCGTTATCTCACAGTGCCAGCTGCTGCATTGTACACTCACTAGAGAAAAGGCATGAGGTACCCGGCAGTCAGTAGACAGATATAGTGGAGCAGAGGGGGAGAGGAGGAATATTTGTTGGGGAGACAGAAAGAGAGAAAGATTTGCAGATTGTTGAAGTGATGGACGAATGGTTTGTGATTCTGCCCAAGAATGTGTGTATTTCTTGAAATGATCAAGCAGATGGAAAGTAACGCAGCTGCAGTTTCAATCTGTTCCAATGTGTTTCAACCAATTGATCTTTTATAGTGGATAATGTCGTTTAGAGATCAGCGATCCAAGATTTGATTTATTAAAAATAGGTTTAACACATATTCATTCTTTCACCTCTATTTATAGTCTGATATATGCAACTGTATTCACGTGATTTTGGTCTGCAGGTTTCCTAGTCTGCAAGGAACTGAAAAGGCTAAAATATTGTTGCCAAATCTCCAGTGTACAGCAATATGTCCTTCTGTAAGAATAATGCTCTAAAGAGCTTGATAATAGTATCACCTGGAAGAAAAAAAGTTGCAATTGAATCCAATCTCAAATGAACTCAAATGTGCATCAACACCTCAACAGACTAATGCTATGTAAATGTCATATGATATGAGCACAGTGTATGACATTGTTATGAAAAATGCATGAGCCTCATGCTGACAGAAGCCCATTAAGTAAACCTGAATACACAAAACAAATGTCCTGCGTGCAATCTCCCACTACTCTTGGGCGGCAGCAATGACCCTAGTACACATCATCCCCAATACATCCAATAAAAACCAGAGAAAAAGTTACTTGAGCACTATTTCAAATCCCTGTGCATATTTATATAAATGGATGTTTTTAATTTCACTCCAATTGCCATTAGATGTAAGCCCACCTGCCACATCAAGGCAAATGTCTTAGGTGGGTCCTACACTAACAATTCACCTTGCTTGCTTCCGCTTAAAGCAAAAGAAAAGCTCTAATGAGGCAGAGAGGGGTATTTAAAAAAAATAATTAAACCCCTACATTATTATGATTATTATTGCCATTTATATAGCACCAACAGATTCCGTAGAGCTTTACAATATTATACTTACTAACCCTTAATAGGGAACATATGGGGTGGTCGGCAGCACTTTAACATGGCTGTGTGATACAAAAAGTAAATATAAATACACAAAAAAGTATTTCAAAGTATTTAGTAAACCCTCAAAAATTCAATTTTTCTAGGTTTTTTAATAAAGGAAACATTGGTACCTCTGCTTGGTGGTTGATCACTATGATGTACCAGCTAGTAGCAGTTTTTAAAATTCTGCCTAATAATTTTTTATTGCCATGAGATCCAAGAGAAATGCATGGCAGGAATCCCTCCACACACACCACTAAGCCCGCATTAGCCATTGGACAGATCTGGCAATTGCCTGTGGACTGTGATGGCCATAGGCTGAGGATGACATGGGAAATCAAAGGATCCCCAGCTGGCCCAGAAATGGTGCTTGTCTGTTGATCTCTTGATCTCCCCACTCTTGTTTTATGATCTCTCCATTGGCTACAAGATGTCTATTAATGATATGGTGGGAAGATCAAAGTTCTCTCTCGCCTTCACATTCAACCTAAATGCCAAATGGAGATGGGCATCCTTAGCCCTCTAGTCTGCATATCCTCTAGGTGCAGAACGTATATATCTTTTGCAAGCTCCGGCATTTAGTATTAGAACATACCACGGGTACCACAGCAATGCTCTCACACTGTAAGCTCATGAGATAAATGGTAATAATGGGGAGGGGTGAATGTGTTTAAAAAAAAATAAAAAATAAAAATTTAAAAACTGGAATTAAATTAATAAAGCCTCCTATACATACATACATACTATACCCCCTATATGCACACAAACACTACAGAACCTATACACAAATGCACACTACATACCCTATACACATACACCACTAGAGGCAGCCTCTTACACATGCAAACACCCTTTACCAACCCTGGCATATATTACCCGTGGGCATCCCACTTATGGGGACACCAGAGACAAGGCACCAGTAAACACAGAGCAAGGATGTCATTAAATTTGCTTGCACTACACAGAACAAACATCACCATCTTAGAGTACTTCACCAGGACTCTGCTCATGGGCTCGTCTATAACAATAAGATATAGTAAGAATTGAAGATTATGCTAGCGCAGTGTACTAATAATCTTAATTTTAATAATGACAGGAGGCGAGTATTTTGCATGAACTTTCTTTACTAACTCCATAGCAGCAAAGAAAAAACTGTTAAAAGAAAGAACCAATCAGAGTGAAACAGAGAATATATAAGTCCAAGCATAGCCAATCATTTCCTCTTGACTAATGCGACATCACAAGTTCATAGTGTGACAAACGTGTCCGATCCAACTTGACCCAACTTGATTCAACTTAATCCAACTGGGAAACAACAAGGACTGTCGACTTCTCCATCATCCATAAAACTTCTTAAACTGAAAGGAAAGAGAGACTAGTATCAGTGATACGGAACTGACCATAGGTAACAAATGTCTGGTTATGTATGTAAACTCTTCACTAATTATATTCGACTATCTCTAAAATATTATGGTGTAAATGAATCCACATTGTAAAAGACAGTAATACTCTATCCTAACTCATTTTTGAACCTAAAGTGAAACACAGGATTAGATCCTACTCATTAGCCTTAATTTACCTCCATTTGGGTGGGAACATCAAGAAGAAGAAAGGGAGGGAAAATACTCGCCTTCTGTCATTATTAAAATTAAGATTATTAGTACACTGCTAGCATAATCTTAAATTTTATAACATGACAGGAGGTTTCCTATTTTGCAATTTTAACGCTTAAGTAGAAGAGCGAATGCGGCATTGGACGATGGGCGGAAGTAGAAAGTCCGAAATGTCGATTCTCGGGACTAATCTGCCGTTTGTAGAATATCTAACAGAGATGCGCCTGCTAGGAAAGCTGATGATGCCGCTGCCCCTCGAACGGAGTGTGCACCAAAGGAAGAGTCTATTCCGGCTAGGGAGAGAAGCCATTTGATCCATCTGGCCAATGTGGTGACCGAAACGGGACCGTGTGGGTTGACATATGACACCAATAATTGTCGTGCTGTCGGTGGGCGTAAAGCCTCTGTTGCCGCCACGTATGCTCGTAGAGCTTTAACCACGCACAGCTGAGGATCCAAGTTGAAGAATGGATAGAACACTGATGATGAGATGTGGAATGTGACTCCCTCCGGGTCGATGGAAAAAGCGTCCTTGTCGAACGCCCGGACGTCTGCCACTCTCCGGAAGGAAACCATGCACAACAGGAAGGCGAATTTTGCAGTCAGTTTTTTTAAGGATAGAAGTTCGTTGGTGGGCCAGTTCCTCAGGAAACGAAGGACGATATCCACATTCCATAAGTGTTGGTATTTAGGTGTTGGGGGCCTCCTTAATTTGATGCCCCGTAGTAGATGACATATTAGTGGATCCTGTCTGACCGCCCTTCCTTAGGACGGTACGTGTGCTGCCGAGATAGCCGATCTCATAACGTTGATAGTGCGATATGACTTGCCTTCCTCGAAGAGAGACGAGAGGAAATTCATGATATCCGAAACACGGGTTGTAAAGGGATCCTGATCCCATCCCATGCACCAAATGGTCCAAGATCGTCATGTGGATAAGTAACTCTTCCGTGTTCCCTGGGCCCAGGAATCCCATAGGAAGTCCTTAGCTGTTGTCGATAAGTCGTCGGTACACCAAGCTCCCCTGAAAGAGTCCAGGCTACCAAGGATAGGCGTCCGTCTAACAACTTCGGGTGTGAGTTCCCCGCCGGGTCTCTGAGTAGCATGTTGTCATTCGGCAGTAGAATCGGGTCCTGGTAGGACAATTCGAGAAGGTCCGGGAACCAGGGCTGACTCGGCCAGAGGGGTGTCAGGAGGGTTAGCCGCACTATTCGTCTTCGCGCATGGTGGAGAACTCTTGCAATCATGGCGAATGGGGGAAAGGCGTACGCCCCTTGTCTCGGCCAGTGTTGGGTGAAGGCGTCTACGGCCAAGCATTCCGGATCTGGGAGCCAGCTGTAGAACTGTGGTACCTGGTGGTTGTTGCATGAAGCAAACAGATCCAGTATAAAGGGTCCTTTCTGCTCGTGTAGGTGAGCGAATATCCGCGGGTTCAACTGCCAGTCGCTGGCGTCTCTCCAGTGTTGGGAGTACCAGTCTGCCGTAAGGTTCGACTCCCCTGGTAGGTGTTCTGCGCGTATCGTAATGTTGCGAGGGAGGCAGTAGTCGAAGATTTCCTTCGTCAAATGTACCAGAGTTCGTGATCGGGTACCCCCCAAATAATTGATGTACCGCACTGCCGATATGTTGTCCATTCATCCTTTTGCTAGGCTACGTATAGCAAAAGATCCCGCTAGTAGTTCGAGGCAGTTGATGTGCATCGATAATTCTTGTGGTGTCCACGTTCCTCCTGTGGATGTTTCTCCATCTGTGGAGCCCCACCCCAGGTGACTCGCATCCGATTCCAGGACGAAGTCCGGTTGGTTGCCGAAGATGGCCCGACCATTCCACGCTTGCATACAATGGAGCCACCATTCGAGTTCTTGATATACTTCTTCCGACAGCGGAACCGGTTGATTGTATGTGGGGTTCTGTCGCAGGAGGCTGGCTTTCAGCCGTTGCATAGCACGGTAGTGAAGGGGCCCCGGAAATATGGCTTGTATCGATGAGAATAGTAGGCCCACGATCCGTGCCAGTTGACGGAGTGGAGTCTAATTTTAGTACTCTGCGGATCTCTCTCTTGATGGCTGTCACTTTGGCGGACAGGAAGTGGAGAGTACAGGACCTGGAGTCGATCTCGAAGCAAAGGAATTGGATTTTCTGTACAGGTTTCATTGCGGATTTGGCCCTGTTGACGATGAAGCCCAAGGATTCTAATAATTGTACCGTATATTCGGTATGTTGTACAGCCAGCTCCCTTGTTCTGCAGAATAAAAGAATGTCGTCCAGATAAATTATGCATCTGATCACTTGTGTCCTGAGGTGTGTGACCACTGGTTTCAGCATTTTTGTGAAGCACCATGGTGCCAAGCTCAGTCCAAAAGGGAGGCACGTGAATTGCCATGGGGAGCCGTTCCAGAGGAACCGGAGGAAGGGGCGGCTGTCCTCATGGATTGGGATCGATAAATATGCGTCTTTGAGGTCTAGACGCATAAACCAATCCTTTTCTTGGAGGAGGTCCCTCAGTAAGTGTATGCCCTCCATTTTGAAGTGACGGTAGGACACATGCGCATTCAGGTCTCTTAAATTGATCACCGGTCTGAAATCCCTGGTCTTTTTGCGGATGAGGAACATATTGCTGAAGAAGCCTCCTCGTGTGTGCGCGGGTTGTATAGCGCCCTTCTTGTGTAGCTTGCGGAGTTCCACGTCTATGAGGTGAGCGTCCGTAGTTGAGAGGCGTAAAGGACGGGGAGGAAATCTCTGAATGGAGGTTGTTCGTATTTCAATTCGGTATCCGTTGACCGTCTGCAATACCTAAGCGTCCGTGGATAGTTGGGCCCAGTTCTGGGAAAAAAGAGAAACACGGCCCGCAATCATGGTTAGTTGTGGTATCGAGCAACAGTGGTCTCTTACCTGTTGGGAAGCGTGCGCGGGTGCGTCCACGACCACCTCGTCCTCTGTCTGTGCCCCTTTGGTAGTAGGGGTAGGGTTGTTTAGCTCCGGTGCCCTGATAATTTCGTTGCGGGTAGAATTGTTGTGAATAACCCATGCAAGGGCCTGATGGCCAGAATCGGCTAGTGGCACGGCCCCGTTGCCGACCAGCCCTGGAAAAAACACCCCTTGCGGAGGTACCTCGGAAGACCTTGCGCATGGATGTGCGGGCTCTATTCAGTGAGGTAAATACGTTGACGTGTTTATTCAGCTCTTTCATAAAAGCGTCACCAAAGAGTTTGCCCTGTGCTTGTGGGCCCAGTTCCTTTACCCCTAGATCAGCCAGTTTGGGGTCTATGCGGAAAAGTGCTGCTCGGCGCCACTCTGTTGAGAGGGACGCATTAGTATTACTGAGAAAACAGAAGCCCCTCTGGGCCCATTCTCGGATATCATGCGCCCACTCATGCACCATGTCCGCTGTAAACGAGTCCGCTCTGGCGTAGGCATCATCCGCCAGGTACATTACTCGGGCCAACGGCCCCATCGTGTCCAGGAGCTTGTCTTGCGCCCCTTTAAAGCTTTTTTCGATTCACCTACGTGGGTCGCAGCCTCCTTGCTCCATGAACGTCAGCATGAGCTGATCGAACTCTGGTGTAAATGCCACCTTGTCTGGCAGAGTCGGTCTGGGGCACTCCACCCGCATCCTCTTGCGCATGTGTTTTTCCAGGGGCTTACGTATCCAAAAATGCATAAACCGGAGGAGGTGATCAGGTGGAGCCCATTCCCCAGAACGGGGGTGGCGAATGTTCCTGGGGTCAAACATTCTGTGACCCGTGGCGTCTAGGAATATCTCTTGTTCCTGTGTGGTTGTGGCGGAGGGTTCCGCGTCTCCTTTAGTCTGGGGCTCACCAAGGAATGTCTCCATGACATAGGCGTTTGAGCCCCAACCACCTTAGTCAGAATCGGAGGCTTCTGCCTGCCACTCATTCAAGATGGAGAGGGAGTGGGGTTTATCTTTTTCCTCATCTGAGGACACCTCCCCAGTGCACGTGGGAGTCATAGTCATAGCGTGCTTACTGCGCTTTAGTGGTGTCTTGACTTTGAAGGCGGCCTTTTTGGACCCCTCGCCCTTCCAGTGGCGTTTTGCCGGGTGGCTTTTCTCTTTAGAGGAGTCATCTGACTCATCTGAGTCCTCTTTGTTCTGGCGTTGCTTGGTAGCCAATGTGGTAGATTCAGTGGTTGTAGGTATTGCCTTTGCTAACGCCTTTTCTAAGGACGCAGCCACCGCCGCGTTGATCATGGCCTGAAGCTCACAAGTGTGTCTTCCATTGTATGGGCACTAACAGACATGGGTATAGGAGTCAGAGGTGAGGGACCGTGTGGGAGGGACTCAGGCCGGCCGACGGCCATATAACCACCGCTCAGTGGCATGAAACCGGACTCTTTAAGCACTGGGGCTCACCCAGGTTATCGGAACTGCTTTAACAGTTGCCGCTATGCAGCACTCAGGGACTGATCCCAAATGGGGGCTCACCCCTTGCCAGACTACTGGGTTAAACCTTACTGGCAGTCCTACTCCCCAGGGGAAATGTCACCAACCTGTGTAGGTCCCAAGTGGACTTCACCTCAGCAATTCTGTCTAAATCTCCCCCAAACGAGAGCCTTGTCCTGATGGGTGTTGTGATCCTTCTAAACTGTTGCCAACAAAATGGCTGCCGCGGGTCCCGCGAGATAGCCTGGGGCGGCAGAAAAAAGCCAGCGAAAAGCTAGTAACTTTGACGCGTTCGGCAGCCAATCCGCGAACAGCCGTTCGCTTATAGCTTAAACCGCCGAACGCTCCTGGAGGTGGAAACCCACGAACGGACTGGTTCCCTGGTAAGTATGGTAACAGTCTGTTCGTGCAAATCTCCTGCCACAGTATCCTAATTCGCAGTGAGACACGAACCGCGACTGTCCGCACTGTTCGCGCCTTTTCTCAGTTACCAGAGTGAACAGGTGGGCTGCGGTCATGAGATGCACACAAGCACTGTGTGACCCGGTCTGTTCGCATAATGGGTGATGCGAACAGAGCGGGACGGAGGCGGGAAAGGTGGCAAGCGTAGCCACTAGATGAGACAGGGAGGAGGGAGGTGGGGGAGGTGGCGGAGGTGGGGGAGGTGGGGGAGGGTGTCTGCAACGGGTTACAGCAAAAAAACTAGCTAATGGTGTGGTACTAACCCAATATGTGCAGACATATCAATAGGACCAGTCACTGTACTGGGAAGTTCAGTCCCTGAACCCTACATCCACAAGCTGGTAAGATCAGCCCCCCTGAGGGGAGAAGGGATGGTCCCTCTAGAAGCACCCCTGTCACCCCCAATATAACAGATGGTAGCTGTCAAAGATAATAAAATACAGTAAATCTATACAAAGATCCTGCATAACAAAATACTATTAAGAAATCAGTACTCTGACCTGACTTGTGATGGAGCAGAAAGGAAAGAGGAAATGATTGGCTATGCTTGGACTTATATATTCTCTGTTTCACTCTGATTGGTTCTTTCTTTTAACAGTTTTTTCTTTGCTGCTATGGAGTTAGTAAAGAAAGTTAATGCAAAATAGGAAGCCTCCTGTCATGTTATAAAATTGCCAGCCATTGATAATGATAGGGAGGAGTTCATGTTGACCTTGTATGAGGCCCTAGGAACTGTGAAATGAGTTGGCAAACTATTAAATATTGTGCTTGGGGCCCTAAGTAGGTGTCTAAGGTAGAAATGTCATCTAGATCAAGCTAATAGCTATGGTCCTAGATGATCACATAAGTAGCCCCAGACTTTTCTAGATGCCAAAATTAATGAAATAATTTTATATTCCCTTCTGCTTCCATTATTTTTGTAAGTTAATTGGAGGAGAGAGTTACTTTGCTGATCTTTATACCTACAAAATAAAACTGACCCTGTAAACTATAAAACATGTATTTTATATTAGAGAAACGATTTAACAAAATGAAAAAAATACCTCAAACTCATTGTCTTCTGCCCTCAGAAAGAGGCTTCTTTAAAATAAACTAATAAACAAATGTCCCAATACATTAATAGAAACCAATAGCTATATATTTGCAATAGAGAAAATAGACCTCTCTAGTTCCATGGCTGGAAAGTGAAGAATGATATACATGTCCATAATTAATTTGCTTCTCCTGGGTTAGTTTCCAGCCAAGCACAATACCACATTGAGTCTCCATTATCTTCAGTGCCTTTCATTTTGTATTTGGAATGCTACAGATATCACAGTGCTAACCAGGACAGATAAATATAGATGTTTTAGAGTCAACAGAGATAATCAAAGTGATGAAAATGTATTTCTATTAATCTTTATTAATTAATGAAAATTGGAAACATTTTGGACAGTATTGACCCTTTTTCCATTCTGATATATCAGATAAATACCATGGTCAGGAGCAAAAACCTTTAAAAAGTAGACAGGGAGGGTAATGCCAGGTTTGCCGTAATTAGATGAGGGGGCCACACTTCCACATTAATTACCACTTATGCAAGGGGTATTTAATAGCAACAGAGCTCTAGGTGTCCCTACTCTGGTTATATGGAGGTGTCAATTAAATTCTGTGAACTTTGGTCAGAAGAGTTTCCAGTGTGTATTGGGATTCAGACTTCAGACAGATAAATCTATAAACTATGTTACTCTCCAAGCCAATTACACCTAACCCTATAAAATAACCAATAAGAAACATATCTATTAATAAACACATTTATTAATTAAAATATTTTCCCTTTGTAATCATACATGTCACTTAACCTTAACGCCAGTCCTGGATGCAACTTATACTTGAAAAGAAATTTAAAAAAAGCCAAATCTAGGCATTTTTTTCAGAATAAAACAGAGAGCAGTGATGTATCTTACATGGAGTATGCATAGTTATTCTCAACCAATGTCATACCCCAAAGTACCAAAAATGAGCCCAGTACAATTCTACATCTGGGGGAAACTTTTGCTATGAGTTCTGGTTTGTGTGATGCAATTTTCATATGAAAAAGGATAATGTAAATAACAATGTAGAGAACTCTAAAATGAAATTGAAAAAGGGAAGAAGTGTAATAAATACAAATAAGAAAGATTATTGTGATCAGAAAAAATTGGTATACATTTTGTTGTCAGAAAGAATGCATTAATATACATCTTGCATTTGCTAATCATACACAGAGACGTATGGAACTGGACCTACAATGTTATACCTCTTCCACACAGTCATTTCCTGCTATCATTGAACACAATGATTAGTAAGAGATCTGTGCCATCAGATTCAAATGTCACCTGCTCTTGTTTAGGAGGCCCCAGAGATTCACAAGCTACATAAATCAATCAGTTTGGTCACATTGCTATGTACCATGAGGCCCATCGTGACCTTTTGTTGTAAAGCAAATTTGTCTATTACTTTTTAAATGCTGAAAATTGTACCGCACATAATAAATGTGTCTCAATATTTTTCAATATGCCAAAAGAGGAAATGGAACTATTATACATGTGATTGACATAAACATGCTATTTTGTCTTATTCCATTATATTATATTACCATTGGGTATTTATACCTAAGCACTAAACATAGAAACATAGAAACATAGAATGTGACGGCAGATAAGAACCATTCGGCCCAACTAGTCTGCCCAATTTTCTAAATACTTTCATTAGTCCCTAGTCTTATCTTATAGTTAGGATAGCCTTATGCCTATCCCACGCATGCTTAAACTCCTTTACTGTGTTAACCTCTACCACTTCAGCTGGAAGGCTATTCCATGCATCCACTACCCTCTCAGTAAAGTAATACTTCCTGATATTATTTTTAAACCTTTGTCCCTCTAATTTAAGACTATGTCCTCTTGTTGTGGTAGTTTTTCTTCTTTTAAATATAGTCTCCTCCTTTACTGTGTTGATTCCCTTTATATATTTAAATGTTTCTATCATATCCCCCCTGTCTCGTCTTTCCTCCAAGCTATACATGTTAAGATCCTTTAACCTTTCCTGGTAAGTTTTATCCCGCAATCCATGAACCAGTTTAGTAGCCCTACTCTGAACCCTCTCTAAGATATCAATATCCTTCTGAAGATACGGTCTCCAGTACTGTGTACAATACTCCAATACTACAATTTGCGTAAATTGACAATCAGATTGCAAAATATAGGTAAAAATAGTCGAATATAAAACGTATCCCAAATCAGCTATTGTTCTATCTTGGCTATTTTAGCGTAAATTTGCAATTCAGTTATCAAATTACTGCAGATCATTCTTTAGCAAATAAACCTCAAAGTGTCCATTGTACTTGCGTGTTTAACCAGCGGAAAATGTTGCAAAAAGTATGTTGCTGGGCTTTAACAATTATGTCGAAAAAATCGTCAAACGTTATATTAAATAATAATCTAGAATAGAGATTATGCAATGTAAATCTAGTATGTAAACATATAACTGAAAGTCCTGTGTAATGTGGTGGGACAGGAGATTATTAGCACATACATGTAAGACGAAGTACTGTAGGCAAGAATGTTTGCCTGTCACTTTAATAATGTGCTGCGATATAGTTCTAAAACACTGTATTTAGTTTACTCCCCATTGCTTGCAAGAGAGTAGCTTTGCCTTTATTCTGATTTAAATGCATAACTTACTGCAGCCTAAACCGCATACATATTAGATTTATTATACACATCTAGAAAAAGGTACTCAAGTGTAAGAATGGAGGGAAGGGGAACGGAACGACAAAGCCTCTTTAGCTGTTTTGTTCATATCACATAACAGGGAAAGGCTGTATTAAAGGCACAACATCTTGAACGCAAAAAAAGAGCTTTGTTCCTGCTGCCCAGAGTGAGCTGCATTTGGTGATAGAATAAAAGAAATGAGAGAGGTGTGGGAGGAGAAAGAAAGGAAAAGAAGCAGGTGTGTGTATGTTCCTGTGTGTGTGTGTGTGTGTGTGTTTGAGAGGGATGCAAAGAACCTTGGCAATATGGGGGGAGGGGGTAGAGAGACACAAAGCAGCAAGGAAGGAAAGAGATATTGAATTCTGAGAACACAGAAGAGTTAAACTACCAGTAGAGCATTAGAGATGTGGAAAAGAGGAATGAAGGTGGCGGAAAACAAGAAAAATGGCAATAGCAGCAAATTTGAATGGTGGCAAAAGGGAGAAGTCATTAGGAAACGCAGAGGTGTGGGGGCATATAGGAAAGATGAAAAGGGAGTCTGACATTTGTGCAACCAGGAAAGGAGGCAAGATGCTTTTATGCTGTAATGCATTGCAAATATATTGAAGATTTTTCTGTATGTCAGGGGGTGAGGGGGCAGAGAACATACTGTACGTTTATGGACTTGAAAAGGCAATCAGCAATCTGCAAAACAAACGTGTTTTAAAACCCAGTATAAATTTCATGCTAATGCCAGTTTTATTTCTGTGGAAGCCCATCTTCAGCAGGGCAGAGAAATAAGCAGTGTGTCTGTGCTGAATGTACTAAAGGCTTTGGCAGAAAATCATTCTTGGCCCTGTGGAACCGAAAAAGTTAAGGGTCTCCCCCAAACACATGGCTGCCCCCTCCTCAGACAAGCACATTCCCTCCCTCGCACCCACACAGACTAAAACAAACAGTGGATCGTGTTTTCATATGCTAATGCCTCTCAATCTCCTAACGAGGCTGTTAATTAGAGCTGTGTGCAGCGCGGCAGGGGGAGGGGTCGAGCGAATGTAACTGTAACATGTTGCTTGGGATTCATTTCTTTGCACAGGGCCTGCAGAGCATTGCATCGGAATGCGGGGTGTAAGGTGGTCCTTATGCATGAATGCGAGGGAGGGAGTGGGAACAGATGCGTCATTTTTTTATCCATGGTGCTGAAAGACAGCTCCCTGCTATTCTGCTGCCTGGTATGAAAAGGGAAGGAGAGCAGAGAGAGGGATCTTAGTGAGAGAAAAAAAGGAGGAGGGAGAAAGGGAGTGTGACAAATACTCAAGAGAACAAGAATACTGGAATTAAAAGAAATTATGAGAGAAAGAAAAAATGTAACAGAAGCAAGATAGGAGAGGTATTTAAATTCATTAAAAAAAAAAAAGAAAAAGGAATATTGGATGCTGATGACAATATATAGGTGGAAAAAGTGAGAAAATGGATGTGTAAGAGATCTATTTGTGTAACATTGCCCACAGTCTGGCAAAAACAAAGCATCTCAAGATTTTTCCCCCTAAAAATAATGTTAAAAACAGAGCCACAGGTAGTTTTGAAGACTGTTTGAAAGAAAGTCCTGGTTTTCAAAACATATACATCAACAGAATAGTTCCTTATTCAGTGTTACTTATTGTGAACAGTAAAACACACAATACTTGGGCAAAATGGTCTTAAGTACGTCAGCGTAGCATCAACTGGGGTCATATGCTTGCTTGGTCAACTGTAGACACCCCCAAATATTGCTTATATGTTGGATACACTGGGTACACTAAATGTACACCTAATGTAACTGAAAACTGATTTGCAAAATTTAGGCAAAAATAGAAGGTTTGGAAGATTATACATTTTAGTGACAGTCACAGTTTGGCAATATCTCCTGAAATTTTGTATTTTAAGTATTCAATTCAACGTGATGTTCAATGAATACACCTCACTATTTTGAGTCCATTTTTCTAATATGGTTACCTGAGGTTGGTTGTGGTCCGGAGTGACAGGAACCACATAAAACAATCTAAGTATTGGTAGTATCAAAGGTAAACAAGTCTTAAAATGTTACAAAGTCAGTGCTCTAAATGTGCACATTCTATGAACAACCATAATTTACCCAAGTTCAAAAACATTTAATGTTACTTAAGAACAAGAGTATTTCTTTAAAACATATCTGGAAATATAACAAGAGCTACAAACTCATAAAACATCATGTCGCATAATTATAACTGCACCGTAGTGAAACCCTCAGGGCTGAGAAAACAGTAGATCCCTAGCAGGTGTAGAACTACAAATGCCATGATGCTTTGCCAGTAGAAGGGCAAAGCATCATGGACGTTTCAGTTCTGCAACAATTGGTTTTCTGTCGTTTGCTCACCCTGCTCAATATTACAGGAGTCACATATTTTAACCTAATTCTGAGAAGAATACTTGCACTACTAAATATGCCACATTACCTAGTTCTTGGTTAAATTACCTGAATGCATTTCAAATAGCTGTTGGGTAGTTATTTACCAGAACTGTGCATAGCTTTAATCCCTTGGTACCAATAACATGTATACGTTTCAGTTTGGATTGTATTAATTAAACAAACCTACTCCACTTTGTTCTTGTAACATTGGTTCTTACAATGACATTTTCTGTATGAGAACATTATGCTTAGATTCAGTCATACTGTTTACATACTGTTTGACTCTGACAGCTTCCCCAAGCCATTAGTAAATTCCTTATAAATTGGTCGGTTATTTGACCAATATAATATATAGTTCTGGCTTACTTTATATTATATTTATATAAATTGTTATGTGTCTTTCTGATTTCACTTTTCTTAATGTTTTTGAAGTACTGCAAGATATGGGATTAGGAAAATGAATTGTCATTGATATATTTAAAATTTCAATATTTTCGCAAAGTAAGTAACTGGAAAAATATAAAAATAATCAGTAAATTGACTTTTTGTTCCCTTAACAGCAGTCTACATGGTATTTTTTTAATTTATTTAAAAACTTACATATTAGATATAAATCCAATGTTTTAAATAAAATGTGGTACAACTGTGAGGAGTTAAGTGTTAAGAAGAAAAAGTTGATTTTTATATAAATTCCTATTTTTCATCACTCCATTGCAGTAGATACCAAACATGTCTTACACACACAATGAATACATCACCCAAAAAGTCCTATCCTAAGTGAAGAGTCTTCTAAATTATAAATGTCATGCTCTATAAGGTCAGCGCACAAAATTCAGAAAATAACATAAAACTCATGCTCTTCCTAGCAAATTCTAATTTACAGAGATGGGATAAGGAGAGCATTCTTTTTTTAGATTAGAATTAACTTAATTAGGTAGAGGAGAGCATTTGAGATTGAAAGGCATTTGTTCACTAAACTGTGTTTTGAGGAAAATTAGACAAAAAAATTAGTGTTAGACAATATTGGATACTTTTTTATTTATCAACAAGTGCAAATTACAATGCACAAAGGCATGAGAACAGAAACAATTCTTGCAAAACATGTTTAGATATGAAAATAAATTATAACAAAAATAAAAAACAATTTTATAAAAAATAATACATTTAACAACTAGCACTCACTGTGGAGTGCCTGACAAATTATGCAATATAACCATCCCAAAAGCCAAGGGTGTTGTGGATGATGATAGTGTATTATGCACAAGCGCTGTGAGCCTATCTATTAGACCATTGTCCACTATCTTGGCATTAACCTCTGGGATGGCAGGTACTGTTTCTAACTATCTAGACAACAACGCTCTAAAAAGGTTATCAAAACCATCTATGAGCAAGAAAGAAGGGCCAGGGTCAAAAGGTCTATGAAACACTCGGGACAACAAATGCTGCCTACTACACTGGGACCACAACAGGACAATTCCACCATGTGTGGAAGAATGTTACCTTAGAGCCACATAATCGCCAGCCTAAATCCTTTAGGGTTCTACCCATGTTTTTTTTTTTTTTACTCTGGTGCTGTACCATCTCATTAACAATTTGAACAATTGGTTCTGCAAGAAAACACAAATAAAGATCCTTCTAGCCACTTACCAGATATCTTCCCACATGCCTCCCTCCTGATGTTCATTCAAATCTTGCTCCTCATATATACAATACATTAGATCATCCCATACACCAGGGTTTGAGCAAAATGCATTATACAGCAAAGTGTATAATGCCTTGCTTTTTCCTGACAAAGATCCTAAGCAATAGATATCTAAATATTTTCTTTGGTAGAAAGAGGAAAAGTTGCCATGTGATTGATTTTAGAGCTGGGATGGTGAATGAGTGTCTAAGGCAGAGAAGTATTGAGTAAACAGCTTGTTAATACTATCAGAAGTAACTGAAGTGCCAGAGGCATCCTAAATTGCAGTAATGAGTTTGCCTTTGGTTCTAGGTTTTAGGCTTCTGGCTAGTAAGGTGTCCATTCTATTAGCTCCTTTTAGTAAAGGGGACTAGCATGACATTAGTTAAAAATAAAACTATCCTTGAATAAGTATAACATGGGGTAGAGTAAGCGTTGAATTCTAATACATCTGGATGATGGGCTCTCCAGACAAGAACACATTCATTTATAGAGTAGTTATGGAGTGTGGAATTCATCTTTTAGCACTTTTATCAGCTGCAGAACATGACACAGCATTCAGATCCCTGGAGACAAGGCTCCAACATAATAACCAAATTATTGCAGGATCAGCAACATTAGGAACATATACATTTAGAAAAGGTAATATTTCCCCAATGATTGTTCCTGTAAGTAAGATGACTCTCCTATCATTGTCAATAGAAAGATTGGTTACCTGAAGTGTGTAACTCTTCTGCATGAGAATCTCCACCAAATTCACATAACGGAATGAACCAGAGTAATGTACATATGATTATGATTATGGGGCAGACCTTGGGGCATGGGTCTCTTCAATGAAGGTGATATCAGCACATAGATGCTTAAGCTCCCTCAACAACAGCCAGTGTCTAGTAGGATTATTTATGCCTTTAGCATTTAAAGAAACAACCTTATGGTTAAAATAGAGAAGCACATAAAGCACTCAAGACTGTGATGATAAAATGCACTCAGTAAAGGAGAATGCTGAAGGGAATTAATATGATGCAATAAGAGGGGCAAACAGCCTCATTTGCATTTAGTGGAAAAGAAATTAAAAATTTCACATTACTGTAACCACACAGCACCGGTGGAGGCGTGACTCCTACCCACACCTGACACATGGATGGTCCAAGTGGGAAGTGAACCTACCACCACCCTGACACACAGGTTATTCAACCTCTCCCTTGTACATAGGACGTGAAAGCACTAAGAGGTCCAACAAAAGGGACATTCACACATTATTACAGTAATAGGCGATATATGTGGAGAGAGGATGCCATGGTGGAACAAGGGCACATAGCATGTGCAGAGCACCAGGCTGATCAAAAACATATAAGCAAAACAAATGTACGATCAGTATATACCTATAAATAAAGGTACAGTATCATAGATAATAGTATTAGTACATTAGAGAGAATCTTCTCCGATAAACAAAGAGGACATATGAAGGGCAGCCCAACACCAGCACAGAGTTCTATAACCCACTGCATAGAAATAAAAACAAACAAAACGGTAAGTGGGTGCCAACAAAACTATTAAGAAAACGGAGGATAGTCCTCAATAGAGACATGATGATTACCTTAAGAGCTGATAGATTTAACTTTAGAGAAATATTTTACTAATGCATAGCTGTAAATAAAAAGAGTGAGGTAATACTAAGATATATCCCATCTAAGCTGCTACACAGGGAGCGACGAGGATAGCAACAAAAGCTTGAAACAATACAAAAAAAAAGTAAAAAAAGTTTAATGGTAAATTTTAAACCACTGATATGAATGTCCATGTGGTCTGTTAATGTCTCCTATAAGGTAAAGTCCACAAGGCAATTTGAAAAGTAGATAAATGACAGAAATGGGTCAGGGTATCCCTTGACTGTTCTCCCGTAGAGTTTAGAAATCTCTGTCCATCATCCAGAGGTAATCAGGTATGTCCAACAGTAGCGGGTAAAATATCTGTTTGAGTAGAGATGGTATGTTTTCATCCCTAGAGTCGTCTGGCAGGCCCCAAAGCCTCAGTTTGTTCCAATATAGCCCATTGACTAAATCTTTGAGTGTGATATTGACTTCCATTAGCCAATAATGAAGATAATTGAAGTGATCCATGAGGGTGTTATGAGCCAACACCACCTATTCAACTCTTGAATTCAGTTCAGCTGTCCTCTGCCCTAGTGCCTGCATCATCTGCTATATCTCTCTGGAACTCCTAGTCATCTCCTAGGCAAGTTAGGAGCACATCTCATTCATCTGCTGCAAAATAGGGGCTGTACCTGTTTCAACCATCACCAGCCCTTCCTCAACATATTCCATTTCAGGCTGCAAGCTTTGGCACTCAGTGCAGGCATCATCTTGATGATGCTAAAGCTTGTCTATGAAGCATTTGGTGAGGTGTCAATGATGGAGCAACAAGCCCAAGTGGACATTTTAATCTCTGTTCAAACCACCCTCTCTTCTTTTGAATAATTTAAGGTGGTAAAATGCATGTGGCGACAGATAGAAGAGAGATAAAAGAGAGGCAGTTTATAGACTATAAAATGTCTAGAGTTCCAATTTTTAGTACAAAATAGCCAAGTGCAAAACAGCTCAATTAGAGAACTCTGCAAATTCACCTTATAATGGTTCCTAACAGATACTGCAGTGTCAAAGTTCATTACTGTGTACACGTCATCTTATGACTCAAATACCACCTTTATGCAACAGACCCCTAAAAAGAAGAAATTGGAGGCATATCATGGGGTGGAAATGGAACTGCCTTCTCTTTTAGGAACCATCATTGAATTTGTTCAAGTTTCATATCCTTTGATTTTCGTGAATGAGATACAAACCTGCTCTGTTTCATTTTAGGTTAGATCTATCCATGTATTTTGTACTAAGTTGTTTTTAGTAATATATTATTTTACGCCATACACTTATAATGTTTTGTTCATTAGGAAGAGCATATTGCCTGTACAAGTACAAAAGTGTTATTTTCTTCCTTTTTTTTTCATTTTAATATTTAAAACATGCACATATTCTCTTAAAATCGGACAGTATTAATAAAAAAAAAAAAAGCAAATGTGTTATCTTATTGGTTTTAGTTATAAATTGGTGTAGAAATGATCAGCACAGTAAATCCTTAATATCATACAACAGTGCTTCTGTATCCAAATGTCAGAAATACTAAAAGGAGAGAAAATTAAGTGAATACTCCAAGAACCATAACCACTAAAGCATGCTGTAATGGTTATGGTAGCAGGAGTGCCCTGGCTCCCTACCAGTGTAAACATTCAAAGCTGGAATCTGCCTAGCACCGCTCTCTGCCTCCACTACACTTACAAGAGAGTCAATAGATGACACTCACAGCTAATGGGCTGGCTCTGCATGACATGGCATAGCTCCTAATCAGGAGCGTCCTACTCTCTAATGACTACACTTGTGGTGGGATTCTAAAATGGCTTGCAGTAGCTCGACACCTTTGCTTTCCAAAGGCTAGTATTCACAACTTCTTTAAAATCTCATACCTCGTGATATGGGTTTCTCAGTATGGTCAACAATTTAATTGTATATCAATAAGATCATTTTAGACCATCCAACTAAGCAGCCCAGGAACTGTACCAGATGGAACCCAATAGATTCTGAAACTGTGTCCACCATTAAATTACACTGCATGGTACAAGCAGGCCACCAACATTATACATTACTGTACATAAGCAAAATGGCTATAGCAAACATGCAGGTTGCATTCTGTCACTGGAGATGCTACAACTCAACATGGATGCATTTTCCAGTATAATCATGCAGTTTTGTAGTATATAATTATTATGGACAAGCGATATGCACTTTGTGACTCTGCTATTACTGGGTTATTTGGCTGACTGGGAAGTCAATGAACATACATTGTTGCCTACTTATAAATACATGAGTAAACCTTTGCCAAATTCAGTTGATGTGCTCCCTGACCCATTTTAGTATTTGTTTTATTATCCTCAACAAAACATGATGTTAAGTCATTGTGTTTTTTATATGCAAAGCATCACTCCTGTTCCTTGTCAGTACAGTTTATCTTCATGTATATTTAATAATAAAAACTGCTAGTAGAGTACTTTATATTGTGCTTTCTGTACATTATTTAAAAATCTCTCAAAACTTGTGATTTAAAGCAGCACTCTCACACCCCCCTATAAAATTAGTGTTTCATAAAGATAGAATCTTTATGAAATACTCATACTGATTGTTTGGGAATTTCATAGGAATTCCATCCCAGTCAAAGCACATATTGAGACAAAGTAGGGACTACTCCCAGTATGTGTTTTGACTGGGTTGGAATTTCAACCCAGTCAATGTTAATCTCCCAGCCATCAATCTGCCAGCCGTCACAAGTGACAACTCCAGGGTATTAGCTTTATCTATGGAGGATCCCACAATCTCGCAGGATCCTCCATAGACCTAAATGTTGCACTATCATGCATGTGTGAGAGTACAGCAGTGATGTCAGCTCTTGGTGCTGAAGACCCAGGAGCAGAAGAGGACCAGCTGGAAGGAAAAGGTAGCGCCCATGGGGAGAGTTTCAGGTAGATTAAATTTACCTTTGCCTACCCCTTCCTCCTCTGCTACAGGACCCTCAATGGCAATGTCAACATGATGGTGACAGTGCCACTTTAAATGCAGAAACTACAAACCACATTGTCTCAAGAGTGCCTCAAATTCAACTACACTGAACACAACCACATCCTCCTCTGTACTTTTAAAAATAATATCGTATAAAAGTGGTACAAATATTAAATAAAAGCAGAATATTTTAATTAACTGGGAACAAAAGAACGTAACTTGAAGTTTAATCATGCTAACAAATGAGTGGTAATGTAAAAAATGTGTTAGTTGCTGCATACACATACATTACAGAAACAATATTTACAATTCAGACTTGGATCAGGCGGTATTAAAAAAAAACACTTCAACATGTTTACCAAATAATCAAACACTTCTTTCATATTTTCAATGCCTTTAGAAATACAACATGGGAAACTATACATTACTCAAAGTAATATCCCATATGCAAACTATTAAAGGAAATATGATTAAAACTCTGAATACACAGATCCTAACATCAGAACTTTTTAGGTAAATATCCAGCATCCATTAGTACTGGGCATACCTTTCTATGTCTGGTTTATCGGTGGCCTGGTCAGCATAAGACCACAATTAGGCCCATATTTGTTGTGGTTGAGAAGGTTATTGGCTTGTGCCAGCTGTAAAGTTCTATATTGACATACTGGTACCTCAATAATGATGTTGGTTGATGCACACAGTGCAGGGAATCAGCCACCATTGAGAGCTTAACCATGTTACAGATGTTGGGTGTCAGGGTTGAGACATGCACATACCTTGGCACATGCACACACACACTAGCATATACAAACATTGGCACATACACATACACACTCAGATACACACAAATACCCACACTGGCACATACACAAACTCAGATACACACTGACACACAGATGCACACACACTGACACATATACACACCCATTCAGATACATACACTGGCACATACACACACACTCAGATACACACTGACATATATACACACACTCAGATGCACACTGATACAGATACACGCACACACTGACACACAGATACACACACTGACACATACACACACTGGCATATACACACATTCAGATACACACTGATACACAGATACACACACTGGCACATACACTCAGATACACACACACGCACATACACACACTGGCACATACACACACTTAGATACACACTGACACACAGATACACACACACAAAGAAACACACAAATACACACACTGGTACACACACACACACACACACACACACACACACACACTCAGATACACACTGATACACAGATACACATACTGGCACATACACACACAAATACAAACAATGACATACACACAGATACACACACACACAATCTAGCATACATAGACACATACATGTTATATTTTTTTATATTTGCAGCCACCCTCCAATAAGATTTCCTTTGGTATCCAGGAGTGTGGCCTACTTAAGGTCCTAGTGATGCTGGCTGAGGCTGATGGGAGTGAGCATGAGAGTCTGCAGAAGCTCATTCCAGCCTCTCCTTTGCCTCCAACCACTTCCCTCAGCCTCCTTCTCCCTACCGCAAAGCACTTTGTGTGAAGCTGGGAGAAAGTGATCGGTTGCCATTTCCTCCCTGCCAGACGATACTACAGGGATCCAGTAGCACTCTTAAAAGGCAGTGGCACCTGACCGGGCCACTGTTCAGTGATAATACCCATCGGATAGCCAGATCATACACAATATCCTGGAAATAATGCAAACACAATTTGGCATACATTGTAAATTGATACTATATATGATTTGCGGGTGTCAGGGTGCTGCTATGAAAATGCTGGAGACTCCAAGAACCTCTGGGAGAGTTGGGATGTCTGCTTGAGACATTATGGAACAGACTTGACAAACTAAATTCAACTATTCATAAGTTACTTTATATGTACTATAAAGAGGAACTGTCAATTTCCAGCAATTTTCAAGTTTTTAAACAAAACAAAACCTAGAATTATATCTACATGGTCTGTTCAACCATAATTTACCCACACTTATTATATGTCATTTTGTTAATGAGAAATAGGACTTTCATTTAACATCAAATATTTCTACATGTGAAACAAATTTAAAATGAATAAAAACTAAAAAAGTGTGCGTAAAATTAAGAAATGTTATTTTCCAAGATCTGCAAGGCTTTTTATTTGTGAATGTCATTATACTGGGGAAGTACAATGATGACCGCCATGTACAGGTTTCATGGTGTTTTGTAAAGTTCCAGAGACAAATAATGGGCTTGCCCATTTCAGTTTTTACACATTGAAATTTGCTGGATTTTTTTCGCTGGTCTCATGTTATCTTACAGACCATATGGTAGCTTATTTTTTTATTATTTTTATTATGTTTATGTTTATTTTTATTTTTGTATTCTATTCTATTTTATTTTTATTTTATTCATATATATATTTTGTTTATTTTCATTATTTCTTTTTTCTTTTTTTTAATCTTTTTTCATTTTTTCCATATTTTTATTTTTATTTATTTATTATTGATTATGTATTTATTTTTCTTTATTTTGTTTTTTATATATATATATTTCTTTATATATACTTTTTTCATCTAGACATATATGTGTATTTTATGCCTACACCCTCCAATGCAGCCCCATTTGTTTTTTTTCCTTGTGTTCAGATGTCTCAGGTTGTTTTCTGGTCTTTCGTTTCATATTCTGTCCAGGTTTCGATCTTTTGCCATGTGCGCATGCGCGCTTCCCGCACGCATGCGCAATAGAAATACGGAACTGTCTCTTCAATTTTTCGTCATATCCTTGCGTCCTTGTGCGTTCCACGGATGGCACGCACGCCGATTAACAGAAGAACGCAATCAAGAGGAGATTTTTACCGGTATAAAAACCGGAGCAATGGAAGTATAGAAGTATCCCTGATGAAGTCCTACACCTTACAGGACGAAACGCGTTGGATTTCTATATTGGACTTATTTTATATTGTTTTAATTGTTTTATTTGTATTTTTGGCTACTCATTTATAACTACTCCTGTTCATCCCTATTCCTGGATTGATGACAACATTGCATGGAGTTTCAAGTTATTGAGAGATAGGCTCTTTGTGATTTACACACATGTAAGTGTGACCAATAAATGTGATTTTGTACTTTTTATAACAAACTTCACTATTCTGTTTTCTCCTTTATTTTTTATATATCCTATGAGGTTTTTCTCTAATTCATCCATCGGATTACATACTGCCCCTGGGTGGGCGAGAAGCTCTATTTCACGCGCGTTTGTGAGTGCATCTATAATCATTTTTATTTATATAGTTGAATTACTTTACTGTATCACGCTATGTCAAATTTCTGATTTTTATACAGAATTCATACGGATTTCACTTTCCATCAGGTTGTTGTATATTTTATATAGTAACCTACACGTATTCTGGGTGTTTTCCACCTTTTCATTATTTCACATATGGTAGCTTGGAATGAAAATTACCCCCATCATGGCATACCACTTGCAAAAGTAGACAACCAAGTGTATTCAAGATAGCGCATCTTTTTTAATAGTCACTTTTTAGTAGCCACTTATTTACAAACCCTGGCCAAAGTTAATGTTCATATTTGTTTTTATAATTTATACTTTCACACTTCCACTGCTTCATATTTTACTGCTCTAAAACCCTCATGTTTGTGTTCAGTGATGTCTCTCGAGTACAGTAGTACCCCTCATGTACAGGTTTTATGGTGTATTGGAAAGTTACAGGATCAAATATAGGACTTGCAAATTAAATTCTTAGGATTTTCTGCATGTGTTGTCAGACAGGTCCCTCAATATATAATTAATGAAATAATCTCATTATATATAAATTATATAAAAATACACTTAGAATGAAATTATATATGATATATATATATATATATATATATATATAATTATATCAATCAACATTTTTTAAAATATATATTATATATTTCTTTCTAAGTGTATAACACATATTATTTATGAATCATTATATTGTTTTATTAATTATATATTGGAGGATCTGCCTGACAACCCCTTACAGCCAAACTGCCAATCAAGTGTGTCACCACATTCACATGACTCAGAACGACTGGATTGGCTCCAGGGGGACTGTCCGGGTTGGCAGGCATGATCCCCTTGATTGTGATCGACACAGAGCAAATTATTTGGGCCTGGAGGGAGGGCCCAAATATTAGGGTGTGCTATGCTGCCTTAACTTTATTAAAGCCCTCTGTTTGTAGGATGGCATAGCATGCCCTAATGTCGGGAACGGGTTAATACTTTCTCTGCTTATCCCTATATGTATTAAATCAATACTTGTAAAGCGTGAAAAAATGAAATACAGAAATCTGCACATCTTTTATCCACCAAAACGAGCGTCTCTGTCTTAGTTCCTGTCAGTCATTCCTATAAGCTTTGTGTTTGCACTTGGCAATCACTTCTTTAACACCCACCTCCGGTCCATTTTCCACTTCTCCCATAGTCTTCACTGATTTGCCCTGCTTGAAAACACTTCCTCAAGCAAAACAAACATCCTCTATGACGCCAAGACTCTGACTTTGTTGCCAACATGCTGGTGTCTGAACGTTACTCCGATTCTATACTCCCTAGCCATCCCACCAGCGCTGATTACCATAGCAACTACTGCCTTTGCACTTTGTTTGCTATGGGTGCCTGTGAGTGGTCTCTTCTGCTCTTCTTTATCAATTAATTCTTCTGCATAGAAATGATTGGGACGTTGTTTAAAAAAATATTTTTAAATACGTTTTTTCCCCAATCTATACAATTGCTAGTAAAACTGCTAGTACAATGTATAGATTGAATTGCATGCTCTTTAACAAGAGCAAAAATAGTTTCAGGCACTACAGTTACCCTTTAAACAATGTTTCCATTCTCCACTTTGTAATGTTCCCCCTGATTTTGTCTTTTCTGAACATGAATTATGATGCAATTTCTCAAATCTTTAATATATATTTAAATGAAAAGATAGCGTCTTTTAAAAAAAAGGTTAACACAAGTTATAGGTGATTTTCAATGTGTATTCAGTGATGCAAATTCCAGCAAAGTGACAATGCCCCATTAAAGCATGCTTTAGACATGCAACATCCTTATATCCTTTAGGATATAAGTAGATGCTTAATCTAAAAAACATAATGATGTGGGTTTTCAAAGTTAAGTGTACTTCAAATGCATATTATATCATGAATATTACAACACATACTGGGCTTTTCATCTCCAATTAGAATTCTGGTTTCTTTGAGAAAAGCTGATATGTTTACGCAATCAGTGCATTTTCTCAGCCCTATCATACATACATTGTTCTCTGGCAACTAACTAGAATGGCTTAGTGTTCATCATTTTCTCGCTTAATTAATGGACCTCAGTACATCTTACCCACTGTGTTATGTAATCAGGTCAATAAAATAGTCTGTTAACAGAAATTTTACCCTGAATTTATTGAATACATGTCTTTATTTATTTTTTCCAGGCATTGAATGGAAATATTAACTTATTCCCAGTTCAGTGTACATTATGTCTGGTCCACTGGGCTCCATATGGTTCCAAAACATTAATAAAACAGAAGAAGAAATTATTTAATTAGTTTAGAGTTGCAGTGGATTTTGCTTACTATTATGATTGATATCCAATAGCTCGTCTTGGCATCTGTTAGTAGTCACTGAGGAAGCTGGGACAATCCCAATATAAGTAGTTCTACCTGCTGGTGCATAATTACTTGTTGGGAAAAGAAACAACACAACATTTAAATAAATATTGGATTCTATACAAGTTATTTCTATTTTACCGTTAGAACTTGTCCATGATGAGTTTGTCACAGAAATACATAAATAATTCATTATTTGTCTATAGGACACTGTCCATTTAACCAAAAAACTGTAATTGTGGATATATGAAATATGCATATATAGCACATTTTAGAACAAAAAGAAAGTTTTCCTGCATTGTTTTGCCTAAAACCTCTTTACTTAATGATTCCATAGAATTCCTGCTTTAGGGCTGAATACTATTACAGGACATTAACCCTGGCAACTAGATAGCAATTCTCCAGTTTATATCTACAGGAAAATTGCTATTTAGTTACCAGATATGATTATTTCTTATAATATTATGTTGTTCCTCTTGAATAAACCCTCAGGTATCACAGACACGAGTACCCCAACCCATTGATGCTATCCAATAGCAATAATACAGCCTTTGTGGCAATGTGGCTCTACTTATATCTCCGGAGCACTGTAATAGAATCACAGCACCACAAGTCTTATTTAATATCATAATAAAGTGACAAATTCCCTTTGAAAAAACATTAAGCTAAATTCAGAACCTTGTCAGAGAGTAATCAAACCAAATTGCACCAAACTCATGTCATGAACCCAGATGGCTAAAGTAAAACAAACCCTAAATGCTGTAAATGATCAGTAAGGAGTGGTACATTAAGTATACGATTGTATCAGAGAGATCAGATCTACAAATGTAATGGGAAATAATTAACACGTTAGAGCCTGGTTCTGTCTTTTCCAAAGCTGGTATAGGAAAAGGGCCCCGAGGAATATATACATGTGTAATCATGTTTCCATGGCAACTAAGAAAATCTACCACCCCAGATACAACACCCCCAAACCCACCAATACATGTATGGCTTGACTCCTGTTGCTTGGAAACAGATTCAGCTGACCTTCCTTGGTTTGGATAGAAAGAATACAAGTGCATTAATTTGCTGCATCAAGTACAGATAACAATGACCCCGCTTCTTCAGGAAACAAAATTACATCATGCTCATCAAGCTGATGGCTGGATCAGCATTATATGAGTTATACTCCAAAACAGCTGGAGTGTCAGGTGTGATGTACACTTGGACCTAATGCATCAGGTTACTGGTCATTGTTTACAGCACAGCATCAGATATGTAAGACCTCTTCAACCCCATTGGTTTAATATGCAGTGCCCTATTGCAGTTCCAGTGGCTCCATATGAGGTGAAGTTAATACAGTGCTATTGTGTTAATGTGCGGTAAAAATAATGCTGAGTAATTGATTATTCATAGACTATGATTCAATGTGCAGCGAACATGACGGGGAGCCTGTCATTTAATGTGCAGTGGCCATAACGCAAGGTGATTTTCAACAAGCTTTTTCGTGGTGTCCCTGAATTAATGTGCCACAATCTTAATGCAGTGCCGGTGGGTTTAAAGTAAATACTCTGGGTAGATGCAGTGAGAATGAGCTGATGGACTGAGGCGTTAATGCAGTGCCAATAAAGTGATGTGATGTGAGCCTCTGATCATTCTCTGTACTCACATAATTAAAAGGGGCCTCAAGCATTCTTAGCACTATCCTAGCTGAGTGTTGGTATGTGAGGAAAATGTGCTTTTATCTGTCTGCTCTGGCTGCGTGATGTGCCTGTCTTAACTCATAACATAATGAATGTACTTACATTGCATTTTTTTTAATTTGCCTTCTTATCATCCACCTCCTTCACCTATCATCATTCTATAGATCCTTTCACTGTGCCTTCCATCAACATTTCCATATTAACCTTTGTCCTTATCTTCCCGAATAGGCATCTTTCCCACCCCACCTCTCCTTTAGTTTTCCTGCACATTCTTGCATTGCTTGTTTTAATACATATTTTCTTTTAAATTTGTAACTTTGTTCTAGATTTCATCCATGTAATCACCACTGTTACCCTTCTAGAACCCTATAATGTCCTAATATAATTTTCTTTCCAAATACTTGCCCACTCATAGATATACCCTTCTTAAAAATCTTGCTCTACGTGATAATCCTTCCAAGAAACCCCAGTGATAATTTCTCCATTTTTCTATAAATCTTAATCTATACCACACACTTAAAATATAATTCCCAAACCCAGCGTGAAGTACTTTTATACAGATCATACAAACTAATTGCCCTACACTTTTCCTTATCTACACCGTTTTCCATCTTTTATATTATTACCTTAATCTCATTTGTCGTAGATTTAACCTTCCAAATTTTTAATGTCAGTACAGGATTTTTGTTTTGTGTATGGTACTTTTATCCATGGTACTTTGCACAGATGATTACTGTTTAATATGCTGTTGATATAACAAACAGCATAATCACATATTGCTAACTGGGATATACATGTAGAGGTCAAGGTGTACACTGGTGGGATATAGAGAACAAAGGAAAACAGTGATGGTATCAGATGAGCTATACTGAGTGGGACTAGAGAGGAGGATACTAGTTAGGATGAGTAGTAGTGTTTGTGACTAGGTGGGATCTGAAAATATTGGAAGATGTATAGAGGGAGGGGAATATTAGATGTGTCAAGGAAGCTTGTGTCAACAGTAGTTGACTATGGTGAAAAATAAGTAGGAAGGAGTCCGGTGAGATGATGGTACTGGTTGTGGAGGTGGGACGTTGAATCCTAATAATAAGGGAATTACATTATTCGATCCCTGTAAAGATAATGAGGGAGTAGATACAGTGGCCTAGCTAGAGCTTTTGCCGCCCAGGGCTGTCCCTGAGTTTCCCGCCCCGATCTCGACCTGTGTCATGTCCAGTGCAGTCGCAGACGTCCGTGGCTGCACCAGACATACCTCTTTTAAGTACTCAACACCTCTAACCCTTTTCAAGCTTTTTAAAGATATACACCCAAGAATACATGCATGAAAAATTAATTCATGTAATTCATTGGGGCAATATATACTGTAACTGAGCTCCAGTACTCCAACCAAGTACCTCCACCAAGTCTGCTACATCTTATCAGGGACCTTGGAGCACTTCAAATCCAGTTACCAAGGCTTGTCTAGGATCACCGAGGGCCTTTTCCAACCTAGACCAGGCTACTGTGTATGTAGCCCATGACACCCATTCTATCAGCAGATTATATCCCTTTCCCCAAACACCAGACAACACATGGTGAAGGTTAACACAGCAACTCCTTTACTAGACATAGCACACACATTTTAAGCCCCCAACAGCCTCATTTACAAACAATAGGGTGCCTGATGTAGGAAGGGTGGGGTCAGACAATAGCAAGGCCTGATGGGAGATTGAAGAGGGACAAAGCAGCTAATTTAAACTGGTCCCTGGGACAACGTCCTGCTGGAGAAACAATGGCACAGACAAGCAATACATTAAACATACCCTGCAATAATACTGGGCACAGGGTGACCAAAACACAAGAGGAAGGTGGTCTTTCTTCCATTCTCAGTGACTGTGACTACTGTCACATCTTCTAAACAGTGATTTTATAGGGGTGGGGTTGCCCATTTGGGCAGAGTGTTCCTTTAATTAATTGTTACTGAAGTGCTTCCGTATATTTAACTTTTTATTGGTGTGAAAGGAAACACATTTATTGAATTAAATTTTATATATTTTAACATTTTTAAAAATATATACTTTTATGTTTTGGGCAGGAAGGGGTGTGTGGAAGGGGCTGTGGAAAGTGCAGGGACTGAGTGGGATCTGGACAGGGAGGGACGGGGATGCTGCAGGGGAGGCAGGGAAGAAAGGGGATCTGTACAGGGGAGGGAGGGAGGGTGATTGTCAGGGAGGCAGGGGGAGAGGGGATCTGTGCAGGAGAGGGGATCTGTGCAGGGGAGAGAGGGGATCTGTGCAGGGAGGGAGGGGATTTGTGCAGGGGGAGAGGGGATCTGTGCAGGGGGAGAGGGTATCTGTGCAGGGAAGAGGGAATCTGTGAAGGGAAGGGGAGAGGGGATCTGTGTAGAGGAGAGAGGGGATCTGTGCAGGGAGGGAGGGAATCTGTGCAGGGGGAGAGGGGATCTGTGCAGGGAAGGGAGGGGGAGAGGGGATCTGTGCAGGTGAGAGATGAGATCTGTGCAGGGAAGGGAAGGGGAGAGGGGATCTGTGCAGGGGAGAGAGGGAGTCTGTGCAGTGAGGGAGGGAATCTGTGCAGTGGAGGTAGGGGGGGACGGGATCTGTTCAGGGGAGGGAGGGGAGATGGGATTGAGTGTTAAACTTGAAATAAAGATGACAATTAGGTATTAAAGGATTACTCCAATCCTATTGGAGGTCGTTGCCTTTCTGGTGTAAAATGCCCTATTGGGTACTATGGAGAAGGTTCTCCCTTCATATTCTTTCTCACTTGCAAATAAAATATTTTTACCCACCCGAAACCCAGTGACGTTCGAGGGGGCTCGGGATATTAGTGCCAAAGCTCCCGGCGTTGATCTTATATGCCCCCTCCGATGTCACAAGCTTTGCATGGTCTAATGAGCTCAGATAGCATGCGCACATCAAGCTTGTGAGGGGAGGGAGTAGAGAGGGAGGGATTTAAAAAATAAATAAATACTGAGGAAATGTAGGGAGGAGGGCAGGAGCACACAGTGGGAGAAAGGAGAATAAGAAATCTTCCGCTTACAGGTGCACTGCCTACAAGGTAGAAGATTTCTACGTCTGTTGTTAGCGTGCAGTGCCCGCTTATAACAGACGTAAAATACGCACAGAATTGAAATTGGCAGCCTGTTCTGGGCTGCCAATTAAAGGTTGCTGGAGGTGAAACTAGCCCACCAGCACATAATTGCAAATATCTTAGTATGTGCACTGTTTCAAGCAGAAACACTGCACATACAAACTCCTACCACCATAACCACTTCAGATCACTAGAGTGGTCGTGGTGGTTGGAGTAACCCTTTAGGTAAGTAAGAAGAAAGAGATGTAGGAGTAAGCCCTGGATGACATGATAAAAGAGAGAGTGTGTCATTGGTATTGATATTTAGGATAAGAGTACAGACCTTAAAAAAGACAGTGCAGACCTGGTGATACCAAAGTTATTCAAAGAAGAGCTAAGAATAGAATTGAAACACTGAAAACACTGTTAAGGAATTGGAAGAATTAAGTGAGTTGAAGTGTCCAGGGAATATTTACATTACCCATTTCTGAGGATACAGTGCGCATGTGCACATCGTTAGTACAATTACAGCTCTCCAGAGGTGGCAAACTCCAACTGACATTATCACACATCCAAATCTTTTACTATTGTTAGATCACTAAAAGCTTATCTATGCCATCATAATTAACCAGTTAACTTCCTAAAATTATTGGATTATTGCAAAAAAGTTGCCACATTCATCATTAAATATAAAAATAAAATAAAAAACCCATTAAAGCACAGTTAGACAACATCTGGAGTTTGTCTTTTACACATAGATACCAATAACATAATATTTTCTCAGAATTGGCTCATTAACATGTTTATGGTGCATACAATTCATTTATGTTTACATCATCTGTTTTACTGCCATATCTTTGTTTTAAAGTACATTGTCCCATATATATGGGTATGTACTCTGTATGTAACATCTGTGTGTTTTTTCCAGGGCACATCTGTTGGACTTTCTATTTAGTAATCCAAGTTAAAGTTCTTAAGCATGCCAATATATCTGTGAGTTCAACAAATGCTTAAAAATGTTCATATAATTAATATATGTGTGCAGTTAGACAGACACACAAATAGGAAACTAATTATTGATGATTTTTTGAGGCATACAATTTTATATTCACAGTATAAGTAAGAAATATATTAATACATTCAGCATACAAAGCTGTCCCTTTGGGTCACATATTTAACATATTTCCTTATATAGAAGCTTTGGATAACCCAATACCACACAAGGCAGCCCATTTTCATTTTATTATAGAATTTACAACATTAACTTGGCAACGCCAATAAATCTTTTTCATAGAGTGGCCTATATTCCATTCTCATAGCCAGACCCGGGTCAGTTTGTGATGATGAAACAATGGCCACTTTATGAAAAGATTTGTTTTTGCTGCCAAGTCAGAATGATTCATTTGGGGTTGGTGGTAATGCTGGCTTGGAACCCACCTTGGCTCCCTGCAAGGGTACTGCAACTTCATATTGTTTTTATTCCCTTAATTGTAGTCTGTAGATGAAATAGCCCTCGGGGTTCGTCTAAAGTGGTAGGGAAATATATTTATGACCAAGAAGTCCTAAAAACCAGTTTTTTGAACAACACAAGAATTACAGAACATATAGAATTGAGTGTGCCCCAGGTATATTGACTTGGTACATAGGGTCTACAGAAGCTACAGTGCTTCACCTTGAGTATTAGGTAGGAAAACACACATTGATACATGAGCTCAAGGTTTATGCTGTCTATTATAGGCCTGATGTAATATTTTTGGATACGCTTTTTAAAAATGATTTAATATTTTTGGCTAAACTTTGAAATGCTTTTTTAAAATATTAAAATCTAAGAAATATAACACACACACACTTCAATATGTCAAACAATATAAAAATATTAACATATTTATCAAACTATTAAATAATTTGTACATTTTATCAAAGAAATATTAAATAATTTGACAAGCTCATCAAAAAATGTTAATTTGGGGTCATAGTCTAATGTAAAATTTCTGCTATTTTTTTTTTGTTTGTAGAACATTAAGAGATGTTCACAGTCATAGTATGATTGAAAATAAAATGCTGCATCTCCATTATAGAGTGCTATGTTTCCATAACAGAACATTTCAACAAGATAAAGTGAGTCACCAGTTCACGAACATAATGGGAAATACCATAATCAGGTTGTTTTACTAAGCCGGGATTTGCCAAGAACTGTCATGGAATATGCTAAGTTTAGTTAAAAATAATCACCCTGGAAAATTATAAGAGGATTTCTCCAATGGTTATTTTGCCCAAAATAATTTCATGGATACATCCTTGTGTTCCATTTTTTATTGTTCATCATAACAATTCCCAAACAAAAATGTGATGGTCACCAATATAATTTTATAAGACATCCCATATTATATAAAAATATATACATACGTATAAATAAATATCACATTTGATATATATATATATATATATAAGAATATTGTATATGTAATATTATAAGCTAGAGCTATAATATAGGTTCTAACGGAGATAAGGCCCTCAACTTCTCCTGTATTTGTTTGTCATATTTTGCATTGCCTCTTAGATGTATTGTACCTTTGTCTTTTTACCTGTACCAGTTGTACGCATGGGTAGCACTGCAGAGTCTGTTAGCTTTTTTAAAATAAGTATATTGATAATTCTCTTACCAGAGTTAGGGTTTACTCTATTCACTGAATAACAATTGTCTCATTAACTTCAATAGAGAAAGTGAGTAAGCAGAGTAAAATAATTGAGCCTTATATATGCCAATCAAATTCCAATAAATTATAAACCACTGAAAAATATGGATAACGAGCAACAAAACATATAAATAAGAACTTGAAGAGATATGACAACTATTTAGCAAAATTTAGGCCACATCTTCACTTCTATTTTTGTTGTCTATTTATTGCAAGTTTAAAAATCAAAACACATAGTCTGGAGTAGCAATCTGCTCCAATACAACTGTTGTTTTTCTTACTGTTTTGGAAGGGAAGAGAGAAGTAGGGGGTGAGTCCCAATAAAATATCACTTTCCCAGTGCTGATACATAATGGGATATATACATGTTTTTGAATAATGAATTTATGCAATCAAGTAAAAATGTTTTACCAGCATACACATAAAGAATTTGCATTTAAACTGGCTGTAGGATGTGGATAAAAACATCCATTTCCAGTGCTAGCCAAGAATAATTGCTAAAAAGTCCATACTGAAAAGGGAAATATAAATACATATAATACAACATGTTAATGCCACATATAATTTATAATACTATGACAAAAGTAGAAACAGACCACAAATGATACAATGGAAAAGTAATGTTTCTTTGATTCTTGTCTTGTGCTGGAGTCATTATGCATATCCATGTTTATGTCCTATGATATTCCAAAAACAAATGAATGTCCAATATAATTGACAAGGGTGCCTCTGAAAATGTTATTTTATCAGTACCAAATTTTGCCCAATTATTCATTTGGCCATTATATTCTATTTGGCCAAATTAAATTCTGATCGGTGTCCCTAAATCAGTACCCTTGTGGGATTGCTATATTTATGTTACAAAGCTACTGAGCCTTTTTAATAGATAGCTCCTTTATGGTATCATTATGGCAATTCAACAAGAACCCCCCTTCCTTTCCATAACTTTGGTCTTTTAGACAACTTTACTAATAATAGGTATAAATAAATAAATACTTAGTATTAGTAAATAAGGGAAGTTAAATCCTCCTTCCTGCCGTTAATGGTAAATTACATAGCTGCCAGTACAAAGTGGGGCGGCTAATAAAATAATGAATTGGGGTGGACATAGGAACATAATGTCCCCCCTTTTCCCTCACCAAGGCTTAGCATGTGGTGACCATTAAAATAAATAGGGGACCTAGTGTCCCCCTCCAGTCCAAACCTGTGGCCATTAAATGGGGTCACCCATTGGTGGCAGGTAGAGGCGCTAAATAATAATAAGGGGGTGGACCTATATTCTCCCCAATCCCCCTAAATAATAAGGGGCACCGTCCTATTGTCTCCCCCCAGCCCCTATCCATAGGCAGCAGGTGGTCGCCTTGAATGATAATAGGGTGGACCTATTGTCCTCCTATTAAAAATTATTTGTCAGAGCGCACTGATTGACTGTCTTAAGACACTTTATCCACTCATTCATTTTATTTAATTTAATAGTCCTTACATGTGGGGGATGGATGGAGGGAAGCACTAGGTTTAGTTTAATAACCCTCTTGTACCAGGTCACCAATTTTTAGATTAGTGAGTTGGCAGCAATAGCTGCTCACTGTTTGGTAGACATGCCCCTACTCACTGCATAGCAGGTAGGGGCAGGTGGGAGTATTTAATTCACAATCATAGGCCAAAGGTTATGGGGGCATGGGGAATTTAGGACTTCTATGTTTAAATATTACAAGGGGGTAGCCATGAGCTGCCTTCTTGTAATAAACTAAAATTAATGAATGAAAAAACGAATTGCATGTCCAACAATATGTTTCCTTTATTGTAATTTGTACTTTGTATTGTATTCATCTGAAATATAATTGTAATTTGTAATTCATGTTTGTTGTAATTTGTTTTCATCTGAAAATTCAGATGAAAATGTGTTAATCCGAAAACAAATGCCCAAGTCTGCAAAGTAGTGAGCAAAAAGTGCAACAAAAGTAAAAACATAAATTAAAAACAGGACATCCACAGAAGAATCCACTGGACACCATCAAATGAAGGAATATAGCTCTGGTCCAGGCTTGCACATTCAAAAGACCATGGAGAGAATCAAGGCTAAATGTCTGTTCTTGCCTGCCAAGACAACTGTTTATGTAACAGGCTACATTTTCTTCACTGCTTACAGTAATTGTTATTTGAATTAATTTGGTTTACCATAAACAGTTTATATTCCATATAAAGTAATAGTTATCTGGCAATGTAAGACTTGCATTTGTTTTAGGTTCACCATAAATATGTCTATATCTACAATATGACAACAGCTTTGATTTAGGATGGCATTAAGCAGCATGATGAAAAAAACAAGGCCAAGCATATATGTAGATTGGCTCAAATAAGGTGCCTTGCTACTCTCATACTCAGAATTGGGTCTACAGCAGCACTTGAGGATGTGGGAATTTTTTTTATAATGATGTGGCTAGAGGCATCCATACTGACAGTGGGTCAAGATAAAAAAGCAAAATCTAGGTCATTAGATTCAATGAATATCCAACATGGCTTCCATGATGTTGCAGTAAACATCAGCACCTTAATTATACCAATAACATACAGCCATAGTGTGAAATATTAGAAACCACTGGAAAGTTAAATTATTAATCTACAACTCTTATGATCCTCAGTTCACTTTTAGAACCCAAGAATCTCACAAAAAGCAGCAGAAAAATTATAAGATGAGTTATTATATGATGAGTTTACACAAGTAGAGACTTTCAACTCAACTACATACCATAAGCATTAAAAAATGCTAATTCTATGATTACAAGTGACAATGTGACAATCCATGCCCAGCAAGCAAGCCTGTTTAAGCAGGGCTTTCCTCACATTTTATCTGTCAACATTTATTCTATCTGCCAGTTACTAGCTACCTCAGCTCACAAGAGGATGGTCATCATCATGAGGATGGGATCCTGATCCTGTAGTGGTGCACCTGTTGCCTCTGTGCATGTAGAGGCTTAAGGGGTACATGGAAGTCTTAGTAGGACCTTCTTCCACAAGAAGGAGCCGATAGGCAAATCAATTAGGCCACAGTCAAAGAGGAAGAAGAGCCTAAATGCCATATGACATCCTCCATCTCTTCAACCCTGCCCTTAAAGCTGCATGCTCTTGCGGTAAAGGGAAAAAGTAACTAAACAACCAAAGGAGAAAAGAGGGGTGGGAGGAAAATCTCACGAGACTGCAGAAACCAAGAGGGACAAACAAGAAACAGCAAAAAGGTCTCATAAAAGTAAAGGGTGGCATCTCCCTCGCACATTAACAGTGTAACAAATTTACTCACGGCCAAGGAGAAGCCCCCTTAATTACATTTTGGTCTCTATACTCCCATCACAGCATAACTGGCACTTACACCCACCTTGGAGTGAAAACAACCAAAGAGCTGAAATGTTTGAGAAGGAAAACTCCAATGAAAATTATTTGCTATAAATTGTTTCCACTCTCCAATGTTTCTCATGTCAATAAATCTACACCAAAGTTAATCAAGAAATCAGATATCAGTGGAGAAACTATAGTGAGACTACACCAAAAATGATGTGCACAAAGCAACATTAATTTAAAATTGCCAGGAAGGGGTGTTCCATAGTGAAGCCAGTAGAAGGACTCCAATGACTAACCGTAGAGATACTCGGAGGAAAATGTTTAAGTAACAATTGTAGTTATCTAGTTCACTGGCACAGTAAGCCAGACGACCTGCTTAGAAATTCTTAGTTTTAAACCATGATAGAGGCTATGTACAAGCATACTCCAGTGCGTGTTTCCAGCTTGGAGTAGCAGTGTTCCCATTGATACTTTTTACAAAATACTCCTACATGCTAGTTTTCAATAATGAGATAAACTGAACAAAACTAATACTGCCACAATATCACTGAGATGATATAAGTTGAAGTCAAGAGCTCAACTTGAGACTGTATTTTAAATCAAAAACTCGTGTAGGCCTAAACTCTTCAGGCTGGAAGAAAAAGGTCCTTCAGTGGTAATGGGAACCAAAGAAAAATAACACTCCACATTCTATCATACACTACAGAGCCTATTTATCAAACAGATAGATTTTATAAACACTTTGATCAAAGGAACTAAGGGAGACAAGCAGCCAAACAGTATCAGAGTGGAGCCTAGAAAAAAAAAATCAGAATTTAGAAACTCAGAAAGTAAATTACATTTTTCTAAAGCAGAGCAATTGAAAGATCTCTAAAGTAAATTAACTTAAACACTGCTAATACAATATATCACAGACTATTCCCAAAGCAGAAGCACCATAGAGCTTGACATTCTGTACTATGTGCCAAGAAGCCATCTAGACTAAATAGAGTGAGAGACATACCATAATAATAATGCAATCAAACGTACCTTGTGAGTTACAGCTAATAACGCTATATGTATAACAGACAGTAACATAAAGAGGACAATTAGAAAGCCACCTACAGTTTAACGAACACAGGAACCTGGATAAGGTAGGTCCACTTTCACAACCTTGAGACAATAATACACTTAAATGTATCATCTGTGGCTATGGTTTTTGGACTAGGAGACAATGGGACGGTGTACTCCTAAACACTAAAAACATGCCAGATGGGAAATAATACTACAGTATATATTAAAATATGTAGCATTTTGAATCCAAAAAGAACCACACATATACACTGGTAATCAAACATACACTCTTGTACTCACTAATCAATAATTTACAGTAGATGTACATACACATCAAACACTTTTATTTGCCTCCAAATACCTTAAAATACGCTTTACACTTTGGCTACATGTAATATATACACACAAATTTATATGGTGAAAAAAATCCCTTAAAACATATTCAGGCAGCTAGATAAAAAAGATGCTTATGCACCATATGGACAGTTGTAGGAAAGATTTACACATCACACATACATAGCACAGAGCGAGAACACACAGCAGACCTAGCATTAGATTTCCCAATGAACAATTTTTACATTAAACAATGTATATATGTGTATACACACAATTTTACACATAGGGATGATACTGCCTTAATCATACATGCATGCCTAGCAGGTCACACATTAAAGCATACACAGGGTTTTATGGACTCACACACCAGCATATAAATACTGACACACATATACATGTACATTGTATATAATAACATCTGTGCACACAAACAAACTGACTGACATTACTGTGTACCCACACACCTGATAAGCACTTACATACAGATCATCGCAAAAGAAAAAAAAAAAACACAGCACACACATCCATACGCAGACCAACACTGGGAACCCCTAACATTACCATTAACACATGGACAAGCACTTGCACATGCAAAACACATACTGCTGTATAAATGCACAGCAGGACACATCTAAGCACACAGAAAATGTACATGTATTTGCAAATCCATGAATACAATGGTGCAAACACAACATAACATGTCTGCTAATATACATGACACAAACCCACACTTACATATTAACAAATTAACAAACACACACACACACACACACACACACACATATATATATATATAAAATATTGCAATCTACATAATATCTATTTGTACTGATTCATGTATAATAATGAATACAGCTAAATAGCTCAGCTGCAGTCTCTGCTGCAGCTTATCGTATATATATATATATATATATATATATATATATATATACAATAATTGTACTTAATGTGTTATATATTATAAATATATGCACACACAATCATCTACGCACATAATTTGAACCTCTGGTCACTCACGCAGTTTAGCAGTGTTTCTGTGTCATCGGTCACTGCCTCTCATCTTTGTGGCATTAAGGGTCTGTTCATTCGCTTAGCAACCGGTGTCCCTGTCACTTTCCTTGCTCTTCCTGTCACCGACGCTCCCCCTTGTATGGTGTCACCAGCAGATCTGCGTCCCTCGCGGCGCCAGAGACAGGCACCCAGACAGAAATCTTTCCAGATCTCCCCAGCTGTCTTACTCCAACAGATAGGCACCCACACAGCAAGCGAGAGAGAGAGAGTGGGATCTCATTAAGGGAGGGCAGCAGTAAAAGGAGGAGGATAGATACAGCGAGGAGAGGATACAGCCAGAGTGTGATAGACAGAGGCAAAGAATGGATGAAGCGAGAAGCAATCAAGGGAGTGAGGAAGCAGAAAAAGTAGGATTCACAGCAAACCGTGAGAGGTTAGGGGAGAGAAGAAATACTGTAAAAATGGGAGAGCAGAAAGAAGAGAATGTAGGTAAATGTATAAGAAAAAGAAGCAGGTTGGATATGATATGTATAATTGTTTCTGTATGAGAGGGTTAACGGGTAGAAACCAGAGAAAAAAAGAGCAGGTCATGTTAAAGGGCTGGAGATAAAGGATGCTGCATGTACAGACTAGACAGTGCTGTATCAGACTGAGAAGAGAGAGAGAGAGAGAGAGAGAGAGAGAGAGGAGGATAGAGATTATTGTGGGTCAAATCTGATTGAAAAACCAGAGGGGAGAGCAAGGAGGATTGGGAGAGATGTGAACAGCGAGAGAGGAATAAGCGTCAGTAGTATGAGAACAGGCAGGCAGAGTAGGACATGGGAAGCAAAGTGATAATATATAATAAATGAAAAGGAAGCAAAATAGAGAGCTGCAGAGATTTAAGAGAGAATGAGGAAAGGGAGAAAGAAAGGAGAGACTGCAAGAGAGGGAAAGAGACCGGAAAGAAATCAGGGTTTTGTGTATATGTGTAAGGAAGGAGGGAGGGAGAGAGAGAGAAAAAAGGAGGGAGGGAGATATACAACAATTATAGAGAGAGAAAGATGGAAGGAGAAATGGAAAAAAAAAGAAAAAAAAAGGTAAAAAATCCATCGGGGAGTGGAAAGATTGAAGATGCATTTCACCAGAAAGTAGGGACGAACAAGACAGTGTTACTGTCCCAACATGTGTGTATACCTATGCTATACAGGGTATATATTTAACGCGTTGGCTATTACAGTTATACAACTTTACTTTCCTGGAAATAAATAGAAAACTGTACTCAGATTTATTGAGAGTACCATAGAGACTGGAGACGGGAGGCCAGCCAAGAACCTGCTCAGTGGGAGAATCCTACAGTTGCAATCGAAGTTTGCATGTTGCTCTGCCATTTAAGGGACTGATGGACAGCCTAGATTCTGCAGAGTGTAGAGCTTCCTTTCTAAAGTGTGAATCACCTTCTACGTAATGTGATGTGTCAGAGAGATTATGGTCTCCTCAACATGTCTCCATGACCTGCAGATCAATCAATCAAAAATAAATGAGTATAAAGGCATAGAGAGAACGGAATGTGTAATACAGGAATTATCTGACTAGGCTGGAACAGGCCCAGAGCAACGAGACATGTTAGTCAGAGCCAGATCTAGAGCATTAAGAAAACAATAGACTCTATTACTCTGAGCCAACTCTCAAATAGCATTAAAACATATAACGCAATGTTACCCCAAGACTGATCTAGAAAAGCATTAAGGTAAACAAAACACAACACTCTTAAGAGGGAGATGGGCAACACAATACATAATGTAGCCCAAGATAGCCCAGGAAAGCAATAACAAAATGTCAAACCATTTGCAAAGCTGTTCCAGAGTTGCTTTATTAAAACAAACAAAAAAACATTGTTACCATCCATGACATCACGCATTAAATGTATATGTACTAATCTTTTTAGCTTGTTCTAGTTTAATACTTTTTTCCTGAGTGATCTGCAGTAACAGGTGAAATGGTATAATGTAGATTGATCACAAACACCTAATAAGTAGATTCTGTCCTTTTTGGCTTTTGCAATATATGTAATAAAATCTGAAAATCTATCTAAATTACCGGTAAATTGAGAGTTAAAGTGTCTTTTAAAGAAACGTATAAGTCCAGAAATGTCAAATGGAAAATAACAGCCAATTTGAACTCTTAATGGTTATCAGTATAGAAATAAAAAAGAGGCAAGACTAAGCGGAAAAAAACTGTGGGATTATTGAAACCTGCGTGCACCCAATTAGCAAAAATAATCCAAGTCTGTCCAATGACATTCAGACTGTAAAATCCTGATGTTCATAATATTTGTCAATGTTTGGGGTTTGCAAGCAGACCCTGCTTTAATTTGAATATAGGCCAGATTTCAGCCTGTCCAGAAGCAATCCAGAAGGGAATTATAGAAATATATAACCGAATGCTAAGATTTAACAGAATTGATCACTATTTGCCTGCAAATATAGTGTAGGCAAATTTACACAATTTTGTTGAATTCACTTGGACAATAAATAGTAACCAATTCTAATATTTACTGATAAATTACAAAAAAATGCAATTAGCACCATATAGGTAATTAACACCTTTGGAGAAACGGTAAACTCCATAGATGGGTAAATCATAAACTAATAATTAAAACACGGTCATAAAATGGACTTTGTGTGATTATTTTATAACATTATGCATTAAACCTACCCAGACTAAATTGAAATTTTAGTAATAACTCTATAATTGTGCAAATTAGCACAAAATACATGAATTCCATGCAAAGAACAAGGAACCACACAATGACTATACACTAAATTGGGCTCAAATGATACCCTGATGTTCAATAGCAAAGTGAGATATGTGTACTTGTTTCATTTTACTTATTTAATTGACTTTTAATCTATTAGCTACTTGTGCTCTCTGTGGACCAACGTATTTCTTTTTTCTTCTTCTTCTAATTTGGGACTAATTTGGGAATTGCTTGGGACTTCAGCATTTCAGCATTTCAGCAAGTGGGCTTAGTAAATTGTTGAATTCTCATCTAGATTGTATTTTTTTATTTTAAATCCGTGGCTTGGTGAATGATCTCATGTGCATCTGCACCGAGGCTAACATGAGCTATGTAATGGAACTGGGTTAAACACAACAAGACCAAGCCTTTTGGGATACATAGTGGAATTAGACTAAGGCTGTGAACTGAACAGAATGTCAGAGCACTAAATCAGTGCCCATTTCTAGAGAAATGGTTACCCATCTGCACCCGCACACATGTACAATTAGTGTTTAATTGATTTTAGCACAGTTCCATTAAGGAAAACTCTAAAAACATGAATAGGTGGTCCATGGGACCCTGGTATAATTTCAAGAGGGAGAGTGGCAGGTGTAGTGTTTTGAGAGACCTCTGGACCCATTATGAAACAAGGAAGCAGAACTTGTCTATCCACCCTATTTGTGGGTAGACGGGCATTCAAATACCAGGTAGGGTCCTGCAGGTTTCCCAACTGTCCTGAATTAGGAGGGACAGTTCAGATTTCCACCCTCCCAAGTTTGTTCCCTGGTATCCTGCTTTTGTCGACACCTGAGAACTGTTCACAGAAAGTGTAGCAAGGGTGCATCATTAGACACAGTAGCGATAGGCTCATGAGCAGAATGCCGTAACAGCACTCTGTGGGTGATTTTCCTTTAAAGGTGTGGGCCAATGTTATTGGTAGTCAGTCGCCCCTTTCTAGGCATGTACATCCCTTTGAAGTACCTGTGAAACAGGCCATGTCACAAGCGTGTCAGCTGTGTTGGGAGGCATGGACCTAACCCTAAGTTAGTTCCCAAGCCTCTATGCAAACAACCCCTTTCAAAACCCTACCGCCACTTTAAAATTAAGCATACTCCTATCTATGCCTCCCCCCCATAATTGTTATGGTGTGAGGCAGTAGAATTGTGTATACTGAAGATAATTTATTTTGGCTGAACTGCTTCGTCCAAAAATATATTTTTTTATCACAGCTGGACTTTATCCACATGGCAGTTCAGCTTGTCCAAATGTTGTTAATGAAAAAAGTCAGAAAAACAATTCAGATGTACCATTAGGGTACAGAAATGGGGCCAATAAGTATATTGCAAAATATATACATAACACAATCATGCTTTGGAATGGCTTTTCTTAAGTAGTTCCATGAAACTGATCAAGATTGAAGTCAAGATGAATTTAGCCAATGGTAGGTCAGATATCGCAGGTTCAAAATATATAAAAAAGGCAAACAAACAGAAGATGGGACTGCGCCAGTAGGCAAGGTAAATAAATTAAAGTCCTGATTAAGATAGTAATAATGAAACGGAGTCCAGTATAATGGAACTTAGATCCTAGGTTGGTCTCTGGAGTTGTAGGGTTCCGCTCCTTGCAGGTATATGAAGGACTGCGATGAGTGATGAAAATGATAGTGGTACAGGGTGATCCAAGAGGTATTCAAATAAAATAGAAGAGATTTTACTCACTTTTTGTAGAGTTTAATCCAGCTCTGGTGTGAATAACTAGCAGCGGTATGATCCCCGCTTGTGGGATATGCGGTGAGTATCCTCTTTGGTGCAGTAACAGACAGTCAGGGGGGAGATAAAACGAAAAACAGTGATGGTGCAGTATGTTCCAAAAATGGATACAACTGTTAAAATATAGTAGGTCCACTCACCACTTTCTGTTTTTCAAAATATATAAAGCTGGTAGAGGCTAGCCTTAAAGGATCACTATAGGGTCAGGAACACAAACATGTATTCCTGACCCTATAGTGTTAAAACCACCATCTAGCCCCCCTGGGACGCTAATGCTTCCATAAATATAGCCAGAAGCTGTGTATCTGCATGCTGTTTGCCTAAAAAAAAAAAAAAAAAGATGTCTGCCGACATCATTAGAAGTGGTAGCCTGATCCAATCACAATGTTTCCCCATAGGATTGGCTGAGACTGTCAAGGAGGCAGAGCCAGCACAAGTCAAACACAGCCCTGGCCAATCAGCATCTCCTCATAGAGATAAATTGAATCAATGAATCTCTATGAGGAAAGTTCAGTGTCTGCATGCGGGAGGAGGGAGGAGACACTGAATGTCTGAATGCATTTTAGGCAGCCATGACCCAGGAAGGATCTCTAACAGCCATCTGAGGAGTGGCCAGTGAAGTTATCCCTAGGTTGTAATGTAAACACTGCATTTTCTCTGAAAAGACAGTGTTTACAGCAAAAAGCCTGAAGGTAATGATTCTACTCACCAGAACAAATACAATAAGCTGTAGTTGTTCTGGTGACTATAGTGTCCCTTTAAGAAACCCAACATTCTATTTGCAAGCAGGTATGGTTCTACTCTTACTAACTTCGATGGAATGCACCACATTACATTATATACCAATACATGCACCACATTACATTATATTACATTAAAAATCCCAGTAAAATCTATTTTTGTTTAAGGCTGTAATATTAGATATTGTGGCAACAACTAAAGTGGTGGGGTGAATACTTATTCAAGGCACTGTAAATGGCTACTGAACTAATATCCTGACTTGATATTTCAAAATGAATATAATATTGCATTTGGAATTTGGGCCTCTCATATTCCTGCTTCGGTAATAATCAATAACTAGTTTAACAACCACAGTAGATGAAACTGACATTATCTCAGTTGACACAGCACTGGATCAATACTTGACTAATTTCTCTCTTTTAGTCAGTCTCTAGTTATAGACCCCTGTTTCTTCAGATGCAGTATTATCAAAATCTGTCTCTTCCACTGTTGGTTCACATTCTAACTAAAAACATTCAACATGCTCCCTTCCCATCTCCTTTAAATCAATATACTACAGCATTGTGCTACTGTATTTATCTTGTTTCCAACATATCCCCAGAACCTTTATTTTTTTTTCTTCTCAGCCGATTTCCCTCTCCTCTAAACAAACTGAGCTCACAATT